CGTCTATCTAGTCTTACAGATGGGGAAGCATGGAGACCCCTTGAGTGTAATTGCCCACGTTCCATCAAAACTGGCTTCGCTCCCGATCGCATGAAGTGGAAGCTGAAGTGTATAACCGGGCTTTTGGGGATTGAGGACACATTGGATTATCACGGGGATTGTCACGGGGTCCCCATGGGGAGAGACGGGTGAATGCTTTATCAGGATGGTGTATTTCAACCCAGTGGCATATGGGAGCATATGGGGCACGGTGTTTCCCTTGTCTGGATGATTCAGTCAACTCAGGTCAGCTTGTCTTGCTTGCCGCTATCCTCGTCAACACTCTCATTTTTATGCACTTTGTGAGTTCCTCAGACCAAAGTCAACTCTGTGGTCCAGATAACCTTGAAAATATGGGTCTGCTTTCCCTTCAGGGCCGCGGCCCTCGCAGTCGCCATCACCATGACCTGTGGCTTTTCTTTCATGCTCTTCGGCTCGGATCAGGGTGTCTTCGGCGGCATCTTGAACGACCCGGCGTTTGCCAATCAGTTCAAGAACCCAAGTCCGACGATTCAAGGCCAGATTGTATCGACCTATGACATTGGCTGCATCATCGGCGCCATCATATCCATCTATTGTGGTGACAAGCTGGGTCGCCGCAAGTCAATTGCCATGTCATGTGCCTTTGTCATTGTCGGAGGCCTTTTGCAAGCATCTTCTTTCTACCTGCCACACATGATTGTTGGCCGGATCATTGCCGGTCTGGGGATCGGGCAAAGCACAGCCGTTGTGCCCATGTGGCAAGCTGAGACCAGCAAGGCAGAGCACCGCGGCAAGCTTGTTGCTCTCCAAATGGTCATGGTGATATTCGGAATTGATCTGACCAGTTGGATCAATCTAGGAATGACTTACGTATACGCAAACGAAGACAGCCGGCGCTTCCCCATCGCGATGCAATGCTTCTGGGCCTTCGTCACGCTCGGACTGCTTGCCTGCACGGTGGAATCTCCTCGGTGGCTTTGCTACAAGGAAAGACACGCGGAAGCCCAGGTGGTGCTAGCCCGCCTTGCTGCCAAAGACCGCGAAGACCAGTCGGTCAAAATCGAGCTAAAGATCATCAGCGACGCCATTGCAGCCGAAAAAGCTGGCGGAGCCATTGGATGGCGTGAGTTCTTTTCGAGCGGTGAGCAGCAGAACTTTCGGCGCCTTGTTTTGGGCGCCGGTACATCCGTCTTCAGCAGATGGGGGGGATCAACGTGGTAAGCATCGAGATCCAAACTGATTACCTTCCATTGTCTTAAAGTCAGCCGGTTTCTGCTCGCAATACTGACAGCAACTCCACCATAAAGGGCAGGTTGTATGCTATTTTCCGGTGATCCTGACCAAGTCCTTTGGCTTCAGCAACAGGCTTGCCCTGATCCTGTCAGCCATCGACTTCATTTGCCTCTGCGTTTGGGGTTCCGTGATCATGCTACTGATTGATCGCTTCGGACGTGTCCCCCTCATGCTGTTTGGGTCTATTGGGTGCGGGATACGCTTCACCCTTACCACCATCGGTCTCGATATTGGAACAAATGCCAGCTGCGCCGTGGCTGTGTCGTTCATGTTTGGATACCATCTCTTCTACGTAAGCCAGGTCTCTCCTTTTCAAAGTCCTCAAAAGTCCCGAAACTGACATCTTCACTTGATCCCAGGGTCTCTCTTACCTGACCATTCCATCCTTATACCCCTCTCGAAATCAACTCATCACGGATGCGCAGCATTGGTAACAGTGCTGCCATGGATACGAACTGGATTTTCGTGTACGTCGTGGTAATCATGATCCCCAGCACCATCGCAAACATCTCCTGGAGGTTTTATATCATCTTCGCCGTACTCAACTTTGCTTGGTTCCCCATCGTCTGGTTCTTCTACATCGAAACCAAAGGCCTGTCCTTGGAAGAAGTCGACCGCATGTTCAAGATCAAGTATCACGCTGGCAAGAACATGAGCTACAAAGAGGCAGCGCGCTTGTCGAAGGAGGAGACTGAGGAATATAAGAAACAGGGGACAGAAGGTGGCGACAAAGTCGTGGTGGCCGAGGTCGAGGAGATGTAGCTTGCGTGAACCATCTAACATGAATGAGTACGTCAAACTGACGAGGCTGACAACCCTATTTTGTTGTGGTGGGATTGTCTTCGTGGGCGTCTCCTTCATGTGGGTTGCGTGTCTCTCGAAGGGGGCCGAGAGCTCGGAGCTGTTCAACCACTGCTTGTGCTATCAAGGCGTGGTCGATGCAGCCCTAGCTAATCCCCGGCGAGCGCGAGCCGCATGAGCGCAAATCTCTGTCGGAACACTTGGGGTCACCATGTTTCAAGAGGACTCGCACGTTTGATGCAGGCTTTTCGCATAAGAAACTTCTCTAAGTATTAAAATCATAAAACTCTATACTGGCCTTATTCGCTTCTTTTTTATAATCTTGTTTAGTTACTTTTTTATCTTACAGTTTCCTCAAAAGAGCACTCGTTATCAGGGCAACTTATACAGAGTGTTATCTAGAGTCTCTCTATGACGATTCATGCGGCCATCAGAATGACCTCATCCGGAGGAAGATTTACCCTCGTTTTCACCATTCAGACAAACAGAGAATGGCCTCTTAGTGACCAAGGGCAGACTCATCAGTTCATCATGATATTGGACCCCTGACTATTACTCCGCTATTTTCCGCGCCGTCTAACAAGTGCAGCCTCGCAGCCTCAACCAGAAGTGTAGATTTCAGACAAGACGGCTGGGCTCTGCGGGAGAATCAGAGGGCCGGCGACCACACTTTCCTTGGTCGGTGCACCTTCCGCATCCGCTATGATGGCAATGATAATGCCCAGGGCATCAAAGGACTCGGGGATAGTGGTAGAATTGTGCTCCGTGTCGAAGGGGACCGAGATGTTGCTGACACCGTGGAAGAAGACGGCATGGTAGTCCTTATCCGCAAAACGAGGCTGGTTGTCAGGTTGAGTGAAGCTTACGACAAGCTCTGAGCCCGGGAGAATTGACTTGGTCCCTTTGGCCGGAGTCATTTGAGGTAGATGCTGGCGTGGCGAGGGGAATACCGGATTCTGTGGCGGACAAGAGCCCTCGACGACCCATTCGTTGGTGAAGTCGAGAATCTGGTTGGCGTAGGGAAAAATGGTGTCCGAGGGGCCGGCAAAAGGGGCCGAGTTCCAATTCTCGATCAGGGACCAGGTGTTGTGGCGGGATTCGGTGGCGGCGATGGCGACGAGAGCGGCGCGAGAAGTGTCTAGTCGAGCCTGGAGTTCGAGACCCGTGAGGAACGCCATGCTGGAAATCTCGATGATGGTCTGAAGGACGAGGAAAGAGGCGGGGTCGTCGTACGGAAAAGCATATAGACATGCTCCTGGTTTGATCGAGGTGGGGGAGATCTGATCCTGGAAGATGCGGAGGTGGCCTGCTTCGTTGTCCCGGATCTGTTGGATACGTTCGTAGGTGGTGTTTGGAAAGCCCGCCTCCATGAACGAGGAGGCGTTGAAGCGTTCGACACCTTGCTGGTAGAAAGAGAAAATGATCCATTCAGCAGACAGGAGATTCTGAAACAGCAGGTCGTCGGCGCCAGGAGGGCCGGTGGTGATGTTGAGCACTGCACCTGTGATGTTTCCAGGGAAAGGGCGTGCGGTTCCATTGTACGTGGCGTAGACATCTGACTCTCCTGGTGTTGGACCGTAGGATGGATCAGAGAGCTGCGATGGGCCTGGAGGCGTAGATGAGGCCGATGAGGATGATACAATCGCCGGAGCACACAGCCCTAAGCCATATAGCATGGCGGAAACGAGGATAGCCTTTCTCATGACAGCCATAACCGTGAGACAATGGTGGAATGCTCAGATGGCGCACGTAGATTAATTTAGGATGATTGAGGAGAATCACCTAGTCAAGCATGAAGAGAGAAGAGGAGGGAAAGATTCCGAATCTCCGTTGGCACATCTGGCATTCTTATAGTTCTGACTGATTGCCTGCTCAGGGAGGCTGCCGAATCTCCACTGAGAGATTTGGGCGGCATTTGGGGACTGTGGTGATCCAGGTGGTAGCATGCAACGTCAACCTCGATACATTGCCAATGTCATCGTTGCTGATCGTGATGATATTGAAAATTTCCGGATGGTGGACCGTGGCGCAGTTTTGGGATAGACTCTCAAGGCTACGAATGTTCGCTAGCTCATCGTAACCCCTTCCAGAGCGGAAAGCGATGCCCCATAGCTGAGCTGATGCACACCTGAGGCTCGAATGGAAGGGATATGAAGGGTAAGGTGGGTAAAATGTGGGATGCTTCAACAGGACATGAGTTGATATCATCCTGTTCAAGCCAAAGTACGAGGCTTGCGCTAACCCTAGCCGGACGAAGATCTCTTCCTAATGCAGCGCTATCTACGATTGGCTGATGCATTGACCTCAACCCAGCCGAGAAGGGAAAGTCGATGCCTCGTTACCCGCTCCATTCTTTTTCAAGCTTAGTCCTACTGGAAACTTTCGGCTGCAAAGAAAAATTGGGAGAATATGCCTTTGGAATGATTTAGCACATATCAATAAAACATCCATTGACGTCCCTATTTGATTGACCGGCGTACAATGGTGGGCAGAGGTGGGCGATCGAAAGCATGCTTGCCTTGTCGGCAACAGCGTGTGAAATGCGGTAAGAGGCCTTCCTTTCAGTTTTGACGGAGGCAGAAGACTTATGGTCCTTTGACCCAGACGAATCCAAACCAGAATGTCGTCGATGTCGGAGTCGAGGGCTGACATGTACTGGCTACCCGGAGGGGCTCGTTTTCATCGAAGAAGCCACGACAGACCGACGATTCGCCACAACACGACTTCACGCCCGGAGAAGCCTGTCGGGGGACCCTGAACCAATCAGCAATTCGTTGGTTGTCATGAGTACTGATGTTTATTTTGCTTTCCTCTTAAAAGAAACGCATGACTCTCCTGGCGCTTCTCCGTTCGATAGCCGCTGGCCACTTTTTGCAGCAGCTACCATGTCCGAATGCCTCCCACGAGAGTGCCTGGAATGCTTTGCGACATCATATTATGGACGCAGACAAGGCTCAGATCACATTCAGAGCAGCGGAAGGAAGCTATACACTAAGTGTCTTCGAGCATTGAATAGCTGTCTTCGAGAGCCGGAGTCGTCAATAGCGAGCGAGACTATCATGTCGATTATCATTCTCACGATATGCGAAGTATGTTCCCCCTCCCTTCTCCTCCCACTTACCACATAACTAACTACAATTGAAGTATCTCACCGCGACAAGCCCTACAGCCTGGATAGAGCACATGCACGGATTGGCCGCTTACTTTCGCTTCCGAGGCCTTGGAATTTTTCGTCAACCACTGGTACTCGAGCTTTTTGAGGCCACTCGATTTTCGATGATCACGGCAGCTGTGGCCACTCGACAAGCTACATTTCTCGCTTTGGATTCATGGAAAACGGATCCGTGGAGAGCGGCCGGGCTCAAGAAGACCATGGTGCAATGCTTGATAGATCACGCCGCAGAGATTCCGGCCCTTTACGTCGATTTTATACAGTATTTGAAAACATCAAGTCCAGTCACGAAAGCGAACATGGCGGCTGTCTTGGAGGTGAATATGGCGAACCTCTTCAAGAAATTTCAAAGTTGGCATCACACGTGGAAAATGGAAAACGATTCATTCATTCAAGAGGTCACTCTCTCGGTAGAGGAACAAGAATACTTCGGTGTCTCTTCTAAGCTTGCCTTTATCAATATCGACCACACGGTTACGGAGATCCACTACCTCCAATCTGTGATAATTCTGCTGGAATTGTGGAAAAAGTTTCGTGGAGTTGCTCCCAGGCTCGCTATGGATGCCCAGGGCGGACAGAACTGTCACCCAGAAGAGACCAGAGCCGCCAGGTCGGATCATCACCCACCAACAACCTCACTGCATATGGAAGGCCACGCAGCTGCCTTGGAGATTTGCCGGATAATACTCGGATGTCTTCAACCCTCGGGGAGACTAGCCTATGCGGTTCAATTCATCCTAGCCATTCGAATGGCACTCACTGTCTTTCGCCAGGAAGATGGAAACTTGCAAGTAACGTGGCTGGAAGGTTGTCTACAAAGAAGCTCGGAAATAAAGCACGGCTGGGACATTGGGAACAATGCCATGCAATCCTATCAATTGGCTTGACGCCGTAAGACGTACGTATGCATGATACGCACATGTGTGACTTTGATTCTCAGCACCCCGAACCATAATGCCCTTCCTGCACCTCTTTCGCCAAGACTTGCGCCTTATTTGAACGGTGCCGAACACAACTACTACGTCTAGAGCACCGCCGCTTTCTACCATGCCCTTCATCAATGATATTACCGCCATTTTGGACATTGCGCAATACCATCCCGATCAGGGGGATTAATCGCCATTGAAGCAGCAATACCTCCATCAACTGGTAGATCTGTCCCTGTGAACTTGACCACAGACTGAACAATTTCTGCATCACCAACATCTAATCTCACAAAAGCACCTTCACCCAATGCGTGTCGCAGGGTCCTTGGCTAATTATGTATTGAAGCCCGCTATAACAACGTTTGCTCCCTCGCAAGCCAGCACCTTGCACCTAGCGAAGCCAATGCCCGAAGCTCCGCTAGTCACCATGGCTGCTCTATTCCGCTGAAAGTTCGGGCTCCGTTGATTGGATTCGAGGCCCACGCACCAATATTAATCCGATTCTCGAGGATGATGTCGAACCAGTGCCAGCCATTGTATTCGAGGCCCGTGTCTACTTGCCGATCCATCCAGGTCACGGATTTCCCAGGTATGAACGTTGACTTCTTTCCCGTCAGCAGCAATCACACCACTGACGCGAGAGTTGGGAGCGGCCAAAGGTTCACAGGGTATGTACCTCGATAGAACGCCCAGCTCTGCAATGGCAGAGCGACTGCAAGCAAAGCAAAGAATGGGAAAGCTTAGTAATAGCCATGATGGAGATTGTAGACACTATCTAATATCTTGAGGAGATTTGTAGAACACTCCACATCTGATGTTTTCAAGTTCCTGTTTTCGATTGCGAGTCTACCTAAGCTCTCGGATGGATCTGGCTCCTTCCGAGGCCGTATGCGAGAGGTTTTATGCTCGACGCCATGCCGAGTTGTACGACCTATAAAGGGAAAGCCTCCAACCCAGACTGGCCCGGTTTGGATCCCAACCTTCTCTATCGATCTACCTGATCTTCTTGAGCGGTTCATTGTGGTCCTGTTCTGAAGCTGACAGACCAAAGACCTCGAGGACTTCAAACCCAACATGACGGATATTCATTGCGCGCCTCTGGGCAACTCTACCTCACGAGACAAGATACTTCGTCGTGTGCAGACGTCAGATAGCGTCTTTATGCCTCGCGACCTCTTTGAGATTCTGTAGCTCAATCCTGAACGCAAGGTCGCAGGCGATTTGACCAGAAAGGTAGGCGAGGAGCTCTTTTGCGGACAATATATATAAGCTGACGCGTTATTGCTTGGACATTAGTTCGGTAATCCCACTCCGCTCTGCCTATTGGGCTTCGTCGTCGCCGCGACTCCTGTAAGTCTGATTCTTCAAACCCTCATTAGCAATTTGGATTTGCAGGCTTTCGAAACCTTTCTGGTCTCCTTGAAAGAGCTTGTATGTTTCCCGGCTTCCTAACCATCAATAGTTTTCTTGTGCAAACATGGGTTGGCGAGGAGCAGGAGGCCAAGCAGGAGCTATCATGTAGTCACCTAATCCCTTGAGAATGTCCCCGCGTGTAAAGCCATTTTGCTTCACGACTCACTCGCCGCCCCAGCTTCTCCATGACTAGCAGGCTGCTATTATAGTCCAGTTATGATCTTCTTCGGTGGTATGATCCAAATTATTGGCGGCATCATGGAGTGGATCATTGGCAATACGTTCTCGATGTGCCTCTTTTTCACCTACGGGACCTTCTTCCTTGCTCAAGGGACTTCACTCATCCCCTGGTTCGGAGTGGAGATCCACTACACTCTCAACGGGAATAATTTGAAAGGGATGTAAGAGCCAGCGTACTTGGCGACCTTGGGTATGGCCGATTCTACCTTCCTTTTCTTTTTCCAACTTTCCACCGACCCAACTTCGGCAAGACTAATGATGTGGAAATGATGACTAGGTTTCTATTTTTTCTCTCTCGCAATCTTGACAACAATCTACACCGTGTGCGCCGTTCGAACTAACCTCGTCTTCCTCTGTGAATTGTTCGTCCTCATCTTTGCTTTCGGCTGCTCAACCGGAAGTCTCTGGAACCTTGCTCTGGGAAATCTTGAAACCGCAAAGGACTTGAATAAAGTATGATTTTGATAGCAGAGCTCTCTCCCTTAGATTCATGTCTTACTGACGCTGAGAACAGGCCGCTGGTACGCTTGTGTTCAGTCTTATAATGGTTGTGTGGTATCTACTTGCCATACAATTATTCGAGGCAGTCGACTTCCCCTTTGTATTACCAGTGGGAGACCTATCGGGCTTGATCAAGGGAAGGCAGGAGAGAATTGTACAGCAAGGGAAACAGGAAGAGGTCAAGGGAGAGAAGGCTCAGACTCCCCCATTCTCCTCCTAGTACGAGAACAACGTACCCGATCGGTATAGTCCCCCCTTTTGACTGCTTAGTCAGCCATCTCAGGCTGGCCTTGGCAAGGGGAACAATGCACGAAATCTTGTCTCTGTCCTTTACGTCACGACTTTCAGCCTCAATACAAGGATTCCATGAAAAATAGTCGGATCTCGACCAAACAAGCAATGATCTCTCCCAGGAACCAGATCTTACCTAGAATTTGGTACCTGCGCAGGGCCAGATCTGTGCTCGTACCATTGAAATCCAAGTGGTTGCATGACGGCATGGCTTTTTGTTCCTTCCCTACCTTCAGTATGCATATACAGCACACTCCACCAAAGCTTCCCCCAGTTGTACTTTCTTCTGTTTTATTTCGATTAAGCTCGCTCTTGAATCTCGCCTCGTGGTAAGACGGTCACCTTGCCATCGATCACAGCACCCCAAAACATTTGCGTTCAGAAACGTGAGGTAAAATGTCCAAAAGAAACATCCCTGACCACCCTGAAACCAAGCATCCATCTACAAAACGAGCGAAGGAGATCGATGCCAGTACGCCCTACGAAGAGCTTACGAGTCTTCTTGCCAATCAAGGAAGTCCAAAAGAAACAAGGAACGTGCTCCATTGGTTTCGTAGCAAAGACCTCCGCATTCATGACAACCAAGCCTTACATGCAGCATCCAGTCTCGCTAAAGAGTCCAAAGCTCCCTTGATATGCGCCTATGTCAACTGTCCAGCCGAATTTCGATGGCATGGGACCTCGCCCGCGCGGACAGACTTCATTTGTGAAAACCTCGGGCTTATGCAGACCGAGCTCAAGCAGTTGAATATCCCTCTGGTCTTTCTGGAAGCGAGTGAAAGAGATGAAATCGTGCCGGCCATCGTAGATTTCATCCGTGAGAACGGTTTCTCGCATGTCTTCGCCAACTACGAGTACGAAATCGACGAGCTGCGTCGCGATATCAATGTTCTCAAGGCAGGGCCTGACGATTCGTCCAAGGCCTTTCAGATTTCCTTTCACCACGACCAGACCGTTGTCGAACCCGGCACCATGCTCACTGACAACAACAAGCCGATGAAAATATTCACGCCTTACCACCGTGCCTGGCTCGCCGAAGTCAAGTCCAACCCAGGCCTTTTGGACACCGTGCCCGCGCCGTCCAAGAATCCCGGGGATGTTTCAGGTGAACTGAAATCCTTTTTCGACAGCAAACCGCCCACTCCTCCCAAGGAGAAACAATTCAAGGATGAATCGGAACGCAAGCGCATCCGCTCTCTGTGGCCGGCTGGCCATGATGCAGCAGTCGCACGTCTCAACAGTTTCTTGGGCGACAAAATCGAAGACTACGCTACAACCCGCTCCAATCCTGCAAAAGACTCCACCTCTCGACTGTCTGCTTACTTGGCGGCCGGTGTGCTCTCCATTCGTGAGACTCTGTCGGCGGTACGTAAAGCAAATAAAGGGTCTGCGGACTTTTCGCAATCCAGCTCCGGCTCCGGCATAGCATCGTGGGTCCGTGAGCTCGTGTTTCGCGAATTGTACCGCCAAACCACGCTGACGACACCCCACACGGCCATGAACCTGCCACAGAACCTCAAGTTCGATTTCGTGCATTGGGAAGACGACCAGGAAGGTTATGACCGTTGGGAACAGGGCACGTTAGGTGTACCCTTTGTCGATGCGGGCATGCGTCAAATCAAGCACGAAGCTTACATGCACAATCGGCTGCGAATGAACGTCTCCAGCTATCTGTACTGCAACCTGCTGATTGATTACCGACGTGGTGAGCGCTACTTCGCCGAGACTTTGATCGACTGGGACTTGAACAACAACACGCAGGGTTGGGAGCCCAGTTACACCGTCTTCAACCCCGTCAGTCAGGCGGAGAAGAATGATCCAGAGGGAGAATATATTCGAAAATGGGTCCCAGAGTTGAAGGACGTGGAAGGAAAGGCTGTCTTTGACCCGTATCACAGGTTGTCAAAAGAGGAGTTCGAGAAGCTGGGATATCCCGCCCCATACGTGGACTGGCATGAGACCAAACAAAGGGCGATTGAGAGGTTCAAGTCAGATATGAAAGATGCCGATCCCTGAGGGATGTGGCCGGACTCGCCCATCACGGTACGGGCTGTATACTCCATGCATGCTCACAAGTTTTGCTATACTGACAAGGCTGTTGGATCTGAAACGGACGCACATGTACATCGACATTTTCGATATCGGGACTGCTTCATGAAGTACCTCCTCGATATTGCTCGAGTCTTAACCCTGCATAGAATTTATGCCATCTCCACCTCCTTTAACATCTTCCACTCTTCTATCTATACGTGGCTGTGTTGACGTATTGACGAATTTGCCGCGGTGGGATTGTTTGTTTTCACGTCAACAAACTTGCGACTGAACTTTTTGACGACAGTCACTGCCAGGAACATATCGTTCAAGACAATGAGAACGCACGGCAACATTCTCACTCAACAGGTCAATAGGTTTCACGTGTGCCAGAGAAATATCAGTGTATTTCAACGTCCATTCCAGTGAATTCACATCGTTTCACCATTGCCAGTGAAGTGGAAGCACGGCAGAATCCCAAGCGGTGATGGAGGCTCCCGGCGAGAGACCACATCCGCCCTGCCATCAACCGTCTCGACCGCCTTTCACCAAAATTGAATGCCTCGTTATTAACGTCACCTCACAACGCGTTTCTCGTTAGCGCGTTTTCCCTTGCTGCCGCCCTCCTGTTGTTGTTGCCCCAAGGTGTCGTATTTCAATCCTGCCTTACCATGTCCTTTCCCTCTCTTCCTTCCTCCCCTCCTCCCTCAACCACCAACACCCTCCGCGACCAACTCTTGGATTTGGATAGAGAGGGGCAGGCCCTCAAGCTCAAACAGAGCAAACTCGAACGCCGGCTCAGGGCCGTGAGGAAGTTGATAGCCAAAAATATAAACGACACCCGCGTCAAGATGAAGGAGTTTGACGCCAACTTGGCATCCCAACAGGCCGTCAAGCCATTCGAAGCTTTCTTCGAGGACCTCGACAACGTTGAGGCGATCGTCGAGGGTCTTTGGCACCAGTTACAGGGCAACGCGGCGTTGAGGATCGCCGTGCACGCCATTGCCAATGGCCGTGGTTCGGCTGACCACATGGTCAGAGTGGCGGCGGCTCTGATGACTGAGTTGGTGGGCGATGCCACTCAGGTCATCCAAGACATTGCGGCGAGAGCGCAGCAGCGCGTCAATCGCAACGGCGAAGACGACAACGTCGACGATGACAACGATGACAACCTTGATCCTCAACTCGTTGACGCCACGTCAACTTCCGATGACATCCCGGCCTTCCTTCATGAGCGAGTCATCAGAGAACCATCACTTCCCAACGCCATGTCTTCCTCTCACCATCAACATCGCCTCACCTCTCCCAGCATCAAGAGTGAAGACGTCAGCGACCATCAGCCGACCCCGAGTCGAGCAACTCCCAACATGTATGCATCTCAATCAAACAACAGCAGCAGCAGCAGACCACCACCCGCCACACAGTACAGCTCTGCAAACATATTCGCTCAACCACCCTCGGTCGCCACAGGAGCCATGTATGCGCCTGCGCCAGGATCTGCTGCTACAGCCGCAACTGCATCTGCACCCGCAAACATGCCCACTGCTACCTTGTCATCGTCTGGAAACATTCTCAACAGGACTCCAAAACCACCAACAACAACTGCTGTCCAAACTCCGCCTACTCAAGCAACAACAGTGGCAGCACGATCTGTCCAAGTTCCAGGCGCCAGTTCCAGATTTCTTCGTCTTGAAAGTGCATTCCCTGGTCTTCTCGACAGCATCAACAGCCGTCCGACACCTGCAAAGAAGCGCCCTGCACCACCTTCCGAGCCTACTCCACCACCTCCTGAGCGACCAGCCACACCTGCTCGAGCCATCAAAAGAAACAAGACAGCCAAGGAACAGAGTAAGCTTCAAACACCCTTCTACACATCATTCTATTTCTTGTTCTTCCTCTTTTGCCATGAAATACAATTGTCAGTCACAAAATCATTTGACTAACCAAACTACCCCAACACAGTCATGCAACCTGCATTTGTCGAATTTCTCACCAAAGTCCAACAACTCCACCAGGCCGGCAAGACCATCTCTCGTACTCTCCAATGCTCCAAGTGTCAAAACGTTCGTCGCGACGTGCGTGTCCTCTCCTGCCTCCACCTCTACTGCCACAAGTGTATCATCGCCTTACGCAACGAGGCTTCTGCAGGTGACGCGCTCACTGGTTTCAAGGCATCCTGCGCCGTGGGCGACTGCAAGGGTTCCGTGAGTGGCAAAACTTCAGTCATCGACGGTGACATAATCGACTTTCTCAACTGGTACGACACCCAAGATGCCGCGATTGGAGACTTCCCGTGCCAAATCCAGGTCATGAAACTCGCATTCGACAAGACTCCCGACGACGACGACGTTCGGGTCAAGAAGCAGGCCGTCGAAAAAGAAGTCGGTGATGCCCAGATGAATGGAGAGACCGATACGCCTGTTGATTTGGTCAAGCTTGTGAGGCTGATTAGAAAGCCGTTTTGATTTGATTTGCATGCACAGCGAATGTCGCGAATTGCGAAAAAAGCAAACAGCAGAGCAGAGTGCAAAAAGTGCAATGCAATCAATCACACATCTTATCATAACAACCAAACGAAAACACCCATGTGAAAAGAAAAGCTTCCACGCCGGAAAACATGGGCTGCAGGTGAAAATGTCTTTGGTATCCTCACAATAGGAAGAGAGATACAAAGAACTTACACATCATCATATCACAACACAACCTGACCAAAACAAATCCCTTTTGCCTTGCCAGTTAGTTTGCTGAGACGGAATGATATGAAGAAACCCCAAAAAGGAAGGAAACACAGACCAGAACTATGAGGACGCATGGTCTTTTTTTCCTCCTTCTTCCACAAAGACAGGGCGGAAACGATGACGGATGCATTGGCGCTCACACAAAAAAAGGGTTTGATCCTTGGACAAACATGGACACTTTCGAATCCTGGATCATGTATGATTTGGAACATTGAGAGACACACACATCCACAGTCACAGAGACCCAAGAGCGACAAAGGGAGAAAGGGAGACTCAGAAGTGACAGCTTACTTGCCTGCTTGTTTTTTGCCCTTTTTGCGAATTATACCAGGAGAGCAATTTGGGCACAACGTGTGTTTTTCCCTCAAACCTGGAAATAGATGAGATCAGCCGAAATGAGACGAGACGAAAGGAATACTCATCCAAAAAATTGTCAAACTGCAAACCGTTGATAGAATCCTCACGAATAGAAGTATGGAGGGTCCAAAATTGAGATTCTGATTTGCATACCAGTCTTTCCTTTCGAGTTTCCTTCCCTTTCCAAAGTGATAGTATCATATCCTCCGGGATAATCTAAAAAAAGAGCCCATGTTGAATTGTTGGTTAGCAGTATGATCGGCAAGGTCGCTTCGATTTCTTCTTTCACCGCCCGTCCACCCCCTGACATCGAAATCGCCAGGCTGGAATTTGGGTTGAGATTACAGACTTGGAAACCCCAAGCAGAGTGTATAGAGTCTCAAGTAGACGCCGGCGAACTTGGGAAAGCTTTCGACGTTCTCATCATCCGCCATGGACCGATATGAAGATTTTTCTACCTACCTGAATCTAAAAAAGCGTTTCCGTACAATGTGTGCAATGTACACAGTCATATTTTTACATTCTCTCTTGCACTTGTTCTCGCTGTGTATGTGACCACGGAGAGGTATCTTTCCTCCCCCTCCCCGGGTACCTATCGAACGAAGGGCCGCGGGAAACGGTCCGCCCTCCCTACCACCCTTGCTTCCTCATCCTCCTGATCTTGCCACATTCGGCGATGAAGCCTTCCCTGAACAACCTTCTCCACCTCAGCATGCGCATGTCCTTTCTCCTCTGGCCCCGTCGCACGTGCCTCTTTTGTGCCATCGAGTCGCTCTTCACCTTGTTCTCGGAACATTTACGTTCGAGCGCACGGAACGCCCGCGCCGGTTCGCCGTAAACGCCGTCGACCGTGCGTCCGAGGGACGGTTTGAGGCGGAGGGCGATGGACGAGGTCCCCGCCATGGCGAGCTCCCGCGCCATGGCGTCCTGGTCGAGGGCGTGCCGGGCGATGCTCTCGTTCAGGCCGGCGAGGAGGCGCGACTGGGACTTTTGGCCACGGAAGGCGCTCATGTTGCCGGTGGCGGTGCTCGCGCCGCCAGGCCCCTCCCTCGAAGTGGTTGTGGTGGTCGGTTGCATGGGTTTCATGGATTCCATCATTTGTTTCCAGGTCTTGGACACGTTGGACGATTGTTCGGGTTGGGGCGGAGAAGATTGTCGGTTTTGTTGTCGATCACCGAGGCGTATCGACGAGGTGGTCAAGGTTCTCGTCGCTCGTGACGATGAGGAGCATGGGAGCTGTTGTGGTTGTTGTTGTTGTTGTCGTCGTCGCATGCTTCGGATGGACGTGGAGGTGGAAAATATCCGTTGCGTAGGTCGAGAAAGTGCAAAACATCTCTGCAACGACGGTAACGACTCCATCTTGCCCTTGAGCAGCGGGCGCGAACCAGCCGAAGACGTGCTCAGGTCAAGAAGTAGTTGGTGTACAGAGTGCAATAGTTGACCTTGAAGTTTCGCCGGTGCAGGACGAAGACGAATTCTCGACTTGAAGCTCGCAGGTAAATTGTGGCCAATCAGAACATTAGTTGTGCGGAGCCCAAAATGTTTCATGTTTGACCGACGTAATTTGGACAATTCGCAGACTTACAGGGTAACGAGTAAATCAACTCGAGCAGTCTCCCTCTCTATTTCTACAGAAGAGAAAACCATTCATGAATGCACAGACCACAAGACCTCTGCTACGATCGCTGCTCAGCAATAAGAAATACATTGCCACGCCGACCTCTTCACCTCGCGTTCACCATCTCCTACCCCTCCGAATCATGTCCTCTAGCTCTGCCCCAATAACCCTCTCGTCCCTCACATACCTGCAAGGCAAAGCCCTGGCCCCTCTCCTACTTGATCCTACTGAACAGGCAAAGATTGCCGTGATTGATGTTCGAGATTCAGATCACGTAGGTGGAAACATCAAAGGGAGCACATGGATCCCACTTAACCAGCTAGATGTGCGGATACCTGAACTCTTGAGGACGCTCAAGGACAAGGAGAAAGTGGTTTTCCACTGCATGTTGAGTCAGCAGAGAGGTCCTCGCGCGGCGTTGATGTACGCAAGAGCGAAACGGGCACACAGTTCCAAGGAGCAAAAAGCAGAGCAATCTGATGAAGAGGTGGCGCAGGGAGCGCAAGAAGTGTGCGTGTTAGAGGGTGGCTTCGGGCAGTGGCAAGCACAGTTTGGGGAAGATCCTCGATTGACTGCGGACTACGTGCCGGACATCTGGCTCTGAACGACCCAGCTGTTTGAGAGTGGATTTGGTACAGCACAAAAGAAAGACTGACAGTATGCCTTACCTCGAGGCACATCCACACGGCCACCAATAGCACCTGGATGCACTGGAATTGCATCCTTCTTCAAAGCATCCGACATGGCTATGTCGGGAATTCTGGGCGACAGGTGAGACCTAAACAGGCGGCGTCCAACGTCGCCCGGTCCTGTAGTCGAAAGATTCGGGCCCCTTCCAGGGCTGAGAATACCTTCGCCATATGGTACCTTGTATACCTATGGAAGAAGTCTCATCTTGGTGTGGACGTCGACACTGGTGGCAATGACTCACCAACTATGACTATTCATCCGAGGTGAAGGAAGGACGCCATTCGAGGCAGGGCATTCCGCTTGGGGAGAGTGTATAGTTTTTGCCGGTGAGGATCCGATGTTTGAACCGTGTCCACATGAGTTAGCCCTCATAAATGCTGCTGCCGAATAGAGAGGCGATGGCAGCGTACCACATTTTACAATGTGGCGTGGTGGTGATGGTTCGACCATTCTAGCATCTTCCCTGCTATAACGGTCGGGTCAAGCTCAGCATAGGAACTCAGAGATGAAATACAATGACTCTGTCTATTTAGTATACTTATGTTTCTGTATGCTCCTGCTAATCTCAAAAGAGTCCTGTAATGATATCATCTTGGTTGACAATATTCCTTGTTGTACTGTACAAGGCTGACCTCAAAAGGGTTGCCAAGCTGATCCGTGTCTAAAAATAGCGGGAATATATTTTGGACGGAGAACAACTCAAAGCGTTACACAAGTAACGACTTCCAAGTTTGATTTTCGAGTACTTCGAACATTCAAAGACTAAACTCAAGTGTCGGCATCTATACGGAGTTCACAAAGAACAATATTCATCATGTCTACTATCAACAAGAAGACATTCCCGATGTGTGGCGTCTCGTATGTCAGCCGAATCGAACACGAATATCTCCACAGCAAGAAACTATCAGTCTGTGCCAACTGCCTGGCATTGGGATTCCAAAAGCCTCTGAGACGCTGTAATGGCTGCTTGTTGATTGATTACTGCTCGAGAGAGTGAGCCACATGACCTCATTATGTAGTGTGAACTGTGCTAACCCAGCATAGGTGTCAAAAAGCACACTGGCCCGTCCATAAATCCTTTTGCAACCTTGTCCAGGGCAAAGGTGCTCCAAATGCATACTTGTCGTCTTTGGAGCGCAGTCAAGCGCTACGGATGATTGTTGATGCCTATCGACTCCGAGTTGAGACGGACCATCTCTCACGGGAGGAAGACCATGGGATATATTATCCAGGAAAGCCAATCGACGGATTGGTTTGGGTAAAAGGTGATGGTGAGTTTTGACTCGCTGCCTTCGGAAGTTTTAGTTCTTGATAGAATTTTACCTCCATCTTCCTTACTAATCTGCAATGCCACAGTTGTCGATGATTTTCAGCGGTTTCTCGATCTAGTGGAGGGCACCTCCATCTTACCTGAGTGGTGGCACTCGGAAGAGAGGATGGAATGTCTGGTTCTAGCAACCGATAAGGGCGACCCGGAGTCAATATTCAAGCCACTGAACCAAGCCGAGCTTCCTACAAGATACGGTGGTGACATGTCGGTACGGGTGGCTCTCGCAATCATAGCGGAGATGGTAGTGGGCTATGATGGAAAAGGCCCGGCGAGAGATGACACCTGGTTCCAAGACTTTCAAGAATTTTTAGATCTCCATCCACATGAGAGGGCACGTCTGATAAAGGGAAGCATAGAGATGGCCGATCAAGTCCTCAGAGAACATGGCGAGCAGTTCAGGTAAATCCTTAGCTCGAGCAACTCGATCCTTACAAAGAAAAAAAAACGGCATCGAGGAATTGAATCGCAGGTGGTGAATGATTGTTGTTAGGAAGGCGCCATCCACCAAAGTGAATATTCGTTGACTCGGTCCAAGATGGTTTGAAAAACTGCGTCGAAAAATTCTTCTTTCGCGACATCAACACAGAACAATACGATCTTTGGGCGTATTAGAGATGGCCCGGACCAATACGTTTCCAATGTAGGTGTGCAAGAAGCCAGCTGCGTCTTCCCAAGCCTCAATTCGAAACTGACCACTTGTCTCATAGCTCGGCCATGGTGCGTAGCAATTCCTCAAGAACGACACGGCAGCTGATCGTCGTCTCAAGGATAACCACGATGGAACTATTAGTATCCCATTGTCAGAATACACCGACCTAGTGAGTCGTTACCCATACGACTGAACGGGAGGACGGCTGATCGTTGCTTGCACAGCTTCGGTCCGAACGAGAGTACATGTCTCTTCGACAAGCCCTTGTGGCAGGTGGTTGTCCCATTGACAAAGTCAATGTCCTGATCGAGAGCAATCTTTCCTCAATCGCACCGCGCAATCCCTCCAATACAGCTTACACGACCGTGAGCGGCGACATGGCCGGCGACGCAACAAGCAGCAGCCCATACCATCCTTCCGGATGTGTGCAGATCAACCTTTCTCCTCTATTCAAAGAATTTCGTCCGAGACATCCGACACCATTTGTATCTCGTGGGTACTCACCGGTATCGAAGAGAGAATCTCTGTTCGAGTGCGAAGATAAAGCCGTGCAGGTTCTACAAGAGGAGGTTGCAGACCATTCTGGTAATCAATATCGTACACTTCTCTTTGCCGGCTTGCCTCTATCTGTGACTCTACTGGATCTCACAGAAGTAATAAGGGGTGGCCAACTTCTTCAGATCTCCTTGCGTGATGGTGACAAGTATGCTCGAGTATCATTCTTGGATCCTGTTGCAGCTGAGAGGTTCTTGATGCATTCTGAGCAAAACGGGATCTTCATCAAAGGACACAAAGTATGATTGATCTTGGTAATCTATGGAAACCCTTCTAACAGACAGTAGGTGAGTGTTGTGTGGAACGACCGCCAGCTGTCTCTAACGCCACACCTTGCCCATCGAACTGCGAGTGGTGCCACACGCAACTTGATGATTCGTTATTGCAAGAAGTATATGACAGACGAGTCGATTCGTGAAGATCTTGATCATATCCATAATCTTCAGATCGTCAGCATCCACCATTCCGGTCCACACTGCGCCATCTCTCTGAGCAGCGTTCAAGGCGCCACCGCCGCCAGAAGCTGCATGTACACTCGCCAGAAGTACAAGAGTGTGAGAATCGAATTCTATCCCGACGAGTGTGCACAACCGATACCAGAGTGGCAGCCCAAGGACTATCACATGAGCAAGAGTCCTTGTATTGAGATAAGAAATCGGTTCGAAGTCTTTCTTGATGATTCCGACGAATGAAAAACTCCGAGGGTAAGTAGACACTAGATGAATACCAGACTGAAAGACCTTTCAAAAACCTATTGATAGATTTGCTACGGGTGATACCATCGGCTTTGTTGAGACTGGTACTAGTATTGTGTGTATCATTATGGGCGGGACGACGTCTGGGGTCTACAATACTTCTGGGTATGATGTATGGATTATGAAAGATGCTGTGCATCCTTACCTACCCTTAGCACATGGCAAGTGTTTATCGACCCGACCAGGGTGACTACTGTGTGTCATAAGCACTCATTGTGCTTTATCCTAAGAAATCCAATTTTCTATTGTTCCTATCCAAACGTGTTGTTTCATGCTGAGGTCCCTCTTGCCTATTCCAAGCATTAGATTTTGACGTCTGGCTGCAATAGATTAGGTGGTAGACATAATTGCGTTGACTCTTGATGTGACAGATAAATAGGAGAAGTTGATGGCAGAAACATTTCGGGGGTTGTCTTTAGAAGGAAGCAGGACATGTTCCGTGAAGCCGCTTCATTCAAGGATTACTTGCAGATTTCCAGCGAAGAACTCAATTACATATAAACAGCTACAAATACGAACTGGTCTCCCCTCCAGTTTTCGTTGTTTTCACAGACTGCTTCTTGCCCGGCCGATTGTCGCTCATTCACTCCCTCTCTCCCACATGACTTGACTTCCTTTTCGGTCCGATTGTTGTTTTGAAAGGAAACCCCCCCGGTTTTGACGTTTGCGCGACACGCTTGCTTGCCTCGCCTCGCCCTGCCAATGCCTTGCTCTCTTTCTCTTGTCTCATCAAGTCCGAAGTTCATACCCATAATGCCAAGACGGACTGGCCAGGTCTTCCCTGATTTTGTAAGTCTGCTCGGCGAGGTCGACCGTCTTCATGTCGACCTCGACGATTCGCATGCCGGGGGTGCTGTCCTCGAATCCGCCCTCGACGGGGCCCACGAGGGGCAAAACGACGCGGGAGAGCCCGGCGTAGTCTTCCGCCGGGGGGCCCCCGACGTTGCAGAAGATGACGGCACAAGTATTTTCGAAGGCCCGAGTGACGAGTGCGTTCTTGAGGAACATGACGTCGACGTCGGGACCGTACCGCCGAGCTTCTGGGGTGAGGTCGTCGCGGGTCCAGAAGGTAGGTATGACCTAGAGAGAGAGAGAGAAAGATAGGGTGGTCAGTTTTTGTGTACAGTCGTGTAGGTATCTACGAGAGAAAGAATCATGGGAAGGGAATTGGCTGGAGTAGAGGGGTCTAGGAAGGGAAACTGTTTTGGGGGGGGAAGAAAACTGACAATCAATCTAGCACCTTGTCTGACCAGTGCACGAAAAGCCTCGGGGAAAGCCAGGTCCCAGCAGATGACTATTCCGACGGGACCGAGCGGCGTCTCGATGACCGAGTGCGGGTTGGGAGGCGTGGTCGGTGGTCCTTCGTGAGACACGGGGCTCGCGGCGTGGTTTGGTCGGGTCGAGTCAGGGCCCGAGGTCAGTACTGTGCGTTCGGGGATCCAGAGGTTCGCCTTGGTGTATGACCCCAACAGTTCTCCGGTGTACGAGATGAACGGTGCGATGTTGAGCAGGGCCCTAGGCTTCGTCGGGGTGGTACCGTTGCTGGCGCCGGGGGCGGGGAGGTTAGGGTCGACGGTCACAATCGTGCCCGGGACGATGTTGATTTTCAATTCGCGCGCGAGATCCTGGTAGCGAGGGACGTAGGAGTAGGCCGTCTGAGCGAGTTCTGTAAACTTTGGGTCGTCCGGGACCCAGCCTGTCAGGTGGTACTCGGGCAGGACGGCGAGGGAAGCCCCTTGAGAAGCTGCATCGCGGATGTGATTTGCTGCGGCCGTGAAGTTGTGTTCTGGGTCGAGTGCCTGCCCACCATAGATGTCAGTGATGAGGTATAGCAAGAGCTGTATCTGGGTGAGAAATGGACAGCAAATGGGAAGAACATATAGAGTGGATATTGGCAGATGGCCGCAAGCGCAATGTAAGTAAAACAGTTGCTCAGACTGTGTGGTGTGTTTCTGACTCATTGGAACGGGGTTTCCGAATTCCTTCTTGAGTATCGCAAGAGTCCAGCACGACTTTCCGACTCTACTTGGCCATCTTGGTGAGGACATATACAGAAATGCCCCATGCACTTCGTCAGGTGAGGCTGTTCCTTTGCTTTTTGAGCCAATACCTGGGTTGCGTCGAGTGTCTCGTGAGCTGGTAAACGAAGTTGGTGTTCAGCTACAAGCCACAAGAGCACTGGAACAAACTCCGTACCGTCAAGCGGCTCTTTTCGAAACACCTTCTCACGACGAAAATTCATTGTCTTCACCCCGCTCTGTGTACTATTGCCGCAATGACAGGAATGCAACTTCGAAATCTCACCTTTGGATAAAGCTGGATCAAGGCAACCTTGAATGTCTGATTGAAGGGTTCATAAGAGGTCGCCATTGTTGTTTGACGTGTGTTCTTTCGCCTAGTATGATAGCAGTCTCCAAGTATATCAATAAGGAGAGGTCATGGAGCGTTATGGAGGTGCGGGAGGTGCTGCAAGGCTGAGGAGGAGATCTCCGTTTGTCACGTGCAGACAAGCAAGGCTGTCAGATCTACGGCGGAGTACAAGGTTGGGCCACATACACTTTTCGAAATTTCGACTGCGGGCCCGCACTTTTTGTCGGGCGCAAGCAAGACGAGTATTCTGTCCAAAAGTCCTACGACTGCATTGAAGACGAGGAGTGTTCATCTTCGAGCCGATTCTCTCTGAACCCGCAACATCTCTTCTTTATAATTTCCCTTCCTTCTTCTACCCCTTTCGAAACCACCGTCCTACCCACCCACAATGTCGTACCAAAACGGCAACACCATCGACGAGGACGATCAGCTTGAGGAGGAGCTCGTTCAGGACTACCGAGAACAGATCCAATACAACGAGGGTGAAGACATTGAACGAACAGAATCCCTCAGCGGCCCTGCGGACATACGTGCTCAGTTAGAGGCAGCGGCGGCCCCTCTTGAATATCAAGCGTCCCTGGAGACCAAGTTCGCTTCATACGACAACTATTGCAGTCTCTTCCACTACATCCTGAATTCCGATGGACCGGTCGACATCGAGCAACCTTCCTACTACTGGGCCTGGGACGTGATTGACGAGTTCATCTACCAGTTTGAGTCGTTCTGCAGATATCGAAACCGCGTCGCACGGACGGCACCGAACGAAGAGGAGGCACAGGTCCTCAGAGAAAACCCCAACACATGGGGTTGCTACTCGGTCCTCAACGTCCTGTACTCCCTGATCCAACGTTCTCAGATCAACGAGCAACTCGCGGCGCAGAAGCGAAATGAAGACCCAAACACCGTCGCCGGGGAGTACGGCTCACGACCACTCTACCGCATGTTGGGATACTTTTCCATCATCGGCCTGCTGCGTGTCCACTGCTTGTTGGGCGACTTTAGCCTCGCCCTCAAGACGCTGGACGACATCGAGATGAACAAGAAGGCGATGTTTGCCCGCGTCATGGCCGCCCACCTCAACACCTACTACTACGTCGGTTTCTCGTACATGATGCTCCGTCGCTACGCCGACGCCGTCCGGATGTTCAGCCACATTCTCGTTTATGTTTCCAGGACCAAGAACTTCCAAAAGGGCAACCAACAATTCGACGCCATTGCCAAGAAGACTGAGCAAATGTACGCTCTCATCGCCATTTGCGTCTCCTTCGCCCCCACCCGTCTCGACGACACCATCCACACTGCCTTGCGCGAGAAGTACGGCGAGAAGTTTGCAAAACTCCAGCGCGGCGGTCCAGATTCTCTCCCCGTGTACAAGGAACTCTTCCAGTCTGCGTGCCCCAAGTTCATCACCCCGACTCCCCCTGACTTTGACAACCCGTCACTCAACATTGACCCCGTCGAGCACCACACCGACATCTTCATGGATGAGGTCAAGAACACCCTGTTCAACCCGACCGTAAAGTCTTACTTGAAACTCTACACCACCATGGACTTGAAGAAGCTGTCCAGCTTCCTCGAGGTCGAACCCGAGAAGCTCCGTAGCTGGCTGCTCGTCAACAAGCAGCGAAGCAGACAGATTCGCTGGACCGAAGGTGGCCTGTTGGACGGCGAGACTGTTAATGGCAGTGAACTCGACTACGCCATCGAGGGCGACTTGATCCACATCAGCGAGGCCAAGCAGGGACGGAGACTGGTCGACTGGTACTTGAGAAATCTTGCCAGGTCTTATTAAGTCTGAGCTCGAGTTTGAGTTCAATGAAGCATTGTGACCTTTATTTGTCAGGACAAGGGAAGAAGAGGTTATGACTTGCATGCGAGTGAAATGTGCCTGAATGGACTCGGTCTTGTGCCGACATGGGGGAAATTCAGGAACTCAAAAAAGGAAAATCGTGAGCCCAATACGCGCATCACAAGGTTTCAATATCCATTATGCGTGTCCCTCTCTCAAGAGGGAGACTTGCCTGGATTCTTTGAGCCCCGCCGAGGGGGTTGAACGAAAGGAGAAGAGTAAAGGAAAGCGAGAGCCAAGGACCCAGCAAACGTGCCAGAAATGACGAGGTGTGTCGGACGAGAGAATATCGCACATCCAATGTACTTTCACGGCTGCTTGGCCGGCTATGTCTCGTATCTAGACAAGCTTGCGAGCACTGCGCATCGGGCGAGTGCTTCCGAGCTAAGATGTAGAAGGACAGACAGAAAAAAAAAGTTTCAAGAAACGTTAGAGATAGATGATATTTTCAGTCCAAGAACTGTTCTCTTATACCTAGGTAGTTTTGTGACCACTGTTGCAAAACGCCAAAGTCATGCCATGCCATGCGGCCACCCGTCCAGCTTGTGTGTCTCCCACTCAGCGCCAAAGTTCCGATGCTCGTCATGGCAAGTGAAAGCTGTTGATACGAGTACTCGAACGAATCACGACTAGTCATCGTGCATTGCGTCCTCGTCGTCGTCCTCATCCTCGTCGGCAACGGCATCCCTGCGCCCGTTCACCGGCGGCGGCGGCGTATTCCTGTCATCGTCCCTGTCCCTGTGTCGAATACCGTTCGAAGTGCTAACCTCCATATCCTCTGCGTCCTGCACCTCGGCCATGCTGACATCCTGTGCACCCGCGTGGAGCTCTCCTTGCTCCTCGAGGATTTCATCTGCGCGCGCGGCCTCTGCGGCGGCTTCTCCGGCACGCAGAATCTCAGCATACTCGTCCGCAAAGGCGTCGTCGTAGTCGCCGCGGAACTGATACCGGCTCACCTTCTCGGCGGGCCCGGGCTCGCCGAACATGACCATCAGCTGGTCGGGGACGGGCAGTTCTTCGTCGTCTTCGTCGTGCATTCGGGTCGCCTTGTTCAGATTCGCCCTGTCGGCCTTCATCCTCACGCGCTCGATGATGGGGTAGTAGTACGCCGCGTTGCCCTGTTTGTGAAGCCTCGAGTCGGGCTGCAGTTTGTCCTGGCTGATGAGCGAAACGGCCATGATGCGTCGGGGATCCACCGTGTTTTGCGTCGCAGAAGTGTACACGCGCACCCGCTCAAAGGGAAGGCGCTGCGAACCGTCGGCAGACTCTTCGAGGAGAGGAGCGTACAAGCTGGGATCATCCTTGGCAGGGTTGCTGTCGTCGAAAATCTTGCGCAGGCGCGAAGTAGAGTCTGGCTGTTTGGGGATGTTGAGTGACCACATGTACGGCTCTTGACCGGGGTCCTCGTACAGCTCGGGATGTTCGTCAAAGGCCTTCTTTTTGGCACGCCATTTGGCGATCTCTGCCGTGTTCTCGGTACTCATCAGCAGACCAAGGTCGATGCGGTCGTCGCGCCGGCCACGAACAGGTGGCAACGGCGGTTTTTCGAACTTCAAAGCCCACCAGTTGCTCGCCAGATCCGTGGTCGCGTCGAGGTCGGGTAGGATAGGGTAGTATTCGACGGGTTTGAGACGCGGGTTGTCAGGGTGGACCGGATTATTCCACGCTTCACGCTCTTGCGCAGTTATCGGGTTCGCCTTGGCTTCAGGCGGGTTATAGGGTATGCTATCTGGGTAGGCGAGGTCGAAGCCTTTCTGGATGTGTCGTTTAATGTTCTCTGGATCGTCGCGAACCACCGGCGGTGGAACTGGTTTGGTCTCGGGTTTTCGTGCTCGAGCGGTCGATCGCATCAAGGGATCATTGGCTCGTGCCATTTGTGAGGCGGTCATGTATTGTGTTTTTCGAAGGAAGGAAACGTTGTTCTTTGCACCTTGACTCTTGAGCTGATCGTAGGATAGCATGAGTGCGTGGTCCGCAGGATCAAGGACTGGTTGTATCTCTGGAGCCATGATCGCACTTTCGTCGCCCAGGAAGTAACCTGGTACACCGACCATGTCTATAGGCATGCCTCCTTCTGCGTCCACCTCAATGTTTGGTTCTTCTCGTTTTGCAAGGGCGGAGGCATATCCCGTTGTCAGGTATTGTGCGAGACCACCAGTGTCGATGTCGAGAAGCTTTGGGGCCATCGGCGGGGGAGGGAGGTCATTCCGATATCGTATCGAAACGACCAAGTCCTGTTTGAAGGCCTTTGCATCGCCGGACGTCGCCATCTTGACACGAGGTGGTGGTCAATATCAATATTGTAGAAATGTCTCTGGCGACGCGCGCAAGTGGAATGGCGGAGTGGCAGACGACCGAGTAAAAGTTCGAAGAGAGACAACTTGTATGCTCAAGGTAGATTCATCGTGACAGGATCAAACGTGATGGTCTGGACAGTCTCGTGGAAAGTATTGTCGACCTCCGAGCCTTGGATGTTATGGGCGTTCAGAGTGAAATATAGTGCAAAGATGCGGGTCTTCGGCCTGCGGAAAATCACATCCATCCAAAGACGAACTACTATTAGTAGAAGAATGTAAAAGTACCGCATCATTTCTCGTCTTCACTTTTTTGCCTCTTTCGACTCTTCACGACCATTCCTACTCGTCATTTGATCTCCGTCATTGAATTAAACAATCGCGACCAGAAGCAATGGGCTGGTTTTGGGCAGACTCTCCAAGGTCAAATCCTGCAGTCGTTGCACCATCGAGTGCATCATCACCTCCGGTCAGTTCCAGTTCCATCCCAGCCGCAAGGCTTTTGATAATGACCCTCATTGACATTCTTCACAGCCGTCATGTCCTATGCATAAACCTTCAGAATCAAACGCCGCTCCATTCCCCCCTAGACAAGATGCTCCTCGATCAATACCCTCCTCTTGCCCCGTCAGCCGGGATCCGAATCATCCACTTCTACACTCGCTACAACCTCAGTCCTCCTCACCATCCACGACCGAAGCCCAGCATACAACCTCCTCGACCTCTTCAACACTATCCAAGCTCAACCCTCTAAACTATATGCCGTCACTCAGTAACGCCCGGCCGACGGATTCACCCCAGTCCGTCTCCCTCCCGCTCGACCGGGAAACCTCGACCATCCCACGTGCCGATAACGACGAAAATTGGGAATACCCGTCGCCCCAGCAAATGTACAACGCCATGCTCCGCAAAGGCTACACGGACACTCCCGCCGAACACGTCGAGTCCATGGTCGCCGTGCACAACTTCCTGAACGAAGGCGCCTGGCGTGAAATCGAAGAGTGGGAGCGAATCTTCGCCCCGGGGCTCAGCCACGGATGGGAAATCTGTTCGAAAGGTGAAAAGGGTATCGCATTCGAAAGAGCGAAACAGGAATTCCTCGCCGCCCGCAGAGAAGCGTTGGGGCTTCCAGCGAACCAGGAAGAAGAACAGCGCAAGCCCAAACTCGTCCGCTTCCAAGGTCGGCCGAAGGAGCCTTCTCCCAAGGCCCGCATGCTCGGCATGATGGGGATGATCATGCCGGAGAAGTTTGGCGGAGAACCACCATTCGACCGCCACGACTGGTACGTCGCGAGAAAGAACCCGGACGGGACGGTCACCGAGGTGCGGTACGTCATCGACTACTACAGCGGAGGTGTACAGGCGACAGGGGAGCCCGTGTTCTATCTTGACATCAGACCTGCACTCGACACGCCGACTGCGGCAGTGGAGAGAGCCATGCGGTGGGGTGGCGACATATGGCACCGAGCCAGCGGCGCTTCGGCCAGAGAAGCTGCGAAAAGGGATGCGGAAAACAACAACAGAGGTTGAGAGAGCGCGTCCGTCTTGTTGATTATGCGAGTTTTATAATGATGTCCGACGAAATTTGGGTAGCGTCCGGGGGTTGGAAAATGCCGGTGTGAAGACCCTTTTATCTTTCGCAAGCGTTGATTCCGGCAAGGTGCTTGATGGAAAAGCATGTGGATCGAAAAGAGAAAGACTGGCGAAAGTTCCTGACAAGATGTTCCTGGATTGGTACTGGTATGCCGGAGCCGACCGACTTTTGTCCTTCTCAAAAATGTCGATGTTGATGTTGATGACCAAACGAGGTTTCGAATTATTTTCGAGTCTTTGGTAATATTGGCGAGAAAGTCCTCTGGACTATTGCAGTGACGATTCCGGGTGTTTCTCAGTGGCTCGATGAGCCTTGGTCTGTTTGGAGGCATGCCGACACGTTATCTCTTCTCTTTATTTCTTTTTTGTGGGATACGAGACGAGTTGGAAATATCACCTAGTAATCATGTGTCTTTATAAATTCAAGTTGATTATTTGACGTACGGTATGTGATGCGTACAAATGTTTGTTTATATTTATATCTCTTGGTATCGACAATGGTTGCAAGGATCTAGGGGACCAGATTTTGTCATTCTCAGATCTTGTCAATCGGGCAGGTCGCATTCGTAGGTTCTATTGAGAACGTGTCTTTTTCTTCACTTGGGTCCAAATGTCTGCCCAAGCCCTGGCCTGTGATCGAGGCATGTATAAAAAAGTAGCCAAGAGCCGTTCCACGTCCAGCCAGATCAACGAGCGCAGATCCTCTGTCATGCGAACGATCAGGTTCACAAAAAAATCCTCTTCGGGCTGTCCCATGGCGCACTGTGCGAATACAAATAGGGCCCAAGTGACGGCCTGGAGCTCTACAATGGTGGTGATGGTGGTGGCCGGCGGCGTCATCGTCATCATTTTCTCACCCACCCCAGGATTTTTCCTTGATCGTAATAATAACCAACTTTCAATCGCGTCCATTTGATGACAAGTCATGGCTCGCCCTAGACCGGTCGAAGGCATGATGGTGTGAGGAGCAAAGGACATGAAGCCGAGGGCAGCCATGCGGATGACCCGTTCCAGCGGAGGCACGAACGGCTCCGTGTCGCCGTGCACGAAGAAATCAGGAATGTCGTAGGGGTAGGAAACGAGGTCGTATTCCAGTTCGATGGCTTTGTGACGGAGCAAGCTGTTTTCGGAGGTCGAGAGTCCCTTGGGGTTTGTGGAGCTGTACTCGACAAGATTGCAGATGTCTCGACTCGTTCCAAGCAAGGCTTGCAGACTCGAGCTGAGCGGCTTTAGTTGTTTGAAGGCAGACCCCATCCGCGCCAATACGCTTTTTGCTGGAGGTGAGATTCGCTCGAGGATCTCCTCGGGGATCACTGCGCGCTCCCAGGGAATGGGCAAGATTGGTCTTTGCAGCAAACCAACAGACACTTTGACATTGGCGACTGGAAGCCACATCATGGACTCCTCGGAACAACCGACCAGTGAGATGATATGCGCGATACCCTTGAGGTGCATCTGTGCCTCTTCAAAGTTGCCCACCACCGTGGCTATCGAGACCAGTCCAAAACAAGAGTCGACTAGGTATTGACTCGGCGCCTTGCTCTTCTGGACCAATGTCCTCACGGCGACGATGGCTTCATGTTTCACCTTTCGATAGTCGGGGTCATTTATCAATTCGTCGTGATCGCGATCGGACGGCCTGAGATCCTCGTGCCGGCCGTACAATACCGCCCGGTGTGCTGCGACCGTGGCCATGAATCCAAGATATGTGGCAGGGTTGTTCATTTTACTTTGCAACACCATCCCTTGACGAGCGAGACGTTCTTTTGGCTGCTTGAACTCGACAGAAAAGGTCGTCGGCAACAGCACGTCGAAGCCTAACGCAAGGTCAATCTCGTTGCCCTGCCTATACAACTCGCAGCCAGGCACTCACAATAGCTCAACAAACCCTCGGACGACTTATGTGGTAAGTTGTTACAGGGCAGGGTGCAGAAAGGGTCATACACGTGGTTTGCCGGAGAGACCGTGAGTGGTGTAGTTGGGGCAGAGGTCGCAGACCACACGACAGTAAGTCGGTTTGATGGACGGACAGTCTCATGCGACCCTGGTGCGGAAACATGAGACTCATCTTTGATAGAGACACTCGACTCTGTGGAGATCGAACTCGCTCGAGACTGATGTGGTTTGGCCCTGTGCTTTCCTTGCGCCGACTCCAAACGACGCACTCTTGCCATGACATGAGATCGAATCGCCGAGAGTTGTTGCTTGCTGCCGGATTTTCTGCGCTTGATGGAGTTCACGTCTTCAGTATGATTGACGAAGGTGAATTCGACAGTCGTCTCAGCGGGGGCCGAGGGAGTCTGGCTCGACTCGTCCGGTGAGTCTGTTCGTTCCGGAGGTCAGCGATAGTGAAAGAGATGTATGTTGCCAATGTCCAGAGTACTTACCTTTGTCTTTGGCATTTCGACGCATAGTTTCTCGTCCATCTCTCCGACACCAGGCCCGCGGTGAACCCAGTATAGATGCGAAAATGCGAGGTTTCAACGCGCTGCGCCAGAGTAATTGTGATTGAGCAAGTCGCAGGAAAGAAAATAAGAGAGGGGGGAAAAGCTATGCCATGGCGAGAAAGACGGTACCCATGGTCTCGTCCATGGACAGATGTAACTCTATTGAACCATATTGGGGCATGAGACCGGTCACATCAACGACCTCTGGGCACAGGGCGAACGCAAGGACGTGCTTGCAAACCATCAACATCGAAATGGGCGGTGGTCGAGGCTAGACCGATAGAAGAAATGGATCCATGGTCCCAAGAGGGGCCCAGACTGTGTGTGGATTCTCGGGCCATGATCGCCTGCATGGATGTCGGCATCGGGGTCCAGGGTCTAGACGTCGATGCTTAGGAGTGTGACGATGCACAGCATGGCGACGGTATTAGTTTGAGATAGGAGATGAGTAGGTGCTGTAGGAGAAACAATGTTGCAGGCATTTCCCTAGTAGTGGCTCGTTTCACTAGACACTTGTCAACCACAAGATCGTCAGGGAATATCAACGAGCCTCACTTCCAAAGCGGAACGCGAGGCGTATTTACTTTTCAAACTTGACAGACTATCATATCCATCATCGTATTGTATGATTTGCAGATTCTCAAAATACATGTGCATGAACGACATGACCATGACCACCCAGTCTACGGAGTAAACCACCAAGATACCCTGGCGCCCGGGGGTGTTCCAAGTAGAGTCAGTGTTCCACACCCTGGTCGCCTTTCTAGCAACCACCAACCAGCCCTGCCTTAGTCGTCCCAGTGAAACCATCGCTTGAACGTAGGATCTGCAAACAAAAACGCCCAATGAATGCTACGCCAAAACTCTCAACCATCAATCATCTTCGCCGAACACTCTTCCTGCCATAACGTAGACTAGGAAAAAACCTGCCATGATCCAGTACTTATTCCTCCAGATCCATCCTTGACCTGCGTTTCTCGCCGCTTGACCCCCGTGTACTACAGCTCCCACTCCGCCACCACTACCCCCCAGTATCCGTCGAATTGCTTGGGTTTCTGGGGAGCAATGGATGGGTTCGCCCTCAGGATCTGGCAATATCTTGCCTGTAGCTGGGTCGATGCGGTGTTCAGTCATCCACTCGCAGTTCTCCGTGTGTTCTTCAGGAAACTCGGCCTTGAACTTTCGACCACCATCTCCAGCCTTGATACCTCCGAGGCCTTTCGTTGAAATTTGCACACCGGCCACTGGTTTTGAAGCTGTACCACCTCCTGTAGAATTGAACCACCTCGATCTCGCAGCGTGCCATTTTCGCTCTGCTTCGGTTCCTCCAACGCTTCCAGCAGTCATCTCCTCGCTGTTCATGAACGACATGAGGCCGAGCAAGATGGTTGATACCGACCAAGCAGGGTTGAACGATTTAGGATGATAGTCACTGATACTTAGACACAGTCGTGTGTTTGTCTGGAAACGTCCACTGGGAGTATGCATTCGAATTGCTGGGGGTGCAAATGGATAGTTAGGTGGGAATATGAGCGTACACCAATACTGTCCATTATGGTAGGGCGTGTCCGGGGCACCGGTCAGCAAGCAGTGCCATTCGAGAATGTTGGATTCGGATGGATGCGCTGTTATCAGAGGGACAGGGCTCTTCTGGAGTATTTGAAACTCTCTTGTCAGGCGTTTTTGTGCTGCTGGAGTCGCCATCGAGCCGTAGCGCACCCGGAAGGTGGGAAGAGGAGGTTACTGTATTATGTAGGCAAGTCGGCGTCCTCTTCGATTTCTGATGAAGGTCGCAAGTAGGAAGGGTGAGGAGACAGCGACAGTACAGTTCAAGCCGCGCGGACAGACTGAAAGGAAGGAATTGTAGCAAGCAAGGGGAGGAGAATGGCCAGGTAGGCGCTGGTGATGAGAGCAAACAAATTGTTGAGGGAGAGAAGGTTTGAATGATATGGGCACACGACATACAGTACAAGCAACGTAGGCGGAGATAATGGCAGTGGCGGCTCAGGAAATCCGGAACTCACGTGGGCGGGCGCTAAATAAATACTCAGACCGCGCCGCTTTTACAATATCATTATCGCCATTCACACCGATCTCAAGTGCCTCGTTTAGACCAATATATCTTTGCTGCAAGAGAAGAGTCTGTGAACATGGTCTTCAGCCAGGCTCCGACTGTCCTGAACCAAGGGACCTGAACATTACTTTTGGCCAAGTGGCAGTGAAAGCCGTATGACATTCTAAACAAAGAAGCTTCAACAGCAAGACACATGCACAATCCCTCATACCAAACTAATTACTTCACACTACGCCCAACATCGTCTACGATCAATATTTATGCATGACCGTTGACCTGGGCTTTAGTAGAAGTGCTCTGCTCCCTTGAACTTTGGACACGACTGTTGATCTCGGCGTACGTCTTTCCCAAACTCTTCATACCTGCCTGTAACATCGAACCATCTGCTCCGCTCAAGGACCACGTCGCTCCCATCTGGAAGAATCTCTCCAACAAATCAAGCCGTGGTCCAATGCCACCGATACCGATTGGCTTTCCGGCCTTGACTCCTGCGTTGATGATTTTGGTGATCGAGTCAAGATACAATGGATTATCGTATTGACCGGGGATACCGAGGTCGGTGCAAAGGTCGTTGGATCCAACCAGGACCCCGTCGACGCCTTCGATAGCGAAGAACTCGTCCGCAAGTTCCACGGCTCCCGGCGTCTCGATCATGGGGATGACCATGGTCTCGGCGTTGAGCAAGTGATTTTGAAGCGCGGTAGGTACTGCTTGGAAATTCAAGATGGGCTGGTTATTCGTGCAACCTCGACGGCCTATTGGCGCATATTTCGCATCTTTGACGATCTCTTTGACTTGCTCAACGGTCTCGCAGTGCGGGATCACCACCGCGGCGGCACCGGCATCCAAAATCCTGCTGAGATGCCAGTGAGCTTTGGAAGGAATCCGAACAATTGGACTGACGCCCACGTAATTGCACGCAGTGATAAGCTGGGAGAGTTCTCGAGTGGTGATGGAAGTGTGCTCCATGTCGATGAACATTCCGTCGATGCCGGCCATCTTGGCCATCATGGCGATTTCGTTGCCCAGGACGTACTTGACGCTCATGACTGAGCAGACTTCCCCTCTAAGGATCCGATCCCGCCATGGGTTGGAAATTGTAAATGACGGTTGAGCCATGGTCGACTTACGAATATCCTCCTTAGGATACAGATCGAAGAACAAAAGATGATCAGTCAAGGTCGTTCGGAAGAGTTATTATTCAAGCCGGGCAAGATCAAGAGTACTATGCTTAGGCACAGAGAAATTTGACCGCTCGAGGCTTTTATGAGTCGCAACGTTCCTCAGCACCACGATGTTCACAATGTCAACACTTCGGGTGTTTTCGTAGCAGAGACAAAGTCGCAAACGTCTCCTGAACCACTCACATGGAAGTGTCGTTGGGTTCACAGTTCGGCCTCGCACGGGGCTTCACGCATTTGACTCCTCACAACGAACCCCTCTGATGCATTGTTGGAGGCTGACCTCCAGTGTGATGTTTCGGGGGATCGTAGGAGTATGAGCCGAGGATATTGCCGTCTGCTAGTCGAGCATGGTGTTGACGCGGCATCGGACACCGGCCGCGCAGACCCACGGAAATGATACTCCACATGTCCGACGACCACCGAACGACCAGAGACAAATAGTCGATGACTCTCGCGAGGCCACTCTGAATGGCTTCATTAGCTTCGATGGCGATCTAGTGCTCTGGAGAGGAGATGGCCGAAAGTGCCTCGCCGGATCAAATGCCGTCTTCTCGATGGAGGGGTGCATCGCATTCGGCTCTCTGTGGAGGGCCTAGCACACCCAGGCAGGCAGACGATATACAACAAGCATGGTTCCTAGTTTCAATGCTAATTGAGATCCAGTGACACTTTCAAATTGACATTTCTCCAACAGATATCGACCTGTTCATCCCATCCGTCGTCTTCGGAAAACTTGTTCTACAACTCTACCTACTAAGGGGTTCACACGTCCTCTCCAATATGGCACCATCAGCAGTGACACCTCCCTCTAGTATCATCAGCCGCAGCAACAGCAGTACCAAACCAACTCTGTACCTTTTGGACATTTTCCATCCTGCCGCAATTGAAAGGGCCCGCGAACTATTCACCGTCGTCCTCCCCTCAGACCCCGAGTTCGTCGACTGGCCACAACATGCCAAGTACTTGCTTATCCGCGCCTCGTACTTGACAGCCTCCCAAATTGAAGCCGCGCCGCATCTACTCGCCATCGGAAAACAAGGCGTGGGAACGGATCGCGTCGACGCCGCTGCCTGCGCCGCCCGGGGGATCAAAATCTTCAACACCCCCGGGGTGAACTCGCGCGCCGTGGCCGAACTCGTGCTCTCCCTCACCACTTCCTTGGCGCGACAGATCCGACCCATCAGCCTACGGGTCGCCCGGGGAGAGGTGGTGCGCAAGGAAGAATGCGATGGGCTGATCCTCCACGGGTGCACGTTGGGCCTGGTGGGCATGGGCAACATTGGAAGAAAGGTCGCCGAGATCTTCCGTGGAGCCTTTGAGAGTGACATCGTCACCTTTGACCCGTACATGGGCGCGGGGGCGTGGTCCGACCTGCCTCACAAGCGCGTGACCAAGCTGGAAGATCTGTTGAAAGTGTCGGACGTGGTCAGCCTGCACGCCCCTTTAACGTCGGAGACGAGGGGACTCTTGTCGTACGACCAATTGGCCATGATGAAGAGGTCGGCGCTGTTGATCAACGCCGCCAGAGGAGGTATCGTCGACGAGGCAGACCTCGAACGGGCACTCGACGACGGCTTGATCTGGGGAGCCGGTCTGGACTGTCACGAACAGGAACCCCCCACCCAGCAGAGATACGAAAAGCTGTGGAAGCACCCCAACGTCATCAGTCTGCCACACATAGGCGCGGCGACTTCCCAAACCCAGAGGGAGACGGCTACGGCCGCCGTCGAGAATCTTTATGCTTATGTGAAGCAGACGGAGGAGGCGGCGTCGGCGGCAGCGGTTCACGAAGTGCTTTGAGAGATTTGAAAGGTTTGATATGTTTATTGTACAGGATCGGGATTCTCTTTTCTGCAACCATGGTTGGATATATGTTCAATGCTTGTTGGTGATACAGGCGTCTATGATCCATGTTCGATCACGCAATCTTTTAGAAACATTCAGATCATACCTTCACAGCCATTTCTCAGTTTTGAATTGCAGTATAAACATATTGTATCATGGTTGGCTAGGCGCAATTTTTTGTCAACAACCAAAGTCTTTGAGATCATTGTCAACTGCTAGACTCGTTAACGCTGCGTGATTTGATGTAGCAATAGTGAGAATGTGTTATACACCCAAGATCATCCGTTACCACAACTATACGTTTGACACTGTACCATCAACTGCTGCCTGTTCAGTTACCTGAGTCTCCGAGACATTGAAGTTCTTCATTAGTCGATTCCTAGATGTGGATGACCTCCTTCTCTTGGATAATATGCTTGTCCCCCTCGATATCATCATCAGGACGGACATCAGCTGCACGATCCAAATCTTCTTTGGTTGGGTATGCGATTTCCCGAATTCTGTAAAGGGGGCGTTCGAACAGCGAGTCCATCGATTCGAGTGATCTTCCAGCGGTTTCCTAGACGGACAGTGAGCGTGAAGATCCCAAGGCACAAATATGGCAAGTGAACCCGACTTACAGGCATGCAGAAAAAGACAAACACAAGAGATGTCGCGGCGATGCAAGCGAAGAAGACGAACGCTCCATATCGATCAGTCGCGGCAAGAAGACTCGGCATGGCTCGAGAACAACCAAAGTAGTAAGCCCAATGCATCGACATCATGATGGACATGTTCAACGATCTGATACGAATGGGGAAGATTTCGGAATTGATCAGGTAGGGTGCACTGAACCAACCAATGGACCAGGCAATTGCGTGAAGAAAAATCGCAACGATGGCCACGGTCGAGGCGTTTTTGATCGTAGGGTGGCTGGAGATGTAGTCGGCGCTCATGCCGTTTGTGCCACCCAAGTATCCAGCCAGGTAGATCAATGTCGTAACCTGCAGGCAGATACCGGTGATGAGGGATCGTCGACGACCAATAAAGTCGACAATGAACAATGCGAACAAAAGTGTCGAGACAAACTTGACAATGCCATAGATACCAGTCGTCAAGAACTTGACTTCGGTGCCCTCAACGCCGAGCTCGTTTCCGTTAGCACATACGTATGTAGTCAAGCCGGAAACACACTCACATATCCAAGAATTGTAGGCGAATATTGTGTAATGGCATTGGCTCCAGACCATTGCCCAAACGTATGAGCTCCAAGCATGAGCCAGAAACGACGACGATTCTGCACAGTGGAAAAGGTCTCTTTGAGAAGACTCCACTGGCTCGCTCCGCCGACTACCTCGACTTCGTGGAGGAGCTGCAGGCTGATTGCTGAGAGTTCTTCTCTCACATAAGGATGATCTTCTGGCAAGTGACGGAGCCGAGTCAAGTTCCTGATTGCGTCGGACTGTCGATTGACAGACATCAGCCACCGAGGAGACTCGAGGATGAACAGGGTGGCTACGCCCCAAATGACCGCTGGGACGAGCTGGAGAGCGGTCGGTAGCTGCCATTGAAGTTCGGTGTTCGCGTGGTACTTTGTGATCCCGTAATTGAAGAAGAAGCCAAAGACCACCCCCAGCTGCTGACAAGCAGCATATTGGACCGTCACGAGACCTCTGATAGGCCTTGGAGCAATCTGTCACCGTGAAAAGTCAGCGTGATTTTGTCGTATCTTGACCTGAATAGTGAGTGTGCTTACTTCTGAGAGATATATACTGGGCACCACGGTTGTACCTCCAATACCAAAACCAGCAATGACCCGTGAAACGTACAGCGCAGCCAGTGAGCCGTTGGAGAATGTCTGTCCGAAGATACCACCCATGTAGATGACGGTGTATATCAACAGTGCCTTCTTTCGCCCGAATCGAGTGTTGAGCCAACTGCACTTTTGGGTCTGTCAGATGGTGTTCCGTATTGGACCGAGTTCGACAACAGTTGAACTTACAGAAAGACATCCAAAGACTGCACCGGCCGTCGCGATCGACACAATCCATCCCTTAGTATTCGCATAGGTGACGGAAGATTGTGAGTCGAGCCCAAATTTCTTCTTGAAGACTGGCATAACAACAATGGATGCAATATTCCCTGGACATGGTGAGTAGGGCAGCCATGACCATTAGTGTTGGAGGAGAAAAGCTCACCTTCATCGAAACCCTTGGATACGCCGCTGAAACTCATACCAAGTGTGCAGAAGGTGAGGTACCAATTAAAGATCTCACGAGGGCTTTCCCGGACCGCCTCTCTGGTCATTGAAATGAGGTTGTTGGACTTGGCCATCTTGCTAAGAAAATTTTTCGATTTGCGCTCTTCTCCAAGGGTCTTTGAGTCCTTACACGACTGGAAATTTCCAACAAAGTGATGCGAGTCCTCACATATTTACAAAAGGTCTGCTAGTGGGGTCCCCGGCCTCATGCCATCGTTGACCCTTGTTCAAGCTGGGGCAAAGTTGGTCGACGACTTCCAAGCGAAGCGATAACATGCTGGAGTAACGAAAGGGCGAGGCGGACATTGTCGGACCTTTTGGATGGATATTGACCCACATGTCCGAAGCGCCCGACAAATTTCTTGAGACTTCAGTACACTATGGCCGACGGATGAATGTTGCGTGGAGCTTGATTGCTCCGCATAGTTCATGAATGGGGATGTCGGGACTGTTCTTCAAGTTCGTTTGTACAAGAGAGTAATATCGGAGCAAGCCAGTCGGGGGCGTGCTCTGTTTAAACGCGTGTTGTCACAAGCATCAGTAAACGAGGAGGAAAAGGTTTATCCACCCTACACACAACAATCTTGGTCTGAGTGGCCTGAAGCCCGAACATGAACTTCTATCCTCCACCTCCTGTGATCAAAGCAGAGGTGCATGTGCGGGTTCCAGATGAGTTATACTGCACGGAAGAAAGTGAGTGGCGAGGAGGGTTCACTGGTAACTTCCAAAACATCTTCTTGGAAGGTCCTACGGTAGATGCGAATGGGGACCTCTTCATTACAGATATTCCAGGTGGACAGATCCTCCGTGTCGACAAGGCGGGCCAGGTCACCAAAAGAATCAAGTACGATGGAGAACCGAATGGGATGGCCATTAGACATGATGGCAAGTTTGTCGTCGCCGATTATAGGCAGGTAAGCAAGCAATCTCAGGGCCCGAAGCGTCTAGAGTATATATCTCTGATGCTGGTGAGACAGGGATTACTTTTGTTCGACCCAGAAAACAACACAATCGAGCCACTGCTCACGAGGAGGAATTTGGAAAGGTTCAAAGGCCCTAATGATCTCGTGGTCAGTTCGACCGGCGACATTTACTTCACCGACCAAGGTCAGACGTCGATGGTTGACCCGACGGGGAGGGTGTATCGTCTCTGTCCGGATGGGAAACTAGACATGCTGGTGTCGAATGGCCCTTCTCCGAACGGATTGGTTTTGTCACCGGATGAGCGTTTTCTCTACGTCGCCATGACCAGGTCGAATGAAGTATGGAGGTTGCCTCTACACCCAGATGGTTCTACGTCAAAGGTAGGGGTGTTTTTCAAGTCTTTCGGTAATGCAGGACCGGACGGCCTCGCCATAGACGAGGAAGGGAACCTCTTCATCTGTCACCCCAGCCTAGGGTCCGTGTTCGTGGTGGATAAGCATGGGATTCCAAAGGCGAGAATTGCTAGTGGGACAGATGGAATCAACCTGACGAATTGTACATTTGGAGGACCCGATGGGAAAACATTGTACATCACAGACAGTCTTTTGGCAAATGTGCAAAAGGTGGAATGGCATTGCGCTGGCGTTGGTGCTCCAAAGAAATAGCTGCCCCCCCCGAAAAGACCGGAAAGGCATCATGAAGAGACTGCGCGACATGCCGGTACACATGTGGTGGTGTGATGAAGCTTTACGGAACACGAGCTAAAAACATACTGTAGTATATGGCGGAGACAAGGGTGTTTAGGGTGTCCGATCCACCAAGGGTCTTGTCGGACTATGGCCGAGTCAGTTGGAATGGTCAAATCCTCCATCTTGTATCTTTCCGATCATTAAGTAGGATCTTCTAGATGTATTCCAACTTACAAGACCGTTTCTTCTGTCAGCTAATTCACTAAGTCAGGCCATGTCATTCGGAGAAGACCATTACAACGGGAACATGCTTCCCGGGTCAGACTTCGTCCCGCCAGGGTCATGGGATTGCCACATGCACTGCTTCGACCCTGTACGGTTTGCATTAAGCCCCGACCGAGCCTATACACCGAATCCTGCCTCTCTGTCATCTTACGAGGCCTGGTCGCCATTTGACAACGTCATCATCGTCCAGGCCACCATCGAGGCTGCTTCGGACGGCGTCCTTGCACACGTTGCCGAAGGTTCTCGACGCTATCCCGGCAGGAGATTCTATGGTACAGTCATTTCTGACAATACAAGTCCCGAGCCCATCATCAATGCAACACCGAGGAAGGTGGACCAGCTTCATGAAGCTGGAGTACGGTGTCTGCGGATCCACTGTGGCTTCGGCGGCTCGAAAGGCTTCGACCAACACGTGGTCCACGATTTGAGTCGGCTCGCGGAGTCCAGGGGTATCGTACATTACGGCTGGGCCATTTGCTTGCGGATGCCACTGCGCTTTTGGGCTTCTTTACTCGACCAAGTCGGTCAAGATGAATCCTTGAGAAAGGCGAAGCTTGTCGCAGACCATGTCGGATGTGCGAGTCCCAGCGACTTGTCAACGGCAGAATTCGAGGCGTTCCTGGATTTGATCCGCCACCACAACGTCTACGTCAAGATATCTGCGCTTCACCGTCGCAGTCCGGGCAAATTGAAAGACATGAAGGTTGTCGTTCAACAATTGGCAAACGCCGCCCCAGATCGCATGCTTTGGGGAAGCGACTGGCCTCATGTAAACACTGGAGGAAAGGGTCTCGAGCCGACTCCTCCATTAAGCGATGCCGATGCGATGGAAGAGCTGAGACTGATAAAGTCATGGTTAACCTCCGAGCAATGGAAAAAGATGCTGGTGGAGAATCCATGCCGTGTGTTCCGCGGCGAAGAAGCAGAAAAGGCTACCAACTGAGTCGGAAGGGGCGACAAGGATGTTCCTTCATTTAGAGTAGTCTTCTAGACACTTCGCTTAAGCGATACTTGCATCCGTCAATTCATTGTCACGCATCCTGTGGTGTTTGCTGTAGTATGAGGAGAGCGTATCGGACGCCCTCCGACAATCTACGTTACTGAATGCTCGGTCTCCACCGGTACTTTAACAAGGGGACCATGAAAGCAAGCTTGGGAGCTAGCTGGAGATGCGGTGAATCCCCAGAATAGGCGGAGGAAAGAAGAACCTGGAGCATTCATAACAACCGTCTCGAGTCCTTACTGATCCAGGTTGCTTGGTCAAACTTCTCCTAAGTGCTTGACGAACCTGTGCCACCACAAGACCATAGTCATGGAAGATTCAAAAGAGGCCCAGTCGAAAGACATTGTCCTCATGGAAGATGTCCAGGACACAGCTCCAGAGAAGCTCACCGTGGCTCAAATATACGACAGCTATACCCCTGAGTTTGCGGCGGAAACCGAACGAAAACTCCTGCGTAAAGTCGACTTGCGCCTCCTTCCTCTCGTTGTAACCATGTATATCTTCAATTACCTGGACAGAAACTCCATCACGCAAGCTAGACTCTACGGCCTTCAGAAAGATTTGAATATCAAAGGGGCAACTTACAACACTGCAATTTCCATCTTCTCGGCTGGTTACATTATTATGCAACTACCTTCCACTCTGATGATGGCAAAACTTCGACCTTCAATCTTCTTGGTAAGCTTGGTTCCTGGCCCCCGAGATGATATATAGTGGCTGACACTGTACTTGAAGCCGACATGCATAATTGCATGGGCTATACTGTCTGGCCTCACATCAGCGACTCAGAACGCCGCGGGATTGCTGGCTCTGAGGTTCTGTTTGGGCTTGATCGAATCCCCGTTCTTTCCTTCGGCGATTTATCTCCTTTCTTGCTGGTACACGAAGCGAGAATTGGGATTCCGGATGTCGCTGCTGGTGAGCGGCTTACTGTTATCAAATTCTTTCGCCGGATTGATCTCGGCTGGTATTCTGGGGGGTATGGATGGGGTCGGTCATATTGCCACCTGGAAATGGCTTTTTATCTTGGAAGGCAGTGCCACCGTCATTCTCGGAATCATTGGGTACCTGGTCCTCCCTGACTATCCAGCAACGACAAAGTGGTTGAGTGAGGAAGAAAAAGTCGTGGCCCAAGCACGATTGACCAGATCCATCGGCTCAGATGACGTGCTTACCGAGGAAACTGCGTCGGTTCGACGAGGCGTTGTCTGGGCAGTCAAAGACTATCGAGTTTGGCTCTTTGCTTGTCTTCAGATGGCCACCACTGCCGACATCTCATATTCCCATTTCTTTCCTACCTTGATCAAAGATCTTGGGTTCAAGAGCAGCACCGAAACTCTCTTGCTAACGTCACCACCATATATGTTTGCATTCTTCTTCACGGTGGGGATATGTTATTCTGCCGACCGAAAGCAGAGAAGATCCGCCTTCGCCATCACATCGATTTGCATCGCCATTTGCTCTTGCGTTGTCCTGATAGCCACCAATGAGCAAGACCAGTGGGTTCGATACGCATTCTCGTTCCCTCTCACGGCCGGCACATTTGCTGTCTATTCGACCACGTATACCTGGCTTTCCTCGACCATCCCACAGCCAGCCATCAAACGTGCAGCAGCTATCGGCATAGCGAATACTTTTGCGAACCTAGCGTCTCTTTATGCCAATTACTTCTGGCTAGACCAATACGGACCTACTTACCGAGTTTCGTGGGTGATTTTGCTAGCCTTTCAGGTTTTAGGACTTGCTAGTATGGTGGCTCTTCGTCTATCGTTGAAGAGGTCAAATCACAAGTTCGAGAAGCTGTCGCAAGAAGTATCACCGAGTGATACTAACGCACTGGCGCGTCTTGATATCGACGAAAGACGAGCGGTAGTGGGTGGCTTCCGATATGTTTCTTAAAGCTGTGTTTCTCAACGGAGACCATGTTAGAGATGGTATCTGAACATGAACGACTAACATCGTCATCAACAATGAAGGTATTTGTGAGGTCTGAAAGGTTAATGTCTGAATGAGAGTATGTAGAATGGCAAGAAATGTGCACCGACCGGGACACTCAGCCCGGAGCTTCCCTGCTATGAATAGGTAGAAGATATGGTTTCATTCCCCGAATAGATGTCTGTCAATGTGAAAATATCCAACCGACTTTGCATTAAAAGAATATACCTGAAGGAAAAGAGAGGAGAGGAAGAAGACGTAAGACGTGGGTGGGTGCATCTGTTAGTTCAGTCGGCTGATGAGAATTTACCCAGGTCTGACAGCAAAAATTGCAAAGTGCTGGTCGAGAGAGAGAAAAAGTTCCCCGTCAAATGAGCTTAAACATACTGTCAGACGAATGATTTTCCTTCTAAATGCTCAAAGTGCAAGAGTCCAAGTGCTCGCACTGTTTTAGTTCTTCCCATATTCTTGCCAGCGACTCGAAGGAAACTCGCTCAATGCGTGACGTCTTACAATTTGCATAGGAGATACTATTCTGAACCATGATCAAACAACGTCATCAATCGTGAAGCGCACATGATGTCGCAAAGCTTGCTTAGTCAAGCATGCGAGAGGTGTTGGCGGCGAAAGCAAAAATGTGGCCGTCAGATGCCGCAATGCTCTGAGTGTGTCCAAGCCGGAGTGTCATGCCTCCCGCGAACATGGGGCATGCCTTCAGAGACTGATAACATGCACTCACGGGAAGACGTTATGGCGGGGAGGTAAGTATCTTGTACCTCTCTATGCACTCCTGCTGAGAAAATGCACAGGGGTTATGTCGCATATCTGAAGAGACGAATTGATCACCTCGAAGCCCTGAACAATTCAAGTCCGGCCATTGGAGTTAACAATGGCCCTGAGGCTGCTCATGGAGATACGACCGACACCGTCAGCCCTCAACAACGCCTCGTGGATGCGGCTGTTAATGAGGTTGAATACCTCTCAGTGGCGGCGATGAGTGGTCCGAAGCGGCCACACCAGGTCGTCTTGAACAACTCTTTTTTTGCGAGGTTGGTCACAGCGGCTTCTAAGATGGCCCAGGAAGACTTGTCCGCACTCTCTAGCAGAAAAGATGCCGCTGAACTCACAGTTGGGGCACTCAGGAATCTGATGCTTCAAACTGGCCGTGATTGTCAATACTTCATCAAGTGCTGCCACCATAATATCGGACTGCTGTTCCCTTGCATCTTTATCGAAATGGCTGTGGACAATTTCGAGACCATGTCAATGAACAGAACTGACGAGGACGCTCCAGTACTAGTCGATCAGCCGCCCGAGGTTGCCTGCGTTGTTTATGCCACCTTAAGCCTGGGAATTTCTTCAAGTTCTCATGGTAAGTCCTTGACGGCTCACGCATATGACTTTGCTGCAAGGGCTTTGGCGCTACTTCCACAGCTGGCGGGAGAGACTTCCGATAAGGAGATGATCCGGTGTATGGTTCTCGTGGCACTTGTTTTGCTGCACTTTCGCTGCGAAAGCCCGGGCATGTACCTCCTAGGTCTCGCAATGACGAAGGCTATTTCGACGGGCATGCATCGTGGAAACGCTGATATCGCCCATGAAACAACCGGAGTGCCCCTTTTCTGGACACTTTATGTTCTCGACCGGACTCTATCCATAGTCACGGGTCGACCTTTTCAAATCGAGGATGGTGATATTGACTTGGAGATGCCCCAAGTTGCTTTTCATCCGCCTCACAGTCAATCGGGCCTGCATTTACAGTCATTTTTCATGTGGACGGTGCAATACGCAAAAATGCTGTCAGATTGGCGCTCTGGACCACGTATCGAAATCCCAGTTTGCCTATCCAGTCTAGAATACTGGTACCAGTCCAGTGAAGATATCATCGATTTGGTGGCCATGGCCGAGGACCTCCAGAGCACTGATAAGCCACGCCTAAGTGCAATCTTGGACATGCACAAAGAGCAGCTCAATTGTCGCGCCCTTCTTCAGCTTCTCTGCCATTGTCTCCAATATTCATTAGCGGAGCTACCCCGTGGTCTCATACACGGTAGGCTGAACCGGGAAGTGCCCCGATACATCAACAATATCCAACTTTGCCTTGACAAGTATGAGTTTGCGCCAGGCATCCTGGATGTCATTGATGTCCTTGGAGCAACCATCGCATACATTTACTCTTGTCAAATCTACACTGCAGTCGAAATACAACACCAAGGACTTAGACCGGCCATGGCATTCGGAGTAGCGGACATGAAGGTAGTCATGACCGCTATGGGAGTACTGCACAATATGGCAGATGTGCTCAATCTTACTGAGGACTTTCACGAATTTTTGTGGAGCTTACTCACGACTGTTGAGAAAAAGGGACAAACTGTCCACGTCGCCCCTGCAGCACTAAACGGAGAAGATGAACCTTGCAATGTCCTGGATCGGGCCATGGTAAGAGTCGGCATAACAATGCCCTCGCACTGGGTTCAACTTATAAGTGAGTGTACGTAGTGATGTTAACATTGTACCATTAGCAATGTTCCATGTATTTCTAGCCTACAAGTAGTGATTGTTCCAGGGTCCTGTATGTATAATATGGTCTTGCTATGGGGGACACTTTGACGTTGTTCACCTAAGACCAATGGCATTGCTTCTTCCAGTGTGGAGGGCGCGCCACAAAGTTCCACTACATCGATTTTGCCCGTCAATCAACGTTTGTGCATCAGATTCTTGATCTTACTCCACGAATTCCTATGCTTCGTCTCGGACAATTCGCCGAACAATGACTGTGACGGGGCTTTCCTAATGTACTTTGCTCTATCCACCGTTGAGAGATATGCCCTTCCAGCATCCCAAAATCCCAGCATGTGAACGATGCCGGTTACGCAAGGTCAAATGCGACAGCAAGCCGCCCAAATGCACCGGCTGCACAAGAAGCAACACAGCATGTATCATTGTCGAGGCCGGTACTCACGAGAGGTTCTCTCGCGACAGTATTTACCAGCTAGAGCGCAGACTTGAATACCTAGATTCAGTCGTCCATCAGCCGCTGGGTGAAGGGCTCAGGGAAAGCCTGGCAACGCCAGGACGTTCAAGACATGAAAGCTCCCATTTTGTCGGCGACGGTAGTGGACTCGGACTTCTTAGGGAGATATCCATGACGGCAAACACTGCATCGCTATCGAATGCAAGGCTTCACGAAGGTGTCGCGTCCTCACCATACACCATCGAGACCGTCGCTGCCCACATGCTGCCTTCATGGGAACTGGCAAACATATTGGTCGAGCGTCACTTCAATCATATGCATCTGCATCACCCACTGCTGGCTCGCTTCTCGGTCGAGGAACTGTTGCAGCGAGTTTATGGCAAAGGTATCCTCCCAGCTTCCAGTGAGGACTACTACCGGTCCTTCATGATTTTCGCCATCAGCTCGGTGACAATGTTTCGACGGGGAGAAATCCAAGAGCATCCGTATGGCTACTTTCGGGCAGCTCAACAGTATGCGCCAGAAGTGAGCATCATAGGATCCATCGGTGCCATCCAGAACCTCCTTCTTATTGCCCGATTTGCCATGTACTACCACATTGATTGCTCGATATGGGACATCGGTCGACTGTGTATGAGACAATGCGTGGAAGTAAGCCTACATCGACGACCAGTAGCTCCCCTCTCGCCGATTGAAGAGCAGATCCGGCGGAACGTCTTCTGGGATTGCTACATCCACGACAGGTACAGCTCCGGCATACTTGGACGGCCTTTTGCGATAGCAGAGCATGACATTGAAACGCCGCTCCCGATAGAGGTTGATGAGGAGAATTTGCTCAATTCTACAGCGAGATCTTTGGATGAGGTTGACGCTGGCTCGTTCACGAAGCCCAACAAAGCATCAGTGTTCCGGTTCGTTGTCGAACTCAGAAGGTTGACCACGCGAGTCTCCAACGCCTTTTTCAGCTCTTCAGACCAGTGCACGACGCGCCGGCCAATGGCTGAGGTTGGACGTATCAAGTTGGATTTGGATCGCTTCTCGGTTGAAATGCAGCAGATTCGAGACACGGCCCCTGTCTTTCAAGACCCCAAGAGTCTGTACCAACGACCACAATGGTATGACTTCATGGTCGAAAAAGACAGACTGACACTCATCCGCGGCGCGCTGGCACGCCTGCCCAAGGACAATTTCCAGCCACCTCGCTGGATGCTTCGCTCGTATTTACAGTCCGCGGTGAATGTGATTGAACTATACGCCTCGATGTTTGCAAAGGGACACATCACTTGGACCCGCTCGTATCTCCAGATCCTCTTCACCACGGGCCTAGCCATAATATACTCCTTGTCACTGCTCAGACCAAAAGAAGCACGCCAGGATTTTGATACTGGATCTGATTTCGGACGGGAGCTACGGGCGTTGATCTCAGCAAGCGAGTTGATGCAACGCTTCATGAGCGAAATGCCTGATGCGGGACAATTTGTTCAAGTGTTTGATGTTCTTGTCAAGCAGTACACGGGTACACGAGCCCGTTCCAGCCGAAATGTGACGCCTCCAATATCTTTCGAGGACATGGACTTGCAGGAGATCAGCCTGCATGTCAGCCAGGCACCGCGAGTTCACAAAGCTGCGGAACTTGATATTGTTAATGGCCCGGACGAGCAAGGTGTCGATCCAACCAACATGAGTGCACCCCCGACCTACGAATGGGGTCCGCCTTTCAACCACACCCAAGACTATGAGTTGGACTTCGACCTCGACGACCCCCAAAACTACTTCTCATTCACTGGTGATAATAATAATCTCCTGGGTCAGATGGCCGTCGGAGTTGGTGAATATGCCTGGGCGGTGCCACCAAGTGAGGCCCTCTGGAGTGATTACGGCTGGTTTCGGGGGCAATGACAATCCATTCAAAGATTCACTACATTTATTTCCAGGGTATATATATTTATTCCAGTGAACTTTTCCTCAACAAAGTACGCCTTGATGGCCACTAGTAAGACTCACCACGTCGAACCGCCACTTTGGCCCAATGGTTCGGAGGGGGGCTTATTCTTGGAAACCAGCTTAGTAGATTAAACTGGGAGTCAGCTGGTTTCCATGATCACTGGATAAACATCCCTTGACCAAGGTATGAGGGGATGGCAGTGATCATAGTCGGAATAAGTAAAAGAGAAGCTGGTCGGGGCTTCGACTCTCCAAACTTTTTGTCTCTCCCGGAAATTTTTGTTGCTTTTCTTGGGCTGCTATCTAGTGAAGGAGGTGAAGACGCGATTGTCATGGTTACGGGGTATTAAACGATGTATCACCATGAAGAAGAGTTGAATGGAATAAGACCACTCGAGGACAAGACAAAACAGTCGTTTCGACTACGCCGCTTTTGTAGCGTTTACACTGCAGCTGCTCACACGACTCGTGCACGTCGAGGGGCGAGTCAATGGCGGCGCCATCCACTTTCCTTAAACGGGCTCGAGCGCAACCAGATCCAAACCACAGCTTGGAGAATTCCGGGCAATGCTTCACTGCATCGTAGAAAGAACTTCTCCAATTTGAGCTTCACTCTCAGTAACACTCAGACCTTGTACAGCTCACTCCGGTTGACTGGTTGCAAGTACGGAGAACTTTGGCCTCAATGGCCACCTCAGACTCGGCTGGCGAGGACAATATCTTTGACTTGCTCAAGCAAGCAGATCCTACGGAGTTGGAACAACGCCAAAAGGCAATCAACGAACGAATACATGCTACGTTTCAGCTTAGCCAGCAGAGACTCGCCGACCTGATAGACCAGAACTCGACTTTACCTACCACTGTCTCCTCTGTCACTGTCCTTGGAGCTCCAAACACGCGCCATGGTTTCTTGAAGGGTGTTGTGAAGCCGCTACTGAGTGCTAACCGCGACCGACCATACACACAATCCGAACTGATCCATGAAGTCGCAAAGACTGCTGACAAGCTCAACAAATTTGGTATGTGCGCCTGGGCCAGCTGGCTCTTCCACACGCTGACCGAGATGTTTAGGAATCTACAAGGAATGCTCCGTCTTCATTGACAAACCACCTCAGACCGACCCCGCCACGACTCCGACCGATGTCGCGGTATACTACTCTGTGAAAGAAAAGAGCCGGATACTCGCAAAGACTGGAACGGATCTGGGAAATGCCGAAGGCTCCGCCTACGCCAACGTGGAATGGCGCAACATACTGGGTGGTGCGGAAACACTAGATCTGAATGCCTCAATAGGGACGCGAACGAGGTCATCCTATCAAGCTACATTCGACACACCTGTTCTCAGTAACCCTGACTTCCGCTTCCAACTCGGAGGCGTTCAAAGCGCAACGCAAAAGCCCTTTGCCAGCCATGAAGAAGTTTTGAAAGGAGGATGGGCGAAATTACGATGGCTGTCGAACGCAGGAACTATGAACGAAGTGGGATACAATGGTGTTTGGCGGCAGGTAACAGGACTGGCACAAAATGCTTCGCCCACAGTCAAGAATGAAGCTGGAGATTCCTTCAAGAGCAGTATATCTCTTATGAGGACAACTGATAAAAGAGACAATCCTATGCTACCATCTCGCGGATACTACGCAAAGTCACTCGTTGAGTTGGCCGGCTGGGGACCGCTTCGAGGAGACGTGTCATTCCTGAAAACCGAGGTCGAAAGTCAGACTGCACTCCCTATACCAATACCTGGAATCAAAGGCGACAGTGGTGTAAGCTTCACGACCGGACTCCGAGCTGGTCTGCTCTATCCTCTCAGTCTCGGAGCAAACCCTAACCCCGAAATGTCGCGAATCAACGACAGATTCCAGCTTGGTGGGCCAACAGACGTTCGAGGGTTTCGTCTATCTGGTCTTGGGCCCCACGATGGACCGGATGCTGTCGGAGGTGATCTGTATGCAGCGGGAAGTGCGAATCTGTTCCTACCTCTCCCAAAGGTGGGCAAAGACAAGCCGCTTCGATTTCAGGCCTTCGTCAATGGAGGCAGACTGTTGGCACTACGGAATCCTGAAACAGAAGGCCCCATGAGCAAGGAACAAGTCAACTCAAGCTTGACCAATGCCATCGCCGACTTGGGCAACGGACTTCCGACAATGTCTGCTGGGTTTGGACTTGTTTATGCTCATCCAGTGGCTCGATTCGAGTTAAACTTCTCTCTGCCCATCGCAGTCCGGAAAAATGAGGAAGCCAGAAAGGGTATTTCCTTCGGGGTTGGAATCAACCTCTTGTAGTAATGCGATAGAAGAACTTGTACATATTTAACAGCAACGTGGTCAAAAAGAATGTCATATCATGTTGAAAAGTGCAGAGAGTGTAAACGTACATGTATGTAGAGAGGCCATCTGGCATGAAGGTGAATGAACCAATTCAAAAGAATTAATATGACGAGGACTCCGCACATCGGTTTGGAGAATAATACAAAATGACTTGAACTCCGGACACATCATCAGCAGCAGCAGCAACGCCCTCACAACTGAACAGACAACCTGTCGCCACAATCCACCAAGCCGTATGTGTCGTGTCTCGATCTCGACTTTGCTCGATTTGCCCCTCTCTTTGAGTCTGTAATTGTGTCTGGAAAACGATTCGTCACGTCTGCGCGCAAAAAAACCCCCGGTTCCTAGAAGGCCAGGCGGCGGCCAAACCTCCACCACCACCTCCTCCTCCTCTTGAAAATCATGTCCTACTATCAGCCCACATACGGCCAGGCACCTGGCGCCGCGTCGAACAACCTTCAATTCTTCCCGTCGTCTTACTCGAACGTCTCCGGGCATACCACGCCTTCACAGGCGTCCTACGGCGGCTACGGCGCGAGCAATCCGGCACCTTCGTACCCGGGCTATGGCGCAGGTTCTTCGGGAGGATTCGGTGGTGGACCGGGCATCCAGGGTGTCAGTGGGCGCATGGGAGACTCTGGAGGACTGCGGACAGGCTGGCTCGCCGCGTTCGGCACGGAAGGCTACGAGGGAGAACCGGGCCTCATGGAAGAGCTAGGCGTCAACTTTGGACACATCAAAACAAAGGTTAGTTTTTTTTGACACTAGAACACAAACACACATGTACACGCGTGTACATACATATGTGCACCGGTGTGGTTTCGACTTTTTCTTTGGTCAGGAGGAGTAACTAACAATGACGATCATAGACTCTGACGGTACTCAACCCGTGGACACGACCATCCCCTCATATCATGGACGACAGCGATCTTTACGGCGGGTTGCTGTTCCTGGTCCTCTACGGCACGTTCCTCGCGCTCTCGGGCAAGTTCTTTTACGGGTACATCTACGGCATCGCCCTGTTCGGATCGATGGCCCTGCACTGGATGTTTGCGCTCATGACCCCTCCCGTCGAACCGGGCGAGGTAGACCAGATGGCACAAGGACAGAGGGACCACGCCAGTTCCTCGTCGTCGGGACACGGCGGCGGACATTTCTCAAGCACCCTGACGTATTCTCGGAGCGCGAGTGTCTTGGGGTATTGTTTTTTGCCCTTGGTGTTCACGGCCTCGTTTGGTGTCCTTTTGCCCATGGACACCGGGTTGGGATACGTGCTGACGGCGGCCGCGGTGGGATGGTGCACTTTCAGCAGTTCCGGTATGTTTGTGAGTGTGGGAAGGATGAATGGGATGCGTGGACTCGTTGCGTACCCTCTTGCACTTTTCTATCTGGGATTCGGGATCATGGGCATCTTCTCAAGTAGAGGGAGTGGAATGCTCCAGGGGAAGGTCATGTGACTTGATTGATTGATTGACTTGAGCCGCTGGAAAATCGAGCTGAGCTGGGAAAAAGAAAGACTAACTTGAACAATGAATGGGAGTGTCCTTGATCGTAAGTGCAGCATTGGACTTGGTGTCATGCATGAACCGGTACATGGTAATCAGCTCTAGTAGTCGAGGGGGCAAATATGAAGACATACAAAAGGTATATTTTGTTAGAGAAAAAATACAGACCAAGTATTCATTCCCGTGTACAAACAAAGACCATCAGCATCAACCATGGCAACTTGACCCATGATTCGATGAATGTTGCAACAACGACATCTGACGACCGAGGCAGTTATTTGCTTTGAGGCCCCCAAAGACAAAACGTATGATGAGTTCGCATGAGAAAAAGCAGGGACGGTATAAGCGGTACAGTCCGAGACATGTATCATCCCGACTCCCGTCGTTTCTACGGCCCGGCTTGATGCCCACAGACGATATGCGAGTAGGCTACAATGCTCGGAACTCGGTCAGAGATATGCATTACCTTTTGACTGTACAAGTAACGAGTTGTGGTCAGGTAGAAAGGGCCAAGCAGTAGACAAAGAGTCACTAAAACAACCACTAGACGCTTAGTGTGCCGAAGTTTAGCCTGTATGTACCTTTTGGGTTGGTTCAGTAATTATAAGTGTCCATTGTCCATCCTCCTTCAGACACGGCGCCTCACAGCATGGAAAAGACTCTGTTCTCCATAAAATCACAAGATGTGCCGAGTCCGAGTACGAGTACAATGTGATTGATCGGGCCTTGTCCGCCCTTGTCCCTTCGACTGACATGCCCGCACCGCTTTTTGACATCCTCTTTCTCACCCACCGCTCATTCGACCCGGTACTCCGCGGCCCACGAAGGAAGACTCGGATTGAGAGCATCTTGACACCAGTAGCAGCAGCAGCAGCAGCAGCATGGACTCTCATTAATACTGACACCCACGAAATCGAGATGGCAGGAATACGCCCTGTGATGTTCCATGACTACCAATTGTGCCACTTTGCGGTGCTGTATGTCTCTGGGAACATCACAGACCATGACACTCTTGCTGGGGATGACTGCCTCCTTCCCCATAGTGGGGATGACATGGACCACTTCTTTCCACCCGTGGCAGGGAACAAGCACTTGCCATCGAACTATTACTCCATCCATCTGATGGGATATCCATTCTTTCTACTCATAATCAACCGATGTTTATCCATTGATTCTATCAATATTCGTTCTTTCGGCACCGGTAAATCGGACGGCCATCTAACACACAAATTCTCCCTTTTATCTCAGACGCTTAGTATTACAGGATATTTCAGTCTATTTCCTTTCCTTCTCTCAATCCCGTCCTTTGCTCTTTTTGGAACATTGTTATCTCGAGGAAGAAGTCTTGCTCATCATGGGTTCCATGCCTCTCAAGACAACTATCGACGTCGAAGATGTTCTCTCCCAACTCTCCATCAGCGAAAAAGTTGCCCTCTTGTCCGGCATTGACTTTTGGCACACTGCCCCTGTTCACAGACTAGGTGTTCCCTCGGTACGATTGTCTGACGGACCCAATGGTGTCCGAGGCACTCGCTTTTTCAACGGAGTTCCTGCCGCGTGTCTTCCTTGTGGTGAGTTGACCCCTTCTACCGTTGGTGACGAATGACTTATCTTGCTCAGGAACCGGTCTTGCCGCAACATGGGACACAGATCTCATCAAGAATGGAGGCAGATTGCAAGGTCACGAAGCCATTGCCAAGGGCGCTGCTGTCATCCTCGGACCAACCACCAATATGCAGAGGTCTCCTCTTGGTGGCCGAGGGTTCGAAAGCTTCAGCGAGGATCCATACCTTGCAGGTGCCATGAGTGCGGCTACGATCAATGGTATCCAATCAACAGGGGTCGCCGCCACGATCAAGCACTACGTTTGCAACGACCAAGAAGACCAGAGACAAGCCGTGGACAGCATTCTGACAGAACGAGCTCTTCGGGAAATTTATCTGATGCCCTTCATGATTGCACAGCGAGACTCATCGCCAGATTGTTACATGACTGCGTACAATCGAGTAAATGGTGTTCATGTCAGCGAAAATCCTCGACTCATTCAAGACATTCTAAGACGCGAATGGGGATTTGATGGCTTGGTCATGAGTGATTGGTAAGTGCGAAAGCAGAGCTCTCCTTCGGCCAGGGACTAATCTTACTTCAGGTTCGGCACATACTCGACGACAGAGTCCATTTTGGCGGGCCTAGACCTCGAAATGCCAGGTCCTACATACATCCGTGGACAACTTGTTAACCAAGCAATTGGTTGTGGCAAGCTTCAGGAGTACGATATCGACCAGAGAGTACGTGAGGTGCTCAAGCTCGTCAAGAGGGCTCAGTCACTTGGTTTGCCAGAAAACGCCCCTGAGAAAACTGTCGACACACCCGAGACTTCTGCACTGCTTCGGAAAATCTCTTCTAATGGCATTGTCCTCATGAAGAACGAACGCAGTCTTCTGCCCTTTGACAAGAAGAAGACCACAGCAATTATCGGACCAAACGCTGCGTATGCCGCTTACTGTGGTGGCGGCTCAGCTTCGCTTCTACCATACTACGCGGTGAGCCCACTTGATGGACTCCAAGCTCAAGCATCAGACACCAAGTACGCTTTGGGAGCACCAGGCTGGAAATCTCTCCCGCTCATGACTCGTTCCACCAAAACAAAAGGGGACAAAGCCGGATTGACCATGAAAGTATTCCTGGACCCACCTTCTGTCAAGGACCGTAAAGCCGTTGATGAGATACACGTCGCCAACTCCGATATCTTACTCATGGACTACAAGAACCCTGCGGTCAAGTCTACCCTTTACTGGGTCTCACTGGACGGCACCTTTACTCCTTCAGAAACCTCCGACTATGAACTTAGTCTGGCGGTCGCTGGAACCGGCAAGATCTACGTCAACGGGAACTGCGTGGTGGACAACGAGACCAAACAAAGACCAGGAAACTCCTTCTTCGGCGCTGGAACAGCAGAGGAGATCGGTACACTGAAAATGAACCAAGGGGAAACATACAACGTCCGCGTTGAATTCGGCACATACCCTACCATGACGTTTCATACCAAAGGAGCTACTGGCTTTGGTGCTGGAGGTTTGAGAGTTGGACTTGAGCGTAAAGTCGAGGTCGAGACCGAAATCGAGAGAGCCGTAAGACTCGCCCAACAGGCAGACCAGGTCGTTCTTTGCGCTGGTCTCAACAAAGACTGGGAGTCGGAAGGATACGATCGGGAACACATGGATCTGCCCCCGGGTAGCGACGATCTCATCAAGGCCGTCCTTGCCGTCAACCCAAATACAGCCGTCGTGATTCAGTCAGGAACCCCTGTCGCCATGCCATGGCTGAAAGATGCACCTGCAGTGCTTCAAGCTTGGTACGGTGGTAATGAGACCGGAAATGCAATTGCAGATGTCGTCTTTGGCAACACCAACCCCAGTGGTAAGTTGCCTCTAAGTTTCCCGATCAGGAACGAAGACAACCCGGCATTCTTGAACTACAAGTCTGAGCGACAGAGGGCCATCTATGGTGAAGATGTTTACATCGGCTACCGATTCTACGAAAAGACCCAGAAAGAGGTTGCATTCCCCTTTGGACATGGCCTCAGTTACACCACATTCGATATCAAAGACCTTTCCGTCGACGATGACGAAGCTAATATCGTGGTCACGGCCACGGTGACCAATACTGGAAAGGTTGACGGCGCGCAGGTTGTTCAGGCTTACGTCTCGCAACAAAATCCAAGCATTAACCGCCCTCCAAAGGAACTCAAGGGCTTCACAAAGGTGTTTTTCAAGGCCGGAGCTACGGAAAAGGTCAAGATCTCATTCTCCAAGAAATATGCTGCAAGTTTCTGGGATGAAGGACGAGATTCTTGGATTATGGAAAAGGATGTGTACGATGTCCTGGTGGGCGATTCCAGTGCTTCTACTCCCCTGAAAGGACAGTTCAAGGTTGATCAAACGAAATGGTGGAGAGGTCTATGAAGCGAGTGCTGAAGTGGAAGGACGGGCGGACATCTGAATCGTCTTGGATAAAATTTGGTTGTAGCCTTACTGGATTGTCAGACAGCGGTTGTGCTGATAGACCTGCCCAAAAAAAAGATAGAAACTCGGTAAGATTTCGACACGATATGTAGCATGTATACATGATTGAATGATGAGAATAATGAAGACTTGTCATTGAAGAGTTGTCCTCGAAGAGGGGTTTCTACGCGACAATAGCGGCAACTTGGCGCCCGAGGGTTACTGAGTTGCGGAGTAGAGTATTGTCCGGGTAAAGTGCCAAGACAATCAAGACACTGTCGACGTCGAACTGTTCTTGTGATGTCTACCTGGTGTAGATGACGGATTGGATTTTCGAAAACAACCGTGGCCTCGCGGACATGGTGTCGTAAGACGTCAAGTCGGTTTTTCTCAAGTCGAGGGCCATCCATCCAGGTGAGGTCGAGCCACCACCTACACTACTAGGTGGTGGTTCAAATTACATCCCCAAACGTCGCATCGTCCGTCGACGTTGTGTGTGTGTGTGTGTGTGTGTGATGACCGAGTCTTCGAGTCACCCGGTATGGAAGAGACCGACCACCACGACACCAGGACCACTTTGACGGCGTCCTCGTCATCGTCACCGGTCGTGTTCGCCTTGGGTTCGAACGGGTCGGGACAACTTGGGATAGGTCACAATGACGATTCGTCACACGCACAAAAATGTTTGTTCCACATTGTCGACGGTGGAGACGACAAGGATTCGAATCCGAACTCGAAACTGAAATCAGGAGGAGGAGGAGGAGGAGGGGTCAAAAAGATCGTCGCAGGTGGTAATCATACTTTGTTATTGACCAAAGACGGTCGGGTTTTTTTGGCCGGCAACGATAGAGGCGGGAAATCCCAAAAAAAAGAAGAAGAAAAAGAAAAAGACGAAACAAGCTCGGAGTCGATATTTCGAGAATATCGAATCGATGATTCTCTTGACCTGGGTAGTAGTAGTACTACCACCACTACGAGTACTACTACTCACAGAACACCTAGCAAAGAGACCAAAATCATCTCGGACGTCGCGGCCACGTGGGAAGCTTCATTCTTCGTGGTCAATCGACAGATCGTCTACGTTCGAGGTACCGGATCAAAAGGAGAATTAGGTTTGGGTCAAGAAGTTTGTCAAGTCGAAAGACCAACCAAAGTTTTTGACGTGGATGATGATTTGAATGATGATGGTGATGATGTTGACAACACCACCATTGGAGTTGCTGCTGCTGCTGCTGCTACTGCTGCTGTTGTTGTTGCCGCTGGACCAGTAGATACAACCACAACCACAACAAAACCAAAACCAAAACCCCACATCTCGACGATTTCAGCTTCCATGTCACATGTCGTGTTTGTCCTATCGGACGGCCGTTGTTTCGGTTGGGGAAGTTGCCGCAAGGGACAACTCGGGGAAAATCATCGAAAAGATAAAATTCTATGGAGGCCGACCAGGATCGATCAAGATTCTTCGTTGACCTTCAAACCAGAAGGTGTCGTCGTGGGACGTGATCACACGGCGTTCCTGTCCCGCGGCAAAAGGTTGCTGGTCTGGGGCGAGACAAAAAATTTCGACGTCCATGGGCAGGCACTGTCTCACAAACTAACCCGACAAGATACGGTGGTTTCCGGTTGGAGTTCGATCCATATTTCGTCGTCGTCTTCGTCGACGGTCGTGAGTGTCGGGAAAAACCGTCGGGGTCAACTTGCCCCGACCAACTTACCACCAGTCAAAGCCTTGGCCGCCGGCAGCGAGCATTGTGTCGCCATCACGACGACCCAAGAAATCATCGCCTGGGGTTGGGGCGAACACGGGAACTGTGGCGAAGAGGTGGACGGCAAAGGTGACGTCGCCGGACGGTGGAACGTGATCTCCTCGCCTCTTCTCGCCAGCGACAAGTATCGCGTCGAGGCTGTCGCCGCCGGGTGTGCCACCACTTTTGTGATTTGTTGTGAGAAGAAAGTCAACAACCAGAACATGGGGAAATGACAAGACGCGACATCGACAAGACAATGTACAATATCAGTTCGAAATCAGTCAAAGATCCCACGAACTTGAGAGAGTCGTTGTGTAGGTTCGATTTCGTGAGGAAATCTCGACCTGGTCGTTGTCGTCGGCTGCCGACGGTTGTTCTGTTCTTGCATCGACGCTGCGAATGAATGTAATTCCGAATCGCGGATCCGACGGGAGCTCGACGCCGCCGCCGCCGAAACGTCATCATCGGCAGTGTTGTCCCAAGTCACTATGTCGGGTTCAGTGTCGAAGTTTGGTTCGTCCCATTGTTGGTCGTCGTCGTCGTCAACCGGAATAAAAAGACTTTCAGGATTGAGGCTGGCGGCTGGCAATTGTGCCGAATCTCCTCCTCCTCCTCCTCCTCCTCCTGACCCGTCGATTTTCGAGAGTGCCGGTCGTGGTGGATTCGGACGCGATAGAGTGTCGCGCTCCCGCATGGAAGTGTTTGCTGGTGGAGGAGGCATCGAAGAAGCCTCCCCAGCAGGCTGGAAGCTCGCTCGTCCTGCTTCGGTGGTGGTGGCTGAACTGCTGCCCGGCGGCCGAGACACTGGTCGCAAAGAAAGATCTCGAGCCGGCGTGCTTGCACTAGCAGCAGCAGCAGCACTGGGGATGGCCGTTGTGTTACCTCGAGTCATGAGTGTAAATTCGGCCGTGAGGCCGTTGTCCTCGTACGTTATCTGCAAGGGTCGGTTACCTCGCGAGTATTTCGCCGTGACTTGGGCTCTCATCGATTCTGCGTGTGATACGATGGCTCGGAAATCTTTGACCATGGTGCCGATGTGAAGACCTTCCTGGACGTCGAAACTGGTGAAATCTTTACGCTCGAGGGCGACCGACGTGTGCATTGGTTGTTTGAGGATTTCTATACGAGACGGGCATGTGAGTTAGTCGTCGCGCCCTTTGGCGGCCTGGATTCACAAATGCATACCTCTACCACTCTGGATTTTCTCGGTGTAACTCGTAAAAGTGACCTTGCCATTCTGATAGAACCAGTCGAGTTGGTCCGTCTTGGGGCCGAAATACTCGACCACGTCCCGCAAAGTTCGCGAGGACACGGTCCACCGATTGGGGGAACTGCCGTCGTCGAAGGCGGCGTGTAGGATCTCTCCAGACTCGTAAAACAATCGATAGGTCTTGACCACGCCCTGGCGGCAGTTCAACCGGAAGATCAACCGGCATTCCGCCTCGTCGAGATTGTCCTGCAATTCGCACTCGCAGTTGTCGAGGGCCGTGTCCCTGTCGCGCTGATCCGCGAGGCGACGCTTGAAGATGGACAGCAGGGCCTACGAATCGTCAGTCCACGACGTGAAGTTGCCCAGATAAATCAGACACACCCTGTTCTGGAGTTTACACGACCAGAATTTCGGCGCGGACTGCCCGCCAGACTGTTGTCTTCTGGGTCCGGCCGAGAAGTGATACTTTGTGAAAAAGGACGAGCTTAGCGTGAAAGCTGCATGGGCCGTTTTTGAAATGTTTAGACTCGAGATACGAAGCTGATCATAGGTAAACATGAGTTGGGAAACCCCCGACACACGGTCGGTTGGTCATGAGATCTTACAAATTGAGGAGTGGCTTCTAGAGAAATGTCTTCGTCAAATTTTGCGAGGCATGAGAGGAAATCATGGATGTAGCCCACTCCCTGAGGGCCGACCGTGAAGAGGAGCGTAGGCATCAAGGACCCTGCCTAGGTACCTGAGGAACGTTCAAGGGGTTCGCTGATTCCGATGTTGATGAGACATTCACGGTACTTCGCAAACATATGGATGCCGTTCTTACGGTACTCTGTATGCAACGCGCTTTTTCTCTGATCGGAGACGCGTAAAGGGCTGTGATGTCATTGGCTGGAAGCTAGAGTCGAAAGTGTTGGTTTCGGCATGTTTACACTTCTTCTATTCTTCTCTCTTTCCATCAAAAAATCATTCTTGACATCTCTTTAATTCCATCATTGGAGACATCTGTATCTCTTGTATCACCACCAAAACAATCTTCTTTTTCCTCCACAAATATAGATTGTTCTGTTGGGGGGGATCAAGTACAGAAGTAGAGCCGCGGCCGCTACCATGTCTTCGGCAAACGGCGAGGGCAAGACGCTCCCATATGAAATACTGTACATGATCTGTACAGAGCTAGGCAACGAGAATGATTTTGTTTCTCTTTTTCAATGCGCCTTGACTTCAAGACCCTTTGCGGATTCGGCCCTGCGGATCATGTATCAGTACGTATCGTGTCTGATTTCCGAGTCCAATATGCCATGCCATCCGTCGATCCCTTCTGACATTGATTCTACAGGCGCCACCAATTCTCTCCTGTGTTTGAGCAGCGAGACGATCTGGTCATGCAAAAGGAGGTCGACTATGCCACCAGAGCCGCGGAGGAAAAGCGAATGTTTCGAAAATGGAACGTCCTCTGGCGCTCCATCATAGCGTCCAGCCTCGACCATACGAGGTGGCCGACCTACAAGCCTTACTGCTGGCACATCACGACGCTCGACTTTCGCAATCTTCTGGCCATGCTCGATGACTACAAATTCACGCCGGTGGTACAGTCGCAGTTCTTCAACAAGGGTCTCAAAGGTTTCTGGATCCCCAAGAAGGATATCCGGGGACAAGTCGTCGACGTCGTCGCCACTGTGAACAAAGTCGGCGATGCCCTGATCACCAAGACGCCCCTGCTTGAAGAGATTAATGGCCATATGAGCCCGGGGTACTTGTGCGACTGGATCCCCCTCTCCCCGAAACTGGTCAGCATGGTCTTGTGGAATGGGGACGCCTTGACCGGGACAGGCGACCGTTTCGACAGTGCAGGCAAGGCAATCGCTGCATGCTGTGAGTCGTTCAAGAGCTTGACCGTACACGACTGGTCAAGTCCAGACGCCGACGTAACGTGCTCAAGTTTTCTCAACGATTTGAACCCCGACACGTTGGAATACTTTGAGATGATCAGCTTCAACCGGCTCTCAAAGCTCTCCTTTGAAGCCCTAGGACGACACAAGTCCTTGCGCGAATTATCATTAGGCAACCTTAGCCATGAAGCCATGGAGAACCTGAATGCTCTCAAAGAATGCACAAAATTACACACGCTTAAGCTTGATGATGATCTGGGTTACGCCCATCTTGAGGGCGTCAACGATCATGTATTTCTCGAGGTGGTCGATTGGCTCAGTTCCTGCCGAAATCTGCGCGACCTGAGCCTGAAGAAATTCGCGGATGGACCTGCTATTCTTTCGCGAGTTCTTTGCTCGCCCAACGTGAAGTTGACCAAACTATCTTTAGAGGGATACCGTGTACTCGACACAAACTCTCAACTCTTCCATTCCGCGCTTCCCGAGCAGAGGACCTTGGAATCAATTTGTCTCAAGGGCTCCTGTGAGGGCACCACGTCTCGTGACCTGAGAATCATGGTCGAAGGTCTATGTGGATTGAAGAACCTCAAAGAGCTTGTCCTCAAGGACGTGTCTGACGAATTTTCCGAGGCTGACATTGCCACCCTTGCCATGAGCCTTCCACATCTCGAAGACTTGTGGACCAGCGGAGGTGAGGTATGTGAGGGCGTCTTGGATGTCTTGGCGGGACTTGACAAGCTCAAGAACTTGACCCTCTACGCCTTGACACAATTCACCTCCGAAGGGATCTTGAACTTTTTGGAGCGTCTCAATCCGGTCACGCAGAAAGGGTTCAGCTTGTCTTTGATGGCCGCGAACCCAGACTTTGACTTGAATGAGACCGAGCAAGACTTGATCCGCGAATATATCCGAACGAACCTGGATGGCCGTTTCGACTTTGTTTTGTGGAGAGATGCCGAAACAAGCGACAGTGACGACGATTGAGACACACCACCCAGAAAACAAGCAACCTGTTCAACAAGTGACATTAATCACGTCTTGGATGCTGCCTTGTCGAGTGCCGTTTCCAAAACTTGGCAAAATCGAAAGACGTCTGTAAAATTATTGTACAGTGGTGCCGGCGCCACTCTGATGACGTCCGGTTTCCTTTCATCGATGATGACGCCCTCATGCTCGAGATGTTCGAGGACATTGTCAAGCAATCCCGGCGCCAAGCGTATGCTAAGCTGGGCGCCACGTTCACTGGGGTTACGTGGTGTGATGATGTCGAAGAGTCCCGGTTTCCGAAGAGCCATCGTGTTCAAGAGCTGTTCAAGATAGGCGGTCAATCTCAATGATTTCTGACGCAAGTCGGTCATTGAAGTTTCATTGAATATTTGCAAAGATGCCACAACGGCGGCGAGATCGAGGGCACTTGGGTTGGACAGCTGGTAGCCTTTAGCGCCTGGTCGCGGGACAAATTCTAGCAGAGAAGAGTTAGTTAGATATGAAATGGCCATGTAATAATGCAACACTTGTAACCCACTATTGGTCATCTGGAACCTCGTAGACTTGTCGTCTCCCCACCACCCACTGAGTCGGGGCCAGAATTTTGGTATTGACCCTTCCATTTTGACCTTTCCGTATTTCTCGTTGACAAAAATCCCTGCCATGGCGCCCGGTCCAGAGTTGAGGTACTTGTAGGTGCACCAGGCCGCAAAGTCGACGTCCCAATCGTGTAGCTTGACATCGACGTTGCCGACCGCGTGGGCCAAGTCCCATCCGATCAAGATGCCATGCTCGTGGGCGTGTGCCGTTATGCGTGGGATGTCGAAGTACTGGCCCGTATAAAATTGAATGCCGGGCAGGAGAACAAGGGCGAGCTCTGACGCATGCTCGTCGATGGTCTTGAGGATCTGCTCGGTCGGAAGCACCGGGTGTCGATGATTATTCGGTTCGAGCAAGACCATCGTTTCGGCTGGGTCGAGTCCGTGGTGTACAATTTGAGATTCGATGGCATACTGTTTTATTGATATTTATTGCGTGTCAGCAGTCTTGTGTATTTTTGCAAATTCTCTACGGGTGAGGTTGAGGAGGAGGTTGAGGAGGACTCAGAGAACAAAAGGGTCATATGCTCGTACATGATCACTTGGAAACGCTTTGCCTTCGAGAAGAATTTTCCAGCGCCCTGATCCTTTTTTGTCTGGACGGTAGAAACTGGACATCAAAAAGTGTAGATTTCCCGTAAGAGTGCCCATGACTGCCACTTCAGCTTCGAAAGCGCCCACCAGGGGAGCCATCAGCTTGGCTGCGTGGTCGTCGATGTCCAGGAATGGTGGAAGAGGAGAGTCGGTATGCTCGACAAAGTGCCCCGTGACAGCCTTGGTGCGCCATTGGGTCAGAAAGACATTGACGAGATCTCCTGTACGGACGGGCTGCAGGCCTAGAGAATTCCCACACAGGTACGTGCAAGGCGTTGAGGGGTCCTCGTTGGGAGGTTTAGCTAGAGTAGACCTTTTCAGATCGGCGAGAGTTGGAATATGAAAATTTGACCGACAGTCTTGTAGAGGATCTTTCGTATCGAGTGTAGAGGCATACTCGATTGAAAATGGATCAGGATTTCCTCTGGTAAGGCTCGCGGTTTTGTCCATGGTGAAGTTTTCCAGACCCCACAAGTCGTGTTGTTGTTCGCTGTACAGAACAATGCTTCTTTCAAGAGAGTTATCTTGCTGATGGGTTGTTATGCTTGGGGACAATCCTTGCCGATGATACGCTCAATACACCCACGAGCATAGAAAGTGTTTGGTAATGACTGTATTCAGCCTTGGTGGCGTTTGACGCCGAGATAAACGATGTCGAAGTCCGAGGGAACGATGATGGAATTGTCAGCAACCGAAGATTCGCCGCACAACATGATCAAAAGTTCTGCTTTGCATCATCTTCTGTTGCTCGAGTCATAATGTCCGGGACGTAGCACGAACTCATCTATGCAATACAGTCTCCATATCATGTCTCAAGCAACCCTCAGACTGGCATTTTCAGCAGCCCGGCCAATGCGCCAGCAAGATCCCAGACTGTATATTCAAGCTTGTCGGTCCATCTCAAACTCCGCCCGCATCCAGCCGTTCCTTCAACACCGACGACCTATCAGACCTTCCAACCCAGTCTCTCCTGTGCCCAAGAGAAAATTCTCAAGTACAAGTGCTGTACAAGCCACGGTCGTGGCCAAAAACCCTCGGGTTGACGATGATGGTAAAGAGATGACGATCGAAATATCAGAGCGAGCGGCGAAGGTAGGTGGCCGTCTAGCCAGCCCTGTGTTCAGAAATGACTTACAGCTCTCAGCGTCTTAAGCAGATAACAAGCGCACCCCCTCAGAAAAACACACTCATCTCTTCCCCCGCCGCTCAAGACGCCCACCTGCGCGTGACGGTCACTTCAGGCGGGTGCCATGGCTTTCAATACTTGATGTCCCTCGAGGACTCGTCGAAGGTCGATGAAGAGGAAGACACGATATTTGCATGTCAGGATAGCGAAGGTGCAGGGAAGGCACAGGTTGTCATGGATCAGGCCTCACTGGAATTATTGAAGGGAAGCACAATCGACTTCACAACTGAACTGATTGGCAGCCAGTTCAAGATCGTTGGCAATCCAAGGGCGACGAGCAGCTGCGGTTGCGGCACAAGCTTCGATATTGAGTAGGAACGACTTCGATGCGCCTACTATGGAATTGTATAACTTCCACACTCCTCCAGGCCTCCTCTTTTTTCTACCTGCGATATACTCAACTCTCTGTATCACGACTGCCACATTCTTGGGGACTGGCTATCCAGTCTGTACTGTCCCAATACCTTTATCGATTCATTCACATTAACCACAGTTGCATATCATACAAGTGACGCAACCATTCGACAATACCACACTGCCAGACGTACCGCTTTCAGGGCCCAAACATCGTCGAGGTACGCCATAGTCTCAGGCGAGTCTCTCGATCAGCCACCTGTCACATCATTCCGATCCTCCATTGAACAACACGCCTGCCACGAAATCTCGACACAAGATGTGCATCCACCAAGTTTGTACCAACCATGATATTCCAAAGGTACTACGGATCAGTCCCTGCATGACGAGGATAATTAACGCTGTCGGCCCGCCGCCATGGTTGACGACAACACTGGAATCGGTTGCTGCGAGAAATGCCTGGACATACGATTCTACCGGGATGACAAGGGGGATTCACGATGCCATAGTTTCTCGCTCGGCATACTACCCACCAGAGGCAATGACGGAGCCCATAAACGGAACCTGGGCGTTGGAAGCTCGGCGCCGTCATTTCACGATCACGAATGGTCTTTATCGGATCAACGATACGGCCTCTCTTGCAAACGGCACCAACAATCATGACCGTACTAATACGGATGATTCGCATCTTGTCAATGGCACGCTCACACCTGACCGTCAGGGTTCAAACACTCCACAAAATACTCCAGACCAGCGTAATGGTGACCATAACCGTAACCACCTAACAAGATCCCTCCCCTCAGATACAAACATCCCACCTGGCAATGATAACAACATCGAGAACCGAAACCGTATGAATGGTATACATCAGATGGATGGCAGCAACCAACCCGAGAATCACCGCAACTCCGGCAATCGCAATACCCCTAATGGCATAGACCCGAATCGCCGCGAGCATCAACCCGAGAACGATTACTACCCAACCAATCAAACAGAGGAGATCCCTACCGATACTCACCCATTCGTTCCTGTCGGTGGTCTCAGATTGCCGCGTCATGGGTTGAGGGGGCGAGACTTCGTTATGCAGGCTCATGAACCAACGAACGTAGAGGCCAGGTGCAGGCAGACAATGATGACACAGCCCTGGTGTTTCGGGGAATGGTTTGAAAGACAAGGGCCAATTCTCTTCACCCAGATGCCAGCCATAACATGTAATTTTGTTCTATGCTGTGATGGCCTCTACAGATCACATCAGGGTGAGGTTTTGCGGACGAGACGAGGAGACCTAGACGAAGATCGGGACGTACATGTGAACGGAATAGCACACGATTGAAGGCGGGGATTCCATAATGATGCCGACAACGACCGTGTGTAGACACCCCTTTTAGTCTGTACTATGCCGCTTCAATACAATATGTTACGAGTAGGAAACTGCACGGTGCCCGGTCGAGATGCCGGTGAACTGAATAACTTATTAACCCGTTCTTCCCGCCCGGTTCATGGGCCCCCAATTCTCGCGTGGATTCATTTGATATCTCACCAGCTTGCCGCGAGGTTTGTCCCTGCCCAGCTTCTCGTCAAAGACAATCTTGAGCTTGGACGGCTCTACTGATGGTGGAGGGGGAGTTTTGTTGGATCGTTCTTGTCTTTGTCTCGCCGAGACTTTTTCTTCAGTTACGGTCGATTCTGTCGACTCTGCTGCTGCTGCCGCTGTTGTTGCTCCTGTGTCAGTACCATTCGCCTTTCCGTCATGTGCGAGTTCCTCAATCTCCAACCGTTTGAGCATCCCGTGTAGGACGGTCTTCATGTCTTCTCTGGATTCGCACCGCGAGAGCTGGTCTCTGGACAAGGCGGCGAGGTTCGACACGAGGGCCCGCTCACCACCCCGAACTTTGGCCAACAATGACCAACCGGGGGTTCCACGCTTCACGGCTCCATCCCTGATCGGGGCCTTTTGCCTCATGAACTCTCGCATAATCTCCCACAAGACACTCCAGGGCGCGTCGGTCTTGATGCTCCCCGGCTTGCAGTGGGACCGGGTCACGCGGTAGCCGGTGCTGATGATGGCGCCCCGGACCATGCTCTCCGAGGGGGTCGCGCAGTGGATCACCTTGGCGATGTTGGTGGGGAGGATGAAGAACGGAGCGGGGTCGACGAGTTGCGGCGGGAGTCGCGGGATCATTTTGTCAGAGGAGGCCTCGACGGAGATGCCGTCGGCGGAGGCGCTCTCCGTTGCCGTCGTCGTCGATGCTGCACCACCGGTGGGTGTCGTTTCTTCGGCCGACCGGGGTTGTTGTCGTTGCAACGTGAGGTCTTCCTCGAGGGCGACGGTCAGCATACCTTCCAGACGTTCCGTGGTACCGTAAACCTTTTTGTCGAGCGAGGGTAGCTTGTCGAGCATTTTCTGGACGAAGTACGGGTTGTGCAACGGCCCCGCCCACATGGGCCCGCAGAGGTGCGTTTTCGAGCCGCAGTGCTCGCAGTTGGGCGAGGCCGTGGGGGCCTGCGCGAATGAGAACTTGTACCACCGGTCACCGTTCTTCGATGTCTGCGGCTGGTTGCGCAGAAGAGGCTGTGTCGTCCACGCGCCGCAGCCGTGTCCGCAGTTGTACACCGTCATCGTGGTGCCGGGCAGGAGTTTGACCTCCTGCGGTCTTCGGTGGACCCGGATGAACAGCCGAGCGTAGTAGTCGATGTACAGGGACAGGAGCGGCTCGACGGCGAGGCCGTACCTCGAGGCTGACACGGCAACGGCGTTCAGGATCAACCGCAGTCCTCCCTCGTGGGAGTATGGGCCTTTGACGGGCATGCCGCCGTACATCGCGTACGTCTTTTCGGGGTAACCGGTTGAGGCGAAGACGCCGGCGTCCGTGCATGTGACGCAGAGCATGCCACCGTCCTGGACGGCTTGGAGACTTGCATCGATAAAAGGCGCGGCGGTACCGTACGGGTCGAGGTCGATGACGTCGAAGCGGTGAACGTAACGTTGCCCTCCCGAGCGAGGCTTTTCGTTTCCCACCTTGCTGTACATGAATTCACGCGCGTCGCCGAGGTTGGAGTTGACCTTGTCTTGGACCTCATTGTGCTTGATGTTGAGTTCGATGTTTTGGACGGACGCCGGGGAGAGATCATTGGCCACTATGTTCGTGGCGAGGGGTATCTCCTTTGCGTAACGTAGTGCTCGAAGACCGGTCGCGGATAAAGCGTCTAGGATGGCGAAAGGTACGCGTTTCTGTGTAGCCGTCGTGACGGCATTTGTGGCATCATCACTCTTTGCCTCGTATTTTTGCTTTTCTGAGATGGGGAGGGTACCGCTTCCTTCTTGTTGTGACTTCTCACCCACCACGTTACTAGTTAATTCTTCCACTGGTAAGTCGTCGTCCTCCTCATCGTCTTCGACATGCTGGTTAGTCCTGGCCTTCTTCGATTCGCCGGCTGCAGTCTCGGCGTCTGGATCTGTTATATCGTCCGCCTTGCGCTTGCGACTACCATTCTGTTCTGTGACAGGCTGGTGTGTCACCGTATTAGTGACTTCTGCCACGCCGTTCGAATTTTGCTCAGATGTCGCGCCGTGAGACTTGGAATCGTGCTGTTTTTTCCTCTCTTTTGCATTTTTCCGGCCTTGGTGCTTTTGACTTTGCCGAGCTTCTTTTTCGAGTACAGCGCCTTCGGCATAGACAGAAATTGCTAGAACACTCAAATCTCTGTTGAATTGTTGGATTGGGTTATAAAAGACCGCCTGGGCGCCCTCGTCGTTGTTACGTCCCGTTTTCGTGAGTGCATCGGAGTCTTCCTTGTACGGCGCAAGCACAGACGCTAAACCCTCGGTGACTTTTCTGTATTTCTTGCCATCAATTTCAGTGACTTCGGGTGATTTCGAGGAAGCCATATGGGACTGCCGTATCGAGATATAAGTACAGCACCTAGACGACGTCGGGAAAACGGCTTTAAAAGCGTGAAAAGGGTTGCCCAAAGACCGTGGTCGGATCGGATTGCCAAGTAAAAGAATTTTCATTCGTCCCCTTGCACCTTTCCCAAAGTCTCTCTACAACCTCCCGAGTAAAAGACTTGCGAATTCAAATGCTTGAACAAATCATGGCAGAAAGTCGCGGGAACATTTTTTTGATACACTAGAGCCAAGATTGGAACTTTGTCAAATACTATTGGTTCTTTTGACCAAATCTCAGCCTTGATCAGCCTTGCTTAGTCACCAGAGTATGACAGAATGGGATCTATGCACAGAATAGTCGCAAGCTGGACGGAGTATGATGCATCGTCTATTCTATAGAACTACATTTGATACTGGCATGAGAATGACTCATGTTGTCCTGTGTCTAATGTACAGTAAATATCGGATCCCGTTAGCTTGAGACCTTAGCACACCATACACGTGGTTGAAGGTACGGGATATCCGTGACTCGAGCTACATTATTTGATCCTCTGATTGATTTGCACAATCTGTAGTAAGAGGCGTTGATCCATTCAGTGATATCGATCTTGTGGGCCAGCTTCATTGCGTTTGTCGTCGGTTGGCGGTTCAGGCTGGAACCTTGATAGGCCTGGTACAACTATTGTTAAGCACCAGATTCCCTGACCGTTTCGTAATTCTTGAGCTTTCAGCCGGGCCGTTCTTCTGTGTTGGTTTCTCGGGTATTTGCAGCCACATATCGGGCCTAAAAGATCTTAAGCACTAAATCGTCATGGATGGCTGCCCAATATAAGGCGTAAAGGCGTTGGGCTGCTTGAAATGATCGCCGAGGTGGTGATACTTGGGCAAGGGCCATCCTCTGACAAAATTCATCAAGATCCTGCAGCTAGACGGCTCCGACATTCTGGTATGCAACCTGTTGGTCTTCGTGGATCATAGTAGTCTTCAACATCTGTAACGTCGCTGTCCTCATCGTCCATGGTGGGGTTTTGAGCCTCGTCGGTGTCATTGGTCTTATTCTCAGTATTCATATGAGTATCATCATCATTTGCAGGAGCAAAAGCGTTCTTGAATCCTCCTTTCTTGAATCCCCCACCTCCTGTGGCAATGGTTTTGTTGGCACTGCCCAGTTTTATCTGCATTAATGGTCCCTTCTCTTCCTTTTTGGGTTGCACCTGTCTCTGCATCTCTTTCATTTCCTTTAATCTCTTCTTGTGTTGGTGATCGTAGGATGATTCATGAGCTTCGAACTCGTTCATGCGACTGTAACCTTTTTGGCATAGTGAACAGAAAAAGGCACTCCGCGCTTGTTTCGCAGACTGGGTGTTTGCCGGAGGAAGAGTAAATCCTCGCTGAAGAGCAATATACGAGTCAACAAGGCCATCAACAGAAAATCTTGCGAGCACCATTTGCTGCTATTATGCAGCTAACAATGGCACAACTTACCGGAGCCATGACGAAGTTGGCGCAGCTCTCAAACAGTCAATGAGTGTATTTATGGCTCACCAAAGATGCGACCAGCTTACACCACTGACGAAGACTTGGAGCTGCGATTGAGGCGTGGGAGAAAGCGAGGTCAAGAGCAAGAGGATGGTGGGTTGACGATGCGATTGCGATTATGCTAAGCCTGCGATTTCCGGGGATCGTTCTCGGCTTGGAGGTGCCTAAGGTGAGTTACTCGGCACCACCTAAGGAATTCTAGGGAGTTCTCTCCATCCACACGACACTTCAGCCGCATCAATCAGCCCACTTCTTCTGTGCTGTCCACCAGCTGGGTGTACCGTTACACCTTGCGATCATAATTCCTCAGCATAACTCGCCGAAGAAAATGCTATTTTCACCTCTGAAGACCCGAAAAAGGCGCAGGAGGGCCCATTCTTTTCAATGATACTACATGGCTAATCCCAACACAATCCCTGCTGATCTACAGTGACATTCCCCTACAGATTTCCATGACTTGAACCCAGCAGATTGGGACGGTATTCATTCTATCGACTCAGGAGACAAGCTCATGTCGTCCATCAAGCATCTCAACCGTCGCGATGCGTCTCATCAATGTCCGGACTATGCAACTGGAAGAATTCCACAGCGGCCAGGCACCAAAGTATGCGATTTTGTCGCATCGCTGGGAAAGTGAGGAAGTCTCTTTTCAGGACATGACTAATCCTCAGATATTTGGCAAGAGAGGATATGGAAAGATTCAATCAGCTGCGTGGCTGGCAAAGAACAAAGGTCTCTCATATCTTTGGGTCGACACCTGTTGCATCGATAAAAATTCTTCATCCGAACTAACTGAAGCCATCAATTCTATGTATCGGTGGTACAAGGAGGCCCAGATTTGCTTTGCTTTCCTTACGGATGTCGAAATCCACAAACAAGAAATCTCAACCAGCATATGGTTCACAAGAGGCTGGACTCTGCAAGAGCTGATAGCCCCGAGAAATGTCGCATTCCACGATAAAAACTGGGTCTTTCTGGGTACGAAGGAGCAATTGTCGACCTATCTTGCACAGGCGACGGGCATTGCATTGGATGTCCTCGTTGGCAAGAGTAGTCCTTCAAGCTGTTCTGTGGCACAACGCATGTCCTGGGCTGCGAAGCGGGGAACAGAACGCATCGAAGACCGGGCCTACAGTTTGCTGGGTATATTCGACGTTAGCATGCCCATGCTCTACGGCGAAGGCGAACGGTCCTTTACCCGATTACAGGAAGAGATCATCAAGCATTCGGACGACCATTCGATATTCGCCTGGGATCGAGGTCACAAGGGGTTTTTTGGAGGCTATAGCGGACTCTTAGCGACGTCTCCTTCGCAGTTCGTCATGTGTCAGAACGTCGTACGATCGTCGAGGGAGCTTGTCAGTACCGGCGGATTTTCGATCACGAACGTCGGTCTTTCCATCCAATTACTGACTGTGCCATGGGGCATGGAGACCTATCTTTCAATCCTGAACTGCAATATCAAAGACCATCACCACGAAAGGTTGGGGATATTTCTTGAACGACTCTATTCTTCTCATCACGAGCAACAGTTTGCTCGCGTGCAGTATGCTGGAGCCACAGTACAGCCAGTAGTACTCGAGCAGGTCATGAAAGACAGCCAACGTCGAATTCGACACGTACATGTGCGACAAATAGTCATTGATCCGCCCTTACGGCGGTGGCACGGATTTCGTCTGCACGAGCTTAGACTACCCGATTACAGTCACCATGAGCTCGCGCAGGCCGAGTTCCGCTTTAGATCTTCCTTGCGGCACAAACTTCGTTACGAACCCGAAGAAATGCAGTACGCGCAAGCATACCTTCCCAATGGCCTCCAGGGCCTACCTCCCCGACCTGTCTTCTTTCCTATGCCCAGCGGTCGAGGCACGGCTGTGATAATCTACCTCGAGCCGTCCAAGAAGGACAAGCACGGCGACAGGGTGTGCTGGATGAAGTTCGGCTTCGACGAGGACTTTTGTCCGATGTGCATCATGGGCCGCCGTCGGTCCCTATGGGGTGGCAACAGCGCACACCTGGCCGTCACCCCGGAGTCATTCGACGAAGCAGAACATACGCCGGGCGAACACGCCCTCTTATTCAGAAACGACTGGATCATCAAGAATGCAGGGGACGTCCACATCAAGGACATGGCCGCGCTGTGGCAGACTCGCGATTTTGTCATCCTGCGTGGACACAGAGACCGAGGCCTGGACGTCAAGATTCCTTTTCTCAGGATGCACGTCTCGGTTCGACTGGAGCCTGTCCCCGAGGGCTATGCGCCGTACAAAAAGCCCGAGTCCCTCTTGCCGGGAATGCAAGTCTGGACGATCAATGTCAATTCGTGGCAGGACATGTCGGGCAATGGAAGAATGAAGACGGCAATGGGTGCTGGAGAGTTGCTTGTCAGGTCTCTGGACGATATATTTGGGTAGTGTTCCCAGTTCACGCATTGCTGACGAGCAGGTCTAGATTTATGTGAGACGAATTTCCTCTGTATGTCTGCTACACCTAGGTAGGATTTGATTAACCATAAGAACGGACGCATGGCCCTTGGAGAGAGTTCCATAATATTGATCATGGGACTGAATGATGAATATCAATGACCTCGGGATGCCTTGTTACTGATCAAAGAAGCCCTACGACACGCAACTAGTGTTCGTCTTGGGGTTCCTTGTCGTCCTGCTCGAGTACTACAACGCCAACGTGCGCGCGACTGCCTCCTTTTCGCGTTCAAAAAAGTCTTCGACGGAGCCCAACTCGATGCCGTAGCTTCTGACCATTTCCAGATCTGCCAAGTACGGAGAGTCATTCAGGAACAGCTGCGACGCGACGATGACGTTGGTGGCCTTGACCGCTTCGGCGTCCTCTCTGGGCATGTAGCTCACGCTGACGGTCTTTTTGTGGCCGACCGCACGGGTCAGGGCGTCGGCGACGTCGGAGATGGTCATGTTCGCGCTGGCCAGGGGGATGGTCTTGTTGGCGAACATCCTCTCAAACTCGTCCGGGTCCGCGTAGATGCTGTGGGCGGCGAAGCGGCCAACGTCGGCCGGGTCGAGGTGGCTCATGCGCAGCGTGGGCGAGAAGGCCACGTGCATGTTGGGCTGTTCGGCCGTGAGCGTCGGGTACATCATCTGGCTCATGGGCTGGATGTAGTTGGTCAGGAACGTCGAGGGTTCGAGGATGGTGTACGTGTACCCTTCCGGGACTTTGGGGCCGGGAGGCGGGTTGCGGACGTTGTCCGCGATGGTGCTTTTGTTCTTGAAATACGCCGCGAAAAAGGGTATGGACTCGAGAATGGGCAGGTCCTTGCGTGCGTCGAGGCCGTGGACCGAGGCCAGGACGACGTGCTTGATGCCCGCGGCCCTGCTGGCGGAGAGGATGTTGAGGCCGTGACGACCTTCGCCCGCGAGGTCGGTGAAGACGGGACTCGGGTTGACGAAGACGGTCGTGCAGCCCGCCGCCGCACGCGAGATGGATTCGACGTCCTCGAAGTTGCCCTCGAACAGCTCGATCTTGGAAGGGTCCAGGGCTTGGAGAGACTGCGACGTAGAGGAACTCGAGTCTCGAACCAACGCGTGGATGGCCAGGGAGGTTTCCGGATGAGCTGGTGCAAGTTTGAGAAGTTCCCGAATCAAGGAACCGCCTTGAATCCCGTTGGCTCCGGTGACCAGCACGGTGATGGATGGAGGCGACATTGTGATTTGTTCTCTTCGTTTTTTCTCTATGGGAACCAAAATGTTTGACCCAGCTTTAGACCTCGTACTAGTAATGAAAGAGGACCAAGCTCAATGTTGAAGTTGATTGTTGAGAATGTCAAATGTCGTAGTAAGATTCAGGCCGCCGTGGTATATCATGGATACTTATACTGTTCTGTCGGCCGAGAGATGCCAGGGTTGAAACATTGGCACCCTTATTGCTGGGGGGTTTTCCACGCATTTCAGACCCGTATTTGGTGGCTGTTCATTGGGCCTTGTGTCGCGCTATCTCGACCGATATGGTCGAAATGCAGGTTCGAAGGGTTGGTATGCTCTTTTGGATTCGGAGTCCCGGCAAGGCCTACTCGGACGAAAAGATCGTAGCTGACTGTGAAATCTCGGTTGTGGGGCCAAAATCTCATATGCGAGCGGTCAAGGCCACCACCACCAGGAGATGTCGCACACTGTCATTAGTCGTCCTTTTTGCCGCTGCGCCTGAGCTTCCAGAGCTCGAATAATCTCGTAAAGTAGAAATCGAAGACGCCAGACCACGTGTACCCACCGGAAAGGAAATACACCACCCAAGACTTGTTGCCTTCCCAGATCCATCTCCTCCTTGCGTCGCGCAATAACCACTTCCAGGGCCACGGGCCGGCTCCAGGCAACACCTGTCGGACGACGCTCGCAGCGTACGCTTCGTTGGACATGGCTCCTTCTTGCGAGTGACCTTGGCGGCGGATGTAGTTCCCTTCCACAGGGGTGTATATACTATTCTCGGGCAGGACGCGGGTGACGTGCGAATTGATCCTGGACTTGACCCCGCCGGTCACGACGGTGATGACCTTGACACCGAGGGGGGCCAATTCGACCCTGAGGGTGTTCGAGTAAGCATGCAGGGCCGCCTTGGATGCATTGTAGACACTGCCAAACACGTAGGGGACGACGCCGGCAACGCTGCCAATCATCACGATGGTTCCTTGCGCTTGGATGAGGAGGCCTGAAAACACCTGCACCATCCTCATGATGGCGAACAGATTGACATCGAATATCTTCCTCGCTTCCGAGATCTCGATATCAAGAGCTGACATGACATACGAGACTCCCGCATTGTTGACTTTGTAGAGTGTTGTCAGCATGAATGTCATTTTGCTTCAAAACCTGGTACTGACCCAAGTAGTCTAGTCCACGGCCCTCGGTCAATCTCTCCACGGCCTCTTTACACGAGACGATCGATTCGTCGTTATCGACGACCAGGGACAAGGTTTCAATACCTTTCTCCGACAGGCTCGTCAACTGTTCAGTCTTGCGTGCCGTGGCAAAGACCCGTAGTCCACGTTCATGGAAGGCCAAAGCAAGAGAATGGCCTATGCCTCCCGGTGCACACCCGGTGATGAGAACGGTTTTTCGACCATCAACCTCAGTCATGACGAAGAGCAATCAGACTCCGTTGCCGAGACTGATGGACGATACTGAAAGGAGGATCAAGATCTTGAAAGTTGAATGGAAATTTTCTGCCTCCCTCTGGTGTTTAAACAAGCAATAAGGGATTGTTGAACAGCTGAATTCCAAAACCAATTTGTTGATTAGCATACGGAGTACATTTTCAAGAGTAGCTTGATATAGAATTGTTGGAAAATAACCCCCTTGTCATGACGATGCGATTCTGTCGATTAACCTGTATACTCGCCGGTTGATTTTGCCAAGTATGTGTCTGACTTTCACTCATTCTTTCATTGGGTCTTCGGCGACCGGTGAAACTAATTCCGGAAGGCCCCCACTGCTGCCCCGCGTTTGGATAAGCTGCGGTTTCGATCAACAGGGACATGGCCATTGTCCGCTCCCAATGACGCAGCCCGACGATGAGCTGACAGCCAGCCTACCTTAATGAGGCCTCGATCATACCATGCCCCTTGGGACGCAAATCGTAAGCAGCGTCTCTCCTACTTCGTATCTTCCTGACCTCGAACGTTCCAAGATCTTGATCCTTCACTCTACATATTGTAAGTACGACAACTCATCGTGATATTCCCACTCACACATACATCCCAACGGGCCGTGGTATTGCTTGCACCCCATTCTCCATTCGCGTCCTCCCTTCGCTTCGTCCTCAGACTTTCCGGACATAGGACGAACCACAATGGCGTCTACTACCGTCACGACCTCTCCCAACAAAGCCTTCCTGGATGCATTCATCTCCCTCCTCTCTCGCTCCTACCTGACCACGCCATTGACCACCGCCTTCATCACCGAGATTGACGGGACACCTCCAACTGCGAATCCCGACGAGGTGATCACTCCGCAACGACTGAGCCAACATTTCACGCTGGGAATCACAGCCGCAGCCAGGAGCAATGTCGCCTTGATCCAGAGCGGAGACTTCTCTGCCGCCGCGCTTTGGGAACCACCTGACTTTTGCGGCATCCCGCCATCGCAGGCTCGCCGCAATCCAGGACCGATCCTGCAGGAATGGCGCAGCACCGCGCGCAAACTCAAGGCCAAGTACCTCTCGTTGCCCGACCAGGGTCCGCACAGTTGGGACCAGCCCGCGGCGCCGAGTCAGTCGTCGGGTGCGCCTTCGGAGGACCCATACCCCGCAGACTTCAACAAGGATGTCGACTTCGAGACGAGACCCTTTTATCATCTTGCCATGTTGGCGAGAGATCCGGATCTCGATCCAAAGGAGAGCTTTGCGGCCGCAAAGGCGTGCATGGATCACTTCGTCAAGAAGGCCAAAGAGGAGGAAGTGCCAATATACCTGGAGACGGCCAGTGAGGCTTCCAAAAAGGAATACGAAGATCTGGGATTTCGGGTGTGTGAAGAGGTGGTGATAGGAAAGGGCAGGGTCAATGCCAAGGGTTGGCCTCAGGAAGGGGGTGAGGGTGTCAAAACTTGGGCAATGATTTGGGACGAACACCTGCAGTAAGACATTTCTTCCCAGGAAGGAATTACGTACATGGCCTTTGGGGAAATATGGATCATAGTCCAATGCTGGAAAGTTGCAAGGCATCCGAGCGATCCAAACGGCCCATGATGAATTTTTGGTCAGTAAATCTAGGTAAAAGAAGCTGAGACTATATCTTTCCCTTTAAAAGATCCAAGCCTACCGCTTTCCTCCAGCTTTGGTCCCACCAGCCCACCGGGAAGAAATTGTTTGCGAACCACGTCCTCCATGCCCCCGTTCCTCTCCAGACTTCCTTTGGTGGACGGTCCCAATTGCCCACAATGTCTCCGACAACATCTTTGGCCCACTTTTCAGGATCTTCACGGTGAGGAAATGCGTTGCGCATGGCACTTTCCGTCTGATCCTTGAGGGGCAAGTATATCGACGTCGACGGTAGACTGGCGTTACCTCCCTGATGGTTCGCGTGAAATTTGGAGTGGACACAGCCCGTCTTTAAATCGACGACCTTGATGTTGAAGGGCTCGAGCTCGATCCGCATGTGCGTGCTGAACATGGCCGCGGCGGCCTTGGAGGCGTGATACACGGAATTGTGAGGTGTCGGTTCCACGCTCGAGACCGACGTGTTGTTGACTATCAGACTCGGACTGGCCGTCGGCGAGGATTTGGCCGCATGTATGAGCAAGGGTAGAAAGGCCTGTGTGACGCTGATGTACGACCAGACATTCACCTCGAAAAGTTCCTTGGCTTCGGGAATCGAAATGTCGGATATTGGCATGTTGTAGCCTTGTAGATACACGACCATTTAGCTATGCGTGGCCTTTTCTTCTCAGAGAATACCACAAAACGGTCGCAAGGTGAAACGTACCTCCGCCAGCGTTGTTGACCAAACAGTCCAACCTCCCTTCCACTTCTCCAGGTTTTGTCGTCAACTCACGGACTCGAGCTACACAATCCTGAATGGAAGTCTCATCACAGACGTCGAGCTTCAAACATTCAATCCCAAGCTCCTCCAGTCCTGACATACGGTTTGGATTTCGAGCGGTGGCGAAGACTCGGAACCTAGCACTTCGAAATGCTACCGCGAGAGCATGGCCAAGGCCGCTTTGAGAACAGCCTGTGATGAGGACTGTTCGCTGTGCAGTTTTCGACATTGTAGACTCGGGTGTAGTCGACAAGAAGTCAGGGAATAAATACAACAAGTCTGAAACATGGGCCACCAGCTGCCACGATGTATTGTGAGGAGGAAGTGATGACTAAGCGAAATACAAACACTCCCTCTCCCAGCACGGACGGAGGACATGTATACAGTATGATTTATCCCTTTATTTCAATTTCTACCTTGGAGGTACCCTCTGAGAGGAACTCGAGATCGATTCAACAAGAACACCCGAGTGTGTACGGACTCTAGATACGACCTGTATCGTGACCAATAGCTTCGACAAGTGACCAACCGCAGCCGCTTTCCTCAATTCTGAACGCCTGAACACAAGCAGAGGTCGTTGATCAAAGCTTCGCCCGTGCCTTTTCATCCTTGATCACGACACCCTTCTTACCGGCCTTGCCCATATCCCTCAGCACCCTCCGCAGGATCTTCCCACTGGGCGACTTGGGGATCTCATCGACCACTTCGACCTCGGTGATCCACTTGTGCCGCACCTTTTTCTCCCGGACGTACTTGATCAGACCTCTGCCGATGGTCTTGGCATCACCGCGCTGTGACGACGACGCCTTCAACACGACGTACGCCTTGGGCCTCTCGCCGGAATAGTCGTCGGAAATTCCCAGAACGGCCACGTCCTCGACGTCGGGGTGTCCCAGGAGCAAATCTTCCAACTCGGCGGGGGCCACTCCGATACCTTTAACCTTGATCATCTCCTTCAGCCTGTCCGTGATGGTGATCAGTCCTTCCTCGTCGATGCTCCCAATGTCCCCCGTGTGTAGGAACCCGTCCTTGTCGAAAGTGTCCTCCGTGGCTCGCTTGTTGTTCAAATATCCCATGACGACCTGCGGTCCTCTGGCCCATATCTCCCCGGGCTCGTTCAACCCGCACTCTTTGCCCGTTTCCGGATCGACGATCTTGACCTCTGTGCTCGCCACGATCGTCCCCACGCGGAACGCGTACTTGTAGTCGTACTTGTCCGGTGGGTGCGCCGTGATGCAGCTACAACTCTCCGTCATTCCGTACCCTTGCTTGAACCCGGTCCCGGGGAATTTCTGCTTCAACAGATCCAGAATCTCGGCCGAAAGGGGCGCGGCGCCCGAAGAGAATCGCTTGAGGCTGCTGAGATCGTACTTGGAGAGGGTCTGCTCGTCGCGGACCATCCTGATCAAGATCGGAGGTACGAGCAACATCTCTTCCAGCTTGTACTCCTGCACCGTCGCGAGCATGCTGTCCATGGTGAAACTGGGCAACATGTACACGTTCGCGTTCAACAGCACGGGCAGACTCAACTGGTGGACAAGCCCCGTGATGTGGAACAAGGGCAGCACGGCCAGGATCTTCCGCAGCGTCGATGGCGTGATCTGTCGGATCTGCAGGCACTGCGCTATCACGTTGCTGTGGGCGATCATGACGGCCTTGGGCAGACCGGTCGTGCCGCTGGAGAAGCTGAGATAACCGCACACGTCCTTGTTCTTCTTCCCGGGAGGCAGTCTGAACTGTTCGACCTGACCCGAGATTCCGTAAGACTTTCCGATCTCGAGCAACTCCGACATGTTGGTGAATCCGGCCATTGTGCCCTCGAGCAAGAACACATGCTCCTGCGGGATCCCGGCGTTGTTCGCGGCCGCAGAGGCCACAGACATGCTCCCCGGCACGGTGAAGAGGAACTTTGCCTCGGCCGTCTTCAGAGCGTAGCTCATTTCCTCGACGTTGTACGCCGGACTGGCGCCCGACACGACACCCCCCGATCGCAGTGTGCCGAACATGGCGCATGGATACCAGACCGTGTTGGGTGAGAAGAGAGCCACGGTCTGTCCTTGTTTCAGGCCATACTTCTTCACCAACGCAGTGGACAAGTGTGTCGAGTGCGTCTTGAGGTCAGCGTAACTCAGGTGCTAGAAACAGGCATGTTAGTAAACTCCAATCTTATTTTCGAGTTCTTGTCCCGAGACGCTAAAGAAATCGAAGAGGATATATAGACGAGACAAAAGACGTACCTCCTTCGTGATGGCGTTTGTGAAACCCTTGATCTCGCCCGGTTGGACGTTTCGGAGAGGACTATATTCTGAATCGAAGAGCCACGTCCATACCGGCAGATGCCATGGCACTATTTGTGTATCGGATTAGCTCTGCTCTTTTTTCTTTTTCTTTGTTTCCTTTTTCTGAGAACGATTCTAGAGAAGCGTTGTTGTGTGGAAGACTCTTCTCGAGGGACAGTGACTTACTCTCAATCGGTGGCTGTAAAGACTTGAAGATCGTCATGGTCGCAATCAGTTTCGCTCAGTCAAAGTCTCCGTGGCTGATGAAGGTATGACAAGATAGCCAGGAGCTAGCTGTCGGGTTGAGCAACAAAGCGATCAAGTAAGCACCCCCAGGTAAGCTTTGCAGAGTAGTCGAGCTGTGCAATCGTACTCTCGGGTGCAGGGAACTATTGCGATATGTATCCGTGATGACCAAAGTCAGAAACTTTTTGACAAAGCTAGCAAGGCCTCGATCGTGATGGAATGAACGGTTATAGGGATGCTAACGGTACGAGTAGATGCAAATGCCCAATATCCTCGGGCCTTAGCAACTGACAAACACTTGATGACCAGAACGTCGGTAGTGAAGCATCCTCGGTTCAAGTCTGAATGCGGAGATTGTGGAGCACAAGGAACTCAACAAGGCTCTACCTCAGCCTCGTCTTCTCACCAAGAGACGTTGACAACCTCGCTTCCTCCGTACATCCAGGTACCTAGGTAGGCAAGAACAAATGGCCGCAAAACGTACTACGCAATAACACCACATCGCAAAGGGACATCAAAGTGTGAAAATTGCTAGCTCAGCTTCGACATCGCGGAGCAAAATCGTTGCATTCGTCTGTTCTGAGAATGTGCGACCACCTGGTCACACGATAGTATCCAGTATCTTAGCCCAATCCGTTCGGAAACCCAACCGCCCAATCCCTAGAACTTGATAGAATTGCATACGTATATTCAAGAAAAAAGGCGCCCTTCAAAGCCACAAGGTTGCCCATAAACGCCATTAATGGTGCATAGATATACAAAGGTTGTGTTCATGACATGTCTTCTCCTTTCAAAAAGGCAGCTCCGTGTACGCCGTCCCTGAGGGTGTCACGGATCTCAACCTTGAGAGATGTTTCCCGTAGCAAAGAAAAACATACTAACCGGGACTCCGGAAATTTTCGACTCCCAGTGTCGGTATCTCGACAAGACCGTCCCTCGGGACTCCATCTTGTCTGCGTCGAATGTAGAAATTTCGGCACTCGCTCACCACTTGTGACCACTCCGCTAATGCTCGTCCACTGTAACGTGCATTGCCTATCTCCGAGTACGCTGGCTGCCGAGGCTCGACAGTCTTCGTTTTGGGTCTGAACTTCTGGTTGTTGTTACTACTACTTTCGGAACTCGCATTGCTTTCACTGCTCTCTCGAACTCTAAGAATATTTTGTGCAGTTTGTGGCAATAGAGGAGACGTCAAAGTCCAATTTTGGCCTTGCAGTTGAGGTGGTGGACGGTGATGCTGTAGTTCGAAGCGGAATGAGCAAGGTTGGTGTGGAGGTGTGATCGGGCGAGAAACTGGCTTGGGGCCAGCAATTTCGCTGCTAGGTCCTGTGATCGTGCCATTGGAGTTCGAACTTCCCTCATCCGGGCTCCCTGGAGGAGTGACTTCACCAGGGCGGTCATTTCCAGGCTGCGAGAACATACTGAGCCCCTTGAACAAGCTCCATCGCTTTTTGTTGATCTGAGGAGGAACGTCTGCAGTCGGAATAGTGTTCAGAGCCGACGAATGATTTTGATATGGTGAATTCTGATTGAGCAATCCAAGATTGGGTTGTTTCCTCTCGAATGTCGTCCTATGTGGCACTAACAGAGGCTGATTATCGAGGCGAACGATCAAGAGAAGACGTGCAGGTGCGGGAGTACAAGGTTCAGAGGATGGTGGGGTGAGACCTCGTGTGTCTGCCTCCATGAGCAGATATTGATAGTGAGCCCAGCATTTATTTAGTCGAGTGTTGAACGTTTGAAGAATGACGCTGGATATTTTGTCAGTAAAATTAGCCCTTGCACAGCAATCGCACACTTACATGTCCAAAGTCGTGACCGGTCCGTCCACACGAGCGACTCTCCAACAGAGTAGGCGGTAGAAGTAGTGTCGAACCATTGGTGACCAGTTGCAGAAATTTTCTTCAAAGACTTCCTGATCCAGCAACCATTCCAAAACGAGCTCCCTCTTTCTCTCCTCATTAGAAATTAAAATAGTCCACTTATTGTACAAAAATGCAATCAGTCGAACTTTTGTGAGCATAGACTGGCTTCGCATCATTTGCTTAAAGACTTTGAGCCAAAACGGCCAGTCCAGGATCGGGGTATCGCCATAAGTCTGATGATATCGAAAGGTAATTGGGAGGACTTCCTCCATGAAATCGCAAATTACGAAGCATGGATCGGTGCTGTACATGGATACTTTTCGAGTGGCAGCCTTGAGGACTGCTTCAAACGAGCCGGTAAATAAGCCTCGGAACATAGTAGCCTCAGAGTCCACATCTCCTAACACGTCCCTCAATAAGATGATTAGACGGTTTTCGGCGATCGAACGATCGGCATTAGCAATGACAGGCAGAGGAGCTAGAGAATCTGGGTGATCTCTGTCGAATCTGGAGCCTTCCGTGCCGTCATCATCATATCGCTGTTGATTAGCTTGCCGATACAGAGTAGCCTCCAGAACGACCAGCATCTGTGCACAGACCGGAATAAGACCTGGTATACCAGCACGTTCCTTCGAAGATAGCTCCTCAGACAGGAATTCAGGGACAAGTAGATGGAAATATTTCGTGAACGAAAAGAACAGATCAGTATCGCGTCCACACCAACGATTTACCCATGTTGGATGCCACCAGTCCAACTGTTCCAATCCTTGTGGGCGTTGACGCTGAGGCTGCAGGTGGCGTGCAAGGGTGCTTTGCGAGATAGCGGACAAAGATCGAATCGGCGGTGGAAATCTTCCTGCGAAAGCGTTCGATATGAGGGCCAGTTTATCTCCAAAATGGATATCAAACTCGGTGAATATCCTGCCCAGTGTACCAGCGCCCACATTCCACTGTCGAGCGAGCATGTCTGCGACACCCGGACAATAAAAAAAAGCATAAGCACAGGTTTTGCCGGCGAAAGTAACTAGGCTTGAGGGAGCAGCGCGCCAGGACAACTTTTCGATGACAAATTTCAGCTGAGACAGCAGATTCTGAATGAACATGTTCCGCACATTCTGCTTGATAGTATCGCTCAGGAAATCCGAATCTTCTGACTCGAGGGAGTTTGTCGACTTGGATTTGGGGATGGACGCAGGTTGGGAGATCTCGCCCAGTGCCGCATTGAAGCCTGGAACCGTCCATTCTAGCCTTGACATGATCATGCTTACGGACTCGAGAAAAGCAGGTCTATCGGACAATGAGATCATTTGGTTGTTGGTCCCGTGTAGCATTTCCAGTAGTGCAGTCCACCACTTGTTCAGGATGACAGTCCGTCTATCAAGGTCTTCCGCTCGAAGAGATGTGATAGAGGGGTGGCGAGCATATTTGTGGAGAAAGGGCAGCAAGACGGTACGAAGAACCTTTGACTTCTGTACGCTGGGCTTTGCATGAAATGTGATGAACTCGCTGTCGACATTTCTGAAAGCTGTAGCTAACGGATCCTTTTTCCGGGCCAGCTCTTGCTGGAAAGACGCCAAACGATCGGAGGAAAGAGTTCTCGGCAACGGCGGAAGTTTCCCGAGTGAGACTTTAGATCTGCTTCTTTCATCTGACGCAAGCGAAGTGGAAGACGAATTTCGTGATAAGCGCTTCAGACTGACTTCACTCTTGTTTTTGATGGGCAACACGCTCAGCGGAGGTCGTAGAAGCTGAGGAGGCGTGGATTTTGCAGCATCTGACTCGCGTGATCGCGAAGGCGACCTGCTAGAAGCTGGCTTTGAAGTGGCAGCATCTTTGATTTTGGTCGGTGACCAGCTGCGCTTCCTCGGGGCGGAACCATCCTTCGGGGCAGGGGATGAAGGTCTCGATCCAGCCCAGGATTTTCGGGCCAGGGTGCGGATGGTACCAGTAACAGATCGGCTGAGGCTGCGGCTTTGTTCCACCTTGACAGGGTCTATCTCGGTTTCTCGACCTCCTCGTACATCGTCATCTTCTTGTTCTGGTTCCGACGAGAAGGAAAAAATGCCACTTGTTATCCGTTTCTTTGCTTTCCTCGATGCCCGGCGAAAGAGGACTTTATTCGTAGATTGGGTAGAGTCATTCATTTTGGATCTCACTTCAGGAGGTAGGGAGAGAACATTGTCGGAGAAGGTCCTTTTGATCGTGGTGATTGCAGGCTCTTTTTCAAGAGTTGAAAGATAAGTGTAGCTTGCAGAGCGCGTGATCTCTGCGGAAGGTGGCCTTGGTATCGAATCGGAGCAGGGCAGATGGACAGAAGAATGAAGAGGACTGGCAGCGTGGACAGGTACTGTGGGCATGACTTGCCCTTCGACTCCAGCAGACATGACCAGGGATCTGGCGCCCAGCGCCGAGAACTGCAACAGTCACTACAATGTGCGAGTCCAGCTCTTTTCTCTAGGTTCCGCCATGGAACAAGAGGCTGTTGTGCGACGACATGCGTGAAGGAAGCAACAAAGGGAGACCGGATAGGCGTGACGGGGTGGGAGGTTGTGACTGGTGGTGGGTGAGTTCGTATACAACGATAATGCAAGTAGATTAGCAAACACAGTCGGCCCAAAAACAGAGGATCGACAACGAAAGACAAAAAGACGGTGAAGAGGAGCGAACGACAAGAAGATAGAGTAGAACAGATTAAGGTAAGATAAAGCAAGGTTGGTAATGTAGTCAAGCAGGCACATTAAAGATGCATATGGTGGAAATGAAGCTGAAACGGGCAGATGGCAGCCCATCATGCCAGGCCAAGGAGACGTCGGCGTTATCAAGCGCCGATGCTTTAGGCAAAGTCTGTCGCTTCAGGCATATCAAGAACAAGGCCACAGGATCCGCCCATGGGGCCCTTCAGCCTGCAATTCGCCATGTTTTCCCTGCCTAGGAGGATCATGAGTACCTGGGATTAATTATATCTCGTTGGACCTCGTATTTCAGCAGTCTCCGGCCAGGGTCTTTTCCCAAGCGTGCACACACCCGCCGGCGCCGCTGTCAATATGGCATTTTACTGTTGGCTGAGTATGACAACACAAAGCCCACATGTCAGTCAGTAATCTGCATTAGCCCGGAATCCCTGTGCTCGTAATATGGAGTATTCGTTGTGCTCCGTATTACGAGAACTGGTGTTCTCAGCCCTTGTGCGAGTACGAGGCCCATCGACTACCAAGACACCATAGAATAAACACCCAAGACTAAAAATTCCAGAGGGCAGAACTTATGGCTACGCGTGCTATCAAGAGTCAAATCTCCGCAGTATTCGCTACAAAAGCATAAAGTCCCAGACAGGGCATTCGTAGGCGAGGCACCCGGAAGAAATGTCGAGTCTAGTTGTAAATATCTGGAGAAGGCGTTCGAGACATTCCGGGGTACAGACAGCCGACATGGACGAGTCTTCTGAACTGATGTCCATCAAAACTCTAGTCTGAAATCAAGTAAAACTATTCGCCTGATATTTCTGGCCTCAGTATTGTTCATGCGGTGGCTTCTGTAATGTCGACATGGCCTCTGAATTGCATTTGATCGTAGACTGCATCAGAACATTGCGCCTCATCCGCATCTGATGAGACCGGCATCGGATTTATTGATGGGAAGGACAACAGAGGAACATCCCGCGGGAATAAGGAATCTTCTTGGGCCGGAATGCTCACGGCCATCTCAATTGATGCGTAATCAAGATCTTTTTTGATTCATACCATAATTGATTGTACACGCGATTTATTTATCAGGTGTTTGCCTGTGATCAATGATGGGCAGCATCTTCCTCGTCGATCTTTTCAATATCCTCGAAGAAATCCTCCTCACCTCCCTCTTCCGCCTCACCAGCTGGAGCTTGACCTTCGATTTCGACTGCTTGGGTCTCATAATCTTGCATCTCGCTTGCAAGGTTCGTCTCTTCCGGAGACTTTGGGGTTTTTGGAGGTGTAAATTTCTGGACGTGGCCCTCGGCGTCGGAGGCTTTCTGTGGTAGTGGCTTGTATGCTTTTAGCTCTTTGAGATACATGTCCTGGATCAGATCGGCTAGACATAGTGAGTGGGTGTCTTTTTGAAGTCGACCATTCAGGACTCACGCATTCTCGCAGCCGATGAAATTGTGAAGCTCCGGCGAGAGACTGGCATCGTTCTCAAGCTCAACCGAGCGACCAGGCGAGTCTGTAGTGCTTGTGAGTAACTTGATATCGTGTCTTTGAACCGAACTTACGCTGGCCCTTAGTGATTGCGCCATGATGTAAAGCTGTTCCAAGGTACAATTGGGACTCAAATCGAACTTGGGAGGTGTTTTCCAGGAAGCTTCAAGCGCAGATGCAAGCAGGAGAAGCTATTCCTCTTGCAGCCTCGTCCCCTCACGTGATTGTGGCCGCCTTGGCTCTTCTGACTTGATTTCAAAACACCTGCGCTCACTGAACTTCCATGTCCTTCTCTCCTTTCATCCCTCTATGTACTTTAGTCCTGGCAGACTCAGATATCGCTCCTGCACATTTCCCTCTTTCGCGCAGGAATTAATATCAACTGATCACTTGCGCACCGTGGACGACGATCTCGACAACGACTCTTCGTGTTCCAAAAGCCGCCTCCCTTGTCTCACGAGACCTTCACTGGTTGAATTGGTCCGAGTCAGATCATCTTATCCCGTCGCGCTCCTTCCGATCACTGCGATATCCTTGCCTGAGCATATTTTCGAGGTACATTGAAATTGTTGACGCTGTCGGTTGTCTTTTGCTTGGGTTGTCTCATTAATTTGTTGATGGCCTGACTGACATTTGGATTATTACAGTGTACGACGACATTAAGTCTACGTCGGCACTCTCATCTCGCTCGTTCGATCCCAATAGAATAGAAATAAAGGGCCACTCTGGTGCAAGCTGCATTTTCCGCTATCGGTTGACAGACACCACACTCTCACCCAGTTGTCTGTCACCACCGGCAAACTGTATTCTCCGCTCTTCGTCAAGTCATTTGCCAACAAGCACAACTTGACGACCACATATTGTGGGATCAAGAGACGACAGAATCAGCGCATACAGAGGAAGCTGAGTGGACGAATAACCAAGGGCAACCAGGCACCGCCCTCTGTACGAGTGAAAATGGCGGGCACTGAAAATCAGCCACCTGATGGCCCAGCGTGGCATGAAAACCTCAATATGCACCTCATATGTCCTGATTGCAAACAAGTTCCGCCTGAGCTGATTGAAGAGAATGCGGATACCATCTGTGCCAATTGTGGGATGGTTCTTGCCGAGCGTCTGGTCAGCTATGAATCTGAATGGCGAACGTTCAATTCAGACGAGGGCAAGGGTGAAGATCCTAACCGTGTTGGTGAAGCCGATAACGAGCTATACCTCACAAACAATGCGGGGACCATGATTGGCGGGGGTGGTCCTAACGTCTCCAAGGAGACTCGGAGACTCAAGAAAGCTCAGGCAATGCAACTCGAAAACAAAGCAGACAGAGCTCTGCAGGCTGCGTATGCTCAGATTGAGGCCTGGGGAGAGAAAGCCAAATTGACGGCTCCGGTAAAGGCTGCCGCCAAGTCTTACTACAAGCGAGTTTATGAAGCAAATGCTCTTCGAGGCAAGCAGTTGGACAGTATCCTCGCTGGCTGCGTATTCATCGCTTGTCGTCAACTCAAGGTACCCAGAACCTTCAACGAAATCTTTGGAATGACCTCGGTTCCCAAGAAAGAAATCGGCCGCGTTTACAAACAACTGCAGAATTTCCTGAGCAAGTTTTCTGAAGAGAAGAATGCGGAAGTCATGGCGACTGGCGGCATCCCCAACAGCACGGCCGAATTCCATGCCACCACGTCCACCAAGCCGGAAGACTTGTGTGGAAGATATTGCAACATGGTCGGTCTCAATTATAGGGTTCAGACAATCGCCGAAGGCCTGGCGAAGAAGATCCCTACCATTGAGGGTCTTGCCGGTCGTAGCCCGCTATCTAACGCAGCTGCATGCACGTTTTTTGCCAGCCATCTGATCGGATTCGGCAAGCCTAGCAAGCAGATTAGCGAGGTCGCAGGCGTCAGTGACGCAACCATTAAGCATGCTTACCGCTATCTCCTTCAGGAGAAAGAGCGTCTGGTCGACCCAGAGTGGCTTGGACAACAGCCCATGCCTAACGGCGGCTTTGGTAGATTGGAGAACCTCCCAGGCGCATGATCACATCACATTCGGCGATTCGAGGTCAATGGTGCCACACTCGAAAATTTCTCTTATGTTCTTATTCCCATCGCTACCCCCTCGGAAAGTGTTGCCATGAGGGAGATTGGTTTTCTGCAGAGTTGTCTATTGAAAAATTAGTGCTCATCTTGATTCAGTTGAGGTTTGGTGGCATTGCTGGTTGGGAATGCAATGATATCCTGGTTTGCGAAAAGCATAGCATGGCGTTCAGGGACAATGGCGTGCATGGCAAAATGAAGCCCACGAACATGTCTCAAAAAAAATGGCTTAGACTTTATTTGATGGATGGGAGGTTCTCGAGATATCCTTGCGTTCATGGTGAATAAGTTATGTATTTCTAATCATCACTAAGTATTCGACCATCTGTTGTGGCACAGTCCCCCTCCTTGACTCGGCAAATGTCGAGATGAGCTTTCCTATTGTCGTGTTGGGTTGCCGAGTCACGTAGACGCCAGGCCACACAATGGAATGGCCAGCCTCACAGTGACAACGTCCAGCTTGGGGGGGAAAGTAGTTTTCCTTTCGAGCTTCGTCCATTGGTACAATTGTTCAACAATGTTGCGATGGTCTGCACAGGGTTTTATGCTGATATCAGCGACGCAAAGACTTCGCCAGAATTCTCATTATTGTTTACACCGGATAAAAGGCAATTGGACCGTCTTTGACCACCGGCGTCGGTCCGTAGCTGTGACTTTCTCCTCTCCTCAATCTACACCACAAATGGGCGTGTCGAACATCCTCATGACGTCGATCAATGCATTGCATACTGCATGTGTCTGTCACTGGTGCTACTGGGTGTATTGACCTTCTCTTTCAGGCCGAGCTCCCCAGCTCTCCCCCGCAGAATTGTCTGCCTCTGGCCTAGATGTGCCTTCCAGGTTGGACAGAAGCGTCGCCATACTTCGTGACGTGCCGATTCCCGCGTACCACGAGACCATGAAATGGTAAAATATACCGGCGACTCTCCAGTCGCTCACTTGAGTGTCGAGCTCTCAATCATTCTTCGGGTGAAAAGAGTCTACGATGTTGACCATTCGACTGTTCTCATTGTTTGCATTGTCGATCTGTGCTTGTGTTGCCCGTCCTGAATACGAGCACAATGCAAAACCTTTCGCTAATGCCCTACAAGCTCGACAGGAAGGAGGAGGAAACTCCAGCTCCTCGCTTCAAGTCGACCTAGGCTACGGAATGTACGAAGGAGTTCAAAACAGCACTTCCGGGCTCAACATTTGGAAAGGGTAAGAATCGCAGCATATTGCCATTCGGCACGCTCGACTAACCAATGGTGAGGATTCGGTATGCCGCACCCCCGACCGGTTCTAACAGATGGCAAGCGCCCACTGCACCACAAGTGTCCAGATCTTCCGTCACCAGTGCAAGCTCCTTCGCCGCGATCTGTCCTCAGGGACCAGATGCGAGTACCAGCATCAGTGCAGTCAACCAGACCGGTGCCAGCGAAGACTGCCTGTTCTTGAACGTCTATTCACCGAGCAATGCAACTGGCCCGCTGCCCGTTCTTGTGTGGATTCATGGAGGCGGATACGGTGCTGGGAATGGGAGGCAAGACCTGTCGACTCTGATCAATGCCAATGGAAATATTTTCGTTGGCGTGGCGATTCAATACCGGGTGTGTTTTTCCCACTGGATGTTATGCGGCGCCAACTGATTTCCAGAAAGCTAGCAGCATTTGGCTTCCTGTCCTCGGACGAAGTCTTTCGTAACGGTGTGGTGAATGCTGGCATTCTTGACCAGGTAAGAAGATGGCCCTAAAAAAGAGAACCACTTCTCACCAGTCTCAGCATTTCGCCTTGCAATGGGTACAGTCATATATTAATCTCTTTGGAGGCAATGCTTCTCAAGTGACGATCTCTGGAGAGAGCGCCGGTGAGGAGACAGCATACTCCTGCAGCACTGAGCTATACTCACATTCAGCAGGAGGCGGATCAGTCATGCTTCAGGATATGGCATATGGTGGAAGCCAAGGCACAGCATTATTCGTAAACGTGAGTGCTCTCCAGAGCCGTTCGAAACGTGCTTGTTAATGACAAGACAAGACCATCGCCGCTTCTCCATACCTGCCAATGCAGTATGGCTACAGGGATTGGGTTCCATCGCAATCATACTATGCGTTTGCCACGGAAGCGGGCTGCCCTCCGAGCCTACCCTACGGTGCCCATCCTCAGACGATCTTTGAGTGCCTGCTCGACAAGGACACAGACACCTTGATCAACGCGAGTGCTGCGATATCCCAATCAGGCAATTATGGAACTTGGGCATTCTTGCCCGTGTAAGTCGTGTGGTGGTTTATGTCTAGTAGATCCGAGTTACTATACTGATATGTCACGTTTTGCAGGACGGATGGGGTGTTTGTTCAAGGTCTTCCCAGTCAGCAACTTTTGCGCAAAAGGGTGAACGGTATGAATGCGCTCATCGGCAACAACGCAGATGAGGGCCCAGGTTTCGTGCCACAAAACATTACGACCGAAGATGATCTTTTGGCGTGGCTAAAAATCACCTTCCCACTCTTTACAAACGACGATATTGCCAAAGTCTTGCTATATTACCCAAGCTCCAATGATTCGACCGACTCCTCGGCTCCGCTCTACGCCACCACCGGAAACTCGGGCCCGAGTGCGCTGAACCAGAGTGCGATAGGTACAGGACAACAACAGAGAGCGAACAACATCTACGGTGAAACGACGTTCGTCTGTCCCTCGTACTGGATGGCCGAGGCGTACACCGACCGTGGGCGGGCGTCGTACAAGTACCAGTTTTCCGTGCCACCAGCACTACACGGTTCAGATACAAGTGCATGTACGTCTCAACGCTGTGATGGTCCCTGAACAACCAAGCAAGCTCATAAGCAAACCTACAGATTTCGGTCCAGCCGCCCAAAACATTGGCCCAGATCTAGCACTTGCATTCCGACAAATCTGGGGCAATTTCGTCACGAAGAACGATCCAAGCATTTCGTCGAATGTTGCGAACGGTGCGTCCTCTGGGAATAGTGGTGCTTCCAATGATGCCAGTGATTGGCCACCGTTCTCGATCTATGCTCCATATCAGATCAATCTAAATGAGGTCAGATATCCTCCTCCCCTCTCTTGGTCCTAGAAGAGGCTTCTGTCGCGTCTCACGTCTGTGATCATTGGCTAACTTTTTTCTCTGCATCTACAGACGGGAGGGACACCATATTCATTCAACGTCACGACAATAAATCGCAACATTACGGTGGACGCTGAGCCTGGCTTGAAGAACAACATCAGCCTTGTCAACGCTTGGACCTGGGAAGCAGGCAGGGGTTACAGATGTGACTTTTGGCGCAGCATGGCGGCCATCGTGCCTGAATGATTGATTCGGAAATCGACCTGTGGACATCAGGTGCTTGTGAACGAGTATTTGAGCGCCTCTTCCTGCCTACGTTGGACAAAGGTGAAAAGTAATGGAACGACTCATAATATTTAATGTGGAGAAATGTCGATAAGGGGGCAAGGCACGGAGTGAGTACTCATACGCGAAATGCACTGACGCGGTATGTGGTATTTAATGGTAATCTCGTTTCGTTTCTAGAAACTCTCAACGATCTCGAATACTTCTTCTTTTGTCCTTTCGTCTTGTAATTTCTCTACTTCAATGCAGACCCAAATCGACAGTGGTCGTCATCGAAGGCGCCCCACTAAAGCCTGGGTCTAATGTTCCTACTCCATGGTCCCCACTCCGCCCCGGCACTTGTAACTCGTTGCGAGAGATTGTATAAAACAACCAACCTCGTGTTCGGGGGTCTTTGAGAGTACGTACACCCTTCCGTTCTTTGATGTCTCCTTTCGAGGAACAATGCCGAAGCCGACGCACCTCACGTGCCTCTGTGGCGACGTCAGCGAGCGAGCATCCATCCTCGAAGGACCCGAGGAGGAACTGCCGATGGAGAATCTCTTGTGTCACTGCGACACTTGCCGTCACTCTACGGGGGCACTGTGTACTTCCTACTTCCGGCTCAAGGGTCCACCGAGCGCAAAGTCTTTGGGTTGCGCGACCGGGTACCACACTCCAGGATACGTGAGATATTTTTGCAAGAACTGCGGATGTCACACCTTTGCCTTCACAAAAGCTGATGGTCAATGGTTGGCATGTTCCGGTACTCTCGAGACCGACAGGAAGGTTGACGACGTGCTTGATATCTCAAGGATCACCCACCACGAACACGTCGGCGACGCCGCTGATGGAGGAATCGCACCCTTTTTGAGCAAAATCGGAGGTCGAAAGATCCCTTGCCATGAAGGTGAACCGGCCGCAGATACAACGACAATGGACGAGGATCGGCTTGAATTGTTGCGGGGAAGACCATCATCGTCGCGGGAACGAGGAGACCACGTCGACGCTTCATGTCATTGCGGATCTGTGAGGTTTAGGATCGAACCTCCACCGTACGACAACGAAAGCCAAGGGTGGTACGTCCCTTCAGACCGCAGCAAGTACTATGCTCGTTTGTGTTGTTGTCGGTCATGTCGTTTGGGTCTTGGTTTCACCATGCAACCTTGGGCGTATATACCACCTTCACAGATCCGGACTGCCGAAGACGCCGGCCAGCAACCGATCTTGTTTGGGCCACAACATGAACAAAACACGCGGCAATTCGGAGAAGGGATGAGGTACTATCAAAGTTCCGAAATGGTGTTGCGCGGGTTTTGTACGAAATGCGGTGCCACCATGCTCTATCAACCATTTGAGAGACCTTACATTATCAACGTCAGCGTTGGAATTTTGAGGTCGAAAAAAGGCAACACAATGGCCAGGGAATGGTTGGATTGGGATAGGAAGGTGGTCAGCAAAAGACCAGAGGCCGTCGATGAGGATGTGATTCGTGCTTGGCTGGCAGAATGAATGAGTGACCGTGGTACTGAATGCTCCCTGGACCAGACAGAAAGCTTTTTTGGATGTTAGAGAAATTACAGCATGTAAGGAAATCGAACATTCCCCATGGATTCCTTTCCTTTCCTTTCCAAGTGCCCACCTAGGGGCCTAACTACGCCTTGATCATATGAGACTCGATTGTACCTCTATTCGCCACGTTCAATTTATTAACCAGGGCCAACGTCGAAGAATCAATGTTTTCGTCTAACCGTTGACCCGTCTTCGTATCCTTGACCGCATACGTCAACCGGAGTCGAAGCTGGTAGTAGTCACGATAAGTGAGGTCGGTGTTTAACTCGTCGGTCATGGCAGAGGTGGACGGATCTCCTGAAGGCTGTGGGTTCAAGACGGCATCTAATAGACAAGAACGTGAGTCCACGTCACTTCCAAGATCAATCAAACTCTCAAACATACCGTAATTGGGATTGACAAAGTACGCGATACTGTATCGACTCTTGTCCCTGGGTAGACCTTCCCAGGTGATCCGGTGCATGGTCGACTTGAGAGCCTTGCCGGTCCACAAGGACAGGGCGTCTCCGATGTTGACCACGATGCCATCATCGACCACTGGAACTCGAACCCAGTCTTTATCGTCAGGGTCACGTATCTCCAGACCGTTTTGGCTGGTGAAGACAAAAGTGATGCTGCCCCAGTCGGTGTGCTCCGCCAGACGTGGCACTTTGTGGCTTGGTCGCTCCTCCATCGCAGGGTACCGGATCAGTTTGAGGCTGTTTCCGGGTTCGCGGTGCTCGTGGTATCGCCGGAAGTAATCCTTGTCGAGGCCGAGTCGGACGGCAAAGCAAGACAGCAAGTCCACACTCAGGTTGTAACATTGCGCCTTGAACTCTTCGACCCGTTCTCTCTTTTGTTGGTCCCACCACGCCGGTAGATGCTCCGTCTTGAGGATGCCGCCTGGATTGGTCCCAAATATCATGCCTTCTGACGCTGCCCATCTGGAGATTGTCATCAAACGGCCATATGTCAGCCTTCGAGTCTCTTCCCAACTCTCAAACGTGTCGTCTGAGGTAAGAGAAAAACAAACATACGTGGTGACAGTGTTCCCATCGTACCCAATCGTCTGTTCATTCAACAACTTGGATGCTTTTTCTTCGACGGGCAAATCGAAAAATTGTCTCGACTGCAGAAAATCCACGATTAATCGTTGGGTTTTTGGTTAGCAATCAAAACACGCACGATCTCCCGCGGACGAACGAATTTGATCCATTCACAAAACTCTCAAGTTTAACCTCTTACCAGGTCGAACATGGAATCCGGGTTAACACCGGTCCCTCGAAGGATAAAGAACCCCCATTTAGTGCTGGCCGCGAACAAATCCTCAGAAAATGCCTGAAAGTCATGCTTGAATTTGGTAAAGTCCAATACTGGAAAATCTGCCGTGAGTGACGACGACATGGTGGATATGATGTTTGTTATTTGCTATTCCTCAAAGTGTCACTCGGTCTTACTCAAATACCGCCAGTCTCATGTTCACAGTCAGTACTTATCGATCCTGGGCAGGTGTGTGTCTCCGGGCGTAAACTTCGCGATCTCGAGCTCGGCGTCTGAGGTCTAGATGGCGGGATACTCCGTATCGATTTCGATTCTGAATCAATGATTACCTACAGTCTTCAGTTATCACAGCTCTTGGTTATCTCAAACTCCTTATCTCCATGCCGTCCCCAGATGGATTCTCCCGGGCGGGCGCCGCCGGCGATTGTATGAAAAAAGTGGATCAAATGATTCGTTGTACCAAGACGCCGTTAAGGGGAGCTTTTTCATACTCGTATATTCTGTATATACCGACACAGTTGTAATAATCGTCGGTCACTGCCGGGAAGAGAAATCAAAGTAATACCAAATGGCATATCTCGTCCTAGTCGACGGCTCTTCCACGTGGCTCCAGTCACGGGCATAGACACGGCGCAGAGGTCCAACAAATTGACAAAATGACTGAAACTCCCCAAACGCTTGTTCAGATTGATGGGATCAGCGAGCATCTCCTCCACTGTTGGATGCGTGGCGGTCGACGGGACAACCAATACGTCGACGGTTTCAGCGTCGCTCTCACCACGACGGAACTGTTTGGCGGCCAGACGTCGAAAAGAAGCGAGGTCGAAAATGTCCTGGTACGCTCTCACGGCATCAAACCCAGCACTCGATCCGAAAATCTCCCGAATTACAGGATGCAGCTGGTCGTAGCCGTAACGGTCGAGGTAGTCCTTGAACGCGACGATGCGTTGCGCCACAATCGAGCTGCCGTAGAGCATGGCATTGGCCGCAGCGAAGGGGGAGTAGTCAAATTTGGCCGCCACTTGAATGTCGAGATCGGCCAGTCGTGTAATAAATCTATCAAAGAGCCGCACGTACTCTGGGCTCAAGACCGAGTCGAGCAACTCACGTGGAGGTAGTCCGATCTGTAAATTTATAGGTGGACTTGTCTTTGAGGGTGAGGGTGGAGGCGACATTGTCAGCTCCCATTGTTTCAAAAGTGGTTGCTCCTGCTGTGCTAGCATGGCGAGTTGCTGTGGTTCTCGAGCATAGACGTCGTCTTCGTCGTAGGCTTGCATGGCATCCAGAGCCGCCACCGCAGAATCAACCGTCCGGGCAATGATGGTGATGCAGTCGGATGTCTTGCACGCAGGGACAAGGCCTACGGTCGAAATGGTGCCCAGCGTGGGTTTCAACCCGACCATACCGTTCAGCGCTGCGGGCACGCGTGTGCTGCCTGCCGTGTCGGTGGCGACGGTGAATGATACCAGGTTCGCAGCGACACTTACCACCGAGCCAGAAGAGCTCCCGCCAGAGATGTAGTCAGGGTCGCACACACATCGGGGTACACCGTATGGCGAACGCGTACCATTGAGCCCCGTTGCGAATTGGTCAAGGTTGGTCTTGCCGATGAGGATTCCTCCGGCGTCGAGGATTCTCTGGACAACAAATGCGGTCACGTCTGCCGTATATGCGAAGCTCGGACAAGCCAATGTCGTCGGCATTCCCGCGATGTCGATCGAGTCTTTGACGGAGAAGGGAATCCCAAACAATGCTGGTCGCTGATGGTGCGTTCCGCGGTCGGCCAATTGTTTTTGAAGCTCCTCCGCCCTTCTGATCGCCTCCTCTTGCGGCAGAAGCGTGATCCAGACTGCCTTGTCCGGGTATGCGGCGATTCGTTCGTAGACAGACCGCACTACCGCCACCGGGGTCGTTGCGTCGCGCTCATACAGCGCGCGTAACGTCTCGATGGAGAGATCGTCCGAAAGCTCATTTCCCACGTCCATCGAGACGTTCGTGACAGAGATTCCGGGGTTCACTTTGGTCGGTGTTATTGAGACTACCTCCGGAGGAGGAGGAAAGAGTGCTGCTGGTGGGCCCTTTGTTGAGCGAGGATTGAAGGCCAGTGAGCGCGGCGTCGGAAACACAAATCTGCAAACGATGAGGCAACAGGCTCTCAGTCGGACAATTGCTGCGAGAAAGAAATTGGTGAAGAATACTTTCACCGAATACAATCACTTGTAGAAGCAATCTCATCAGTGCTGACTTACCTCCACACACTTCTGCGTGGCCAATTCGAAGAGGCAGCAATGTGACCAAAACAGCGCCAGTTCGGTGTGGTATCTACCACTCTCATCCATTTGTGTACCCACGGAATTTATACTACGGGCCAAGCCTAAAGATGGGTCATTGAGATGACAATGGAGGTTAACGGGACACGAGATAGGAACGATGTTGGTAGGTTGTAGAGTCTAGATACGAAGAACTCCGTAATACTGTAGATGGTGGTGGAGGCGGCGCCGGCGGGCCGCCGCATCGAACTCCCTTATCAAACCCACTTTAGAGCCAACGGATATTGACGACGAGCAACCAGCTACACATACGATCATTCCACGCATCGATATGCGTACTATAGCAACCATTGATATCTTCTCCATGTATGGGTGGTACTTGTGTTCTTCGCCATAGATTCGTGGATAATCCAAAAGTAGATACCCTGTCAGACACATGTCTTCTTTCTTACCATAGCAGCAAACCGCTTCTGAGAAGTATGGTTGCAGTCGACATAGTCAAATTCCCGATCTCGTCACCAGCAGATACGACACCGTTAGAAAAATTGGCCGAGTCTGGCTATAACTCGTCACAGATTCTGGCTGTGGTGGGCAAGACCGAAGGTGAGCGAGACCATCTGGCCAATTGCTGCGCTCGTTCAGCACATCTGACGCCTATACGTGCCATTCTAGGAAATGGCTGTGTCAACGACTTCTCACGGACACTGGCTTCTGCGGTCTGGGAGCCCAAGATACCCGCGGACGCCGTGACCATCTTCTCGGGTGGTACTGAAGGCGTCTTATGCCCACATGTCACCTTCATCGTTCGAGCTGAAGATGCGTCCTCGTCTAGCTCCTCCACCACGGGCCTTCTCGCGTCTGTTGGACACACGCGACCGCTCCATCCGCATGAGATTGGCATGCCGGACCATGCCCGGACGGTCGCTGTAACCATCGAAAGCATGATGGCGAATGATCTATCTGTCCGCCCGGAAGATGTCATGCTCGTCCTGATCAAGTGTCCCCTTCTCACCTCGACCAAAGTCGAAGCAGTACGTGCCGCAGGGAAGGAGCCCGTCACCGCGGACACCTATGAATCCATGGCTAGGTCACGGTACGCCTGTGCTGTAGGGATCGCCGCGGCGTTGGGCGAAATACCCGATGCGCAAATTGATTCCGCCATGCAGTCAACCACAGCGTCAGCTTTCGAGCGTGTATGGAGTGCCAAAGCTAGCTGTAGTAGTGGTGCAGAGCTAGATGACAATCATATCTTGATCCTAGCCTCAGATCCGACGGTAGCTGGTGCGGGATCAATCAGACCCAAGCTCAGGGCGGTCTCGCGGCCAATGCAAGATGCGATCGACGCAGAGGCTATATTCGATCTCCTCTCGCAGGTGAAGCGGGATGGTGGTAAGGTGGTGCAGGTATTTGCAAAAGCTGAAGCCGATCCACATGGTATTGTCAGGGGCAATAGGCATACGATGAACACGGACAGCGACATCCATAGTACTCGACATGCGAGGGCTGCTGTTGGAGGCCTGTTGGCAGGTCTGGTAGGTGATACGCTACTCTACGTCTCGGGAGGTGCAGAGGGTCAAGGTCCCGCGGGCGGAGGCAGCTTATGTATGGTGTATGGGATGCCCTCAAATTGACGAGTCATGGAGAGAGCTTTGCAGACCATGGAATGTCAAAGACATCAAACATGGTACTAATATAACACATCCCTAACAGCAGCTGCTTCGTCGTTCGTATGGACACCTAGTTCCCATTCTCATCGTTGGATTCGTGAGCTCTAATCCTGGTCAGCGTGCAAAGACTTCCATTAGGAAGAAGACGCTGGCCACATGTCCTCCTTACCTCACCAACCTCTCGATCGACAATTTTTCCAGTCTAGCTATTCATGGGCGCTTTCGTGATCCATTGGTTTGCTCAAAAAGGCCAGCATCGATGCCGGTAAAAGCTGCACTCAGCCCCCGAACAAACCGCCTCAGCTGGCATGCATTCTCCCCCAGGAGTATGTAGCATTGTCGCTTTCTTCTGCGGCATGAGTCACAAGGGCGAGGCCGCCGTCCAAAAGTCACTGCGACGGTGGGAGCCGGACCCTGACAGTGATCGGTCCTCCTCATGCGTGCACACTCACATGATGATTTGATGCTTCGGGCAAGTTCTTCAGGTTGAAGCAGTGTGGCTGCAGGACTTGCACAGAGCCCACTCTGGACCCATAGACATCACAACAGGACGGTTTATTTCTTGTGACCAGAATGCTTGGAAGCTAGTCGAGAGTTATGTATCCGAAGGGAAGGATTAACATATCAGAATAAAGGCCTTGGTAGAGATGTCTCGGAATCGTCAGCAACCTTTAGGCATGTAATGGACTGGAGCGGTTCAACCATGTAATAACTAGAGGCACCGCAGACGCCTAGACACAGGTACCTAAAATTCATGCACTGGGACTACCTCGGTACTTAATACCTAGGGAGGCGTCCTACCCGAGTACTTCCCTAGCACAGCTTAAATCTTAGGCGGAGCGATACCTCCACAGCAAGAGGAAGAGCCTGTTGTACTCCTACCTTGGTGAGCCTGGCTGATTGGGTCTTCCCCTGGGTTACAAAGATAGAGTCTGGCCTGCCGCGAAGCACTGGATTAGGCGATATAGACTGCAGCGCAGGAAAATGAATGAGGGTCGTAGAGGGGCGGGCTGGGGTACATTGTAAAAGCGGCGTGGTCGGGGCAGTCCCGATGCAGAGCGTTTCCAACCCTTCTGATGTCTTCAGTTTATCGATATAGACAGACTCAAAGGCAACAGGTTATTCCTTCCTTGACTTCAACATACGAACTATACTGTCCTTTTCATTAAATCGGCCGATCTAAAAACATTATCTCTCTTGATTCTTTACAAATATCGCCTTCCGCGCAAGGCAGTCGATCATCGCCCTCACCTATAAACTCTACGCCAGACAAGATATAATGTTTCTTCGACAGATCTAACGGTCAACACCTTTGCGTTGCTTACTTCCTAGTTTGCACTGTCTTCGTATCATTCAGACGCATGATCTATGGTTGCTAGCCTGTGATTGCCGAACATTCCCGTCCAATCCTCACATCACCTCACCTCTCGTCCTACACTCTGTGCGCGCCTCGGTATGGATGCCAACGCAGCCCAACGGCCTGCGCAACCCGCACCAGCTCAACAGGCCTCTTTGATCCGTCCAGAACAGGTACAAAGGCTACCACAACTCAATCCCTCGCAGAAACAGCAGTACGAACAAGGCGTCAAAAGATACTGGGAAGTTTTAAACAGCACTCAGCAAGGGGATCCAAAGTACAATGAAGCATACCAAGGACTTGTGCGAACATCGGGCCTCTTAATGGCAGGTATGAAGCAGTGGCAGCAGGCCGCCAAACAAAGACAAGTCGCCCAACAACAGGCTTCCCAGCAAGCCGCCCAGCAGCAGCAGCAGCAGCAGCAGCAGCAAGCCCAACAGCAACAGCAGGCACAAGCGCAACCACAAGGTCAAAAGCAGGCGGCACAGGTTGCTCAGGGACAGAATGGTACGGGACAGGCTGGCAACAGCAGCATGCAATTTAACCAGTTGATGCCTGAAATTCAGAAAAGAGTCAATGAACAAAATTTCTACTACCCGCCAGCCATGACAAAGGGTACCGAACCGGCAGAGAATTGGCTACGTGAGGCGAAAACTCGGCTGGGACAGGCTCTACAAAGATTACAGGTTGCCAAACAAAAGAAGGCTGAATTCCAACGGCAAGCACAGCAGCGACAGCAGACGGGAAATCCTTTGACACCGCAAGAGACAGAAGTCTATAATAACAAAATAGCACAGTGTGATCGAGCGATCAACGAAAGTGGTTCATTTATGAAGAAGTTTAATGAACAACAGGAACAATTTCGGAGCGCACAACCACAGCATCAGTACACGAAGCAAGCCGCTCCAGGCGGTGAAGCCACTGAGTCGGGAGTTATGCCTCACCTGCAACCAGGCGTCCAAGGTCCACAGGCACATTCAATCAGCAGTGCTGTCTCTGCCGCTCGCAACCAGGCCAGTGCTGCTCAAGCAAGTGTTCCTGCAGTGACAAGCGCGCAGGCAGGCCAAATCACTACCACAGCTGCGCAATCCACGCCTGTCACTGCAACCCAACCACAATTCCCTCCAACCGCGCAAGCGGACAGTGCCACGGCAGCGCGTCCGGTCTCTCATCAAGGTCAACCCATAGCCCCCCAGAGCGCAACACAAGCCATCCATCCTCACCCGTTAAACACGAGTATCACCAACGCGAAAACCTCGACACCGGTCATCACCAAAAATCTTCAAGTTGCTGAGCCCAAACCCGTTCAGATGCCACCATCCCGACCTACCTTAACGGGTGGAGCAGGTGTCGGACTGCCAGGACAACTTGCGCAGCCAGCACTTACAGCACTGCCCGGATATGTGCTGGAATCAAGCGAAGATGGCAGAGTCCTGTCGAAGAAGAAGTTGAATGAGCTAGTCCGCGAAGTTTGTGGGCCAGGTCCAGATGAACAGCTTGACCCAGAGGCTGAAGAGGTAACAAGCGTGCTCCCCAACAAGAATTTGGCTAAACATGAACTAGATCTTTCTGCAAGTCGCCGATGACTTTGTTGATGACCTTGTGACCCAGGCTTGCAAGTTGGCTAAACTTCGTGGCTCATCTAGCTTAGAATTGCGCGACATTCAAATTATTCTGGAACGCCAGTATAATATTCGAGTTCCGGGCTATTCAACAGACGAAATCAGAACAGTGAGACGACCTCAAGCTGCGCCTGGTTGGGCTCACAAGATGAGCGCGGTCCAGGCTGCCAAATTAACTGGAGGTGGAGGCAACACAACAGCAGTTGGCGCTGGCGGAAAAGACAGTTGATGAATCTCTTGGGCGTTGGGAGTCTTCTTGTTCCGCGACGCATGTTATCTTGTATTCTACTGGGTTTTCTGGACGAGAAATGATTCGATACCATTAGCATTGGGGCCGCAGGGGCACTGGAGGTTTTGATTGCGGCGGCGACGGCGGCCACATCTCTTTTCTTGATCCTCCCCAAAAATCAGTGACGAGGGAATGGCTTGTGTACCTGGTAGTATGTTCTCATTCGAACCATTACCATTAACTTTCATCCTTCTTCAGAATCATTCCTATCTTCGAGAACTGCAGCAGTTCGGTGGTCACATTTTCGTTCCGTCTCCAACACATGTACCCGATCAGAGTCCGGGAATGATGTTAACACGTACTCCGTACTCCATACCTCGTTGTCCAAAGTGTGTGTAGGATGGCACTTTACGTGTGCCTAACAGTGGGCACGCTGATGGAGCCATGAGGATTTGATAGAGGGAGTTAGGGGGGCTGGGTGTTGGTGGCGTGGATATTGGGCAGCAGGAGGCCCGGAAGAGAAGGCTATGCCGACGTCATCAGCCCAACTCCTCTCTGTTGGCTGCGACAATTGGCCTTCCTACAACTCAGCAGTGACTCCCAGCCTCGAGCAAGCGAAAAACTTGTTGCAAGGCAGAGTGATCAATCCATCTCACGAAGGATCTTCACGGAGTATATACTTGGCAATCTACTCAATTTTCGGGAGGTCTCGTGAGGGACACACAACTCGTATCAGCCTCTCACCCCAACCAAGCCTCCGACGACATTGACCTCCCCGGCCCGACGCTTGGATCTCCTTTGGCTCAACCACGATCGCCATCTCATAAGCAATGTCCCGATATCGTTCTGACCCTCGATATTCTGAGGGCAACCTTGCTTATCGCGATCCTCCACCACAACGATGGGATACCGACCGCTTTGTGCGGGAACGAGAAATCCGTGCCCCTCCCGTCATCGACCAGCGTCCTCCCTACGACTATCCTCCTCGTCGAGCGCCCGCCTACGAAGAGCAGCAATACTATGAGCAGGATCGCTATGGCCCTCACGGTGCCTCCGAGCGCAGATATTTCGAGGAAACTGACTACTATGACCCCCGGGCTCAAAGGGGTCAGATGGTCCCGTACGCTCCTGAACGTCTGCCTCGCCCGGAAGCGCCCCCGAGACCTGGTATTCTCCGTCGGCAGTCCAGCCTAGACACGTTCGATCGTCGCCCCTTGCGTCGTCACGATGACTATGAGGACTTCTACAGACAGCAGAGACCAAATCCAGTGCGCGAACTCATCCCTGTACGAGCGCCGTCGCCAAAGAGAACATACCCGAGATACGACGAGCGCATCTATGATGATATTCGTGTACAGGATCCTGATTACTACGGAGACGATGGCTTTCGTGAATATCGTGAACGAGAATGGGTGGCTCGAAGAGGCAGGCATAGCCCATCACCTGACAGACGCACAGTCAGGGAGGAGATCATTGAGAAGGAAGAGATCAAAGAAATCAAAGAAGAGAAACCATATCCACGACGTGGTAAGACTCGCATGCCAAAACGTCTCGTGCACACCAAGGTTCTCTACGATTTGGGTTACCCGTATTATGAAGAGGTGAGTTGAAGTTGCTTCGATGTTATTTGTAGAGTGCTGACTGATTTCCCTAGGACGAGCGCACTATCATCATCGAAAAGGCTCTTGGACCGGACAATATTGATGAGATCTTTGCAATGAGCAAGGAGTATCGTGAGCGAGAAGGTTGGTTGGCCCGTGGTTCCAATGGCCCACGTTTGCTAATTTGTACACAGTGACAACTACTCGACTTATCGAGGCTCCCCCTAGTGCCCGCGGTGATCTGGTCTTCGAAAAGACCGAAAAGACCGAAAAGATTGAGGAAGTCAAGACTCTCCCTCTGGCAGATGCTCCACGATCTGTTCGCGACTGGGATGGACTGTCAGTTCGTTCCCCATCCCCGAGATCTCACCGATCTCATTCTCGAAGGCGATCCAGACGTGGATCGTCACCTGGTGTGATCAAAGAGACCATCGTGGAAAAGAAGGAGGTGGTCAAGGAAGTATCCCCTGCCCGGACGCATCGATCTCGACGCAGAGGATCTTCGGTGAGCGATGAGACGACTTTTGTCGAAAGGAAGATCATTCGAGAGGGCATCGATGATGACTCAAACTCTGTTCATGTCGGACCGTTGGCACTCGTTGTGGACAGAAATCCACCTCGCAGCGACCGCGACATCAAAGAGGAAATTCGACGGCTCGAAGCAGAGCGCCGGGCGCTGCGCCGAGAACGTCGCTATGAGCGTGAAGCTGGCACCGAGATCATCAAGGTTGAACGGACGCGGGACAGATCCCCATCGCCTCACGGCGAGGTCATCATCGAGAGACGAGGCGACGAGATTCTGGAAGTCAAGAAAGACCGGAGAGGTAGGATGTCACTCGTGGCAAAGTGAAAAAGTAACAATGTTCCTGATGGCAATCTCCAGGTCGCTCACGCTCGGCTGCTCCCAGTCCCGGCATCATCAAGGCCATGATGGCCACACTCACCTAAAAGTCACGACGACATGTGGCAATACTGAGGTGGACATCCATTTTTCTCTTTCTGGGTGAAGGGGTTGGAACATAATACAAACTGCCCGCGGAGTTCACTTGCAAGCCATGGCAATACATTCCCTTTGGAGGTGGAGAAGCACCGACCCTGGTCAACATCAAGAGTGATTCATGGTTTGGATGGATGTGTTGGAGCCCAATTTTTATTTTGACATGTCAAGTACGAACACAAGGCGAAGATGACATTGAAACGACTCGCGATGGATAGCAACAATGGACGAATTCCTTTTTACGATATAGCGGAGGAGTTTTTGAATCGTTTCAATTTTTTTGGGATAAGTAGACTGGATGATATACAGATGACACCTTTTGCATGATCATTTTACTATTTTAGTTTGGTCATGATGTATCTCTCGATCACACATCGGGCCTAGGTACGGAGCAATTGAGGTGGGCATTTACGGAGTACTGTAGACAGGTTGATGTAGCATTCGCGTCGCAACAGCCCTCTGACGTACTTGTATCGACCTACTTTTTTTTGCACGGGACGGATTGCGACGTTGGGAATCCCCTCGCCCTACCAAAAACACAACGCCCACCTCAGGCAGTACTGTCTTGCAGGCCACAAGGCACTTTCTTTTGCATTCTTCTACGGTGGTCTCTTTGACACCTAGTCGACAGTCCGACAGAATTCAAATCATGCCTGACAAGATCCTAGACGACATCTCGCACCGTCGGTACAATCCTCTGCGAGGAAGTTGGATTCTAGTTTCCCCTCACCGAACCAAAAGACCATGGCAGTAAGTGAATCTCCCATGGTACTTTCTCTTCTTTAACCGCGTCTAAACACTCCTCCTGACAATGACTATCTGGTGTATATAGAGGACAGACAGAGAGCCCCGGGGTGATTGATTTGCCCACTTACGATCCCCAATGCTACCTGTGCCCTGGCAACAAGAGGGCGTCGGGCGACACCAACCCCGACTACAAAAACACATTCGTCTTTATAAATGATTACAGCGCCGTCAAGGAAGAGCAGGAGGACTACACTTCTCCAGATGCCCAAGGGAGCCTGTCGAGCCTCCTGCTCCAAGCGGAGCCTGTCAAGGGCAAATGTTATGTCCTGACCTTCAGTGCCCGTCACAACATCACCTTGGCCGACATGTCCCCTTCCGAGATTCTGCCCATCGTCAAGACATGGACGGAAATATATACATCCCACATTTCTCCCAAGTCTCCTCTCGCTGCCATCGCCAAACCAACCCACCTTCCTCCCTCCGACCATCATGCGCACGTCGGGGCACCCAAGGAGCAGTATCGATGGATGCAGATATTTGAGAACAAAGGTGCTGCTATGGGTTGTTCTAATCCCCACCCGCACGGGCAAATATGGACGACTACAACCCTACCTGAAGAGCCGGCTCTCGAATTGGAACAACTGAGAAAATACCACCGGGAACAAGGAGGTTCACACCTGTTGGTCGACTACGCTCGGCTGGAAAGAGAGAAGGGTGAGCGAGTGGTTTTCCAAAACGAGACATTCTTGGTTGTCTGCCCCTGGTGGGCAACTTGGCCCTTCGAGACCATGATCCTTCCCGTTAAGCACATACGCTCGTTGATCGACCTGAGTGACAAGGAACAGATGGATCTTGCGGAAACAATCGCCGAGACAACGCGTCGATATGATAATTTGTTTGAGACGAGCTTTCCGTACAGCATGGGCATTCACCAGGCTCCTCTTGACGGCAGTAAGGAGGAATTCGAATGTTCCAGTCTGCACCTCCACTTCTATCCACCACTGTTGCGTAGTGCAACCGTCCGCAAATTCTTGGTCGGCTACGAAATGATGGCTGAGCCGCAGAGAGACATCACGCCAGAACAAGCCACTGTCAGATTGCAAGCATGTGGTGGAGAGGTGTACAGGAAAACGCTCCAGGCTCGAGGAGAGAAAGTGCAAAATCCACCCGCCGAGGAAAAGTCGCAACCATGAGGCACTTGCCATGTTGTACTCGATCTGTCATCACGCACTATTCACCTGACATAAAAGTCATACTGTGCAAACGACCAGACGAGCCCAAACACGGACACACAAACTGGAGCCAGCCAAGGACCCCAGGGACGACTTGTTTTGTAGACAAATGCCTCCATGCTGAAGTGAGCCAGACCGACCATGTTGGTCAGCATCTGCATCTGATACCATGACGCCTCGTTCATATGGTATGCTGCAAATATCCTCACCAACCCAACAGCAAAGGTCCAGGTACCGAACGTCCTCGAAGACAGGGGGGTAGCGGGCGAAGTTTCGTGAGCCGGTTTCTTGGTCTTGCCTGCCTCGCTATGGCCGGAGTAAAGGCGCTGCGTATAGGACATGGTGTTGTAGCATTGTATAGCATTGCCGAGGGCAGTGACGCCAACCTGCGTATCGATCAGATCTTGCAAACAGTGGAGTGGTGGGCGGACATACGAAGAGCACATAGAGTGGCAGCAAGCCCTCAGATCGAGGTAGGAAGGAGCTCATAGAAGCCATTTACAGCAAGAAAAATTGGTTAGCAAGCAGATACAAGGTCAACCTGGTGTTCCTAGTCGTAGAAGTCGAAAACTATTTCACCAGCAAGCACAAAAATACAAGAATCAAGCTGCGCTGTCATTTTAACTAATTCGCGTTCGACGCGCAAGGAGAAGGTGCCCCCGTCGATCGGCTGCACTCGTTGGAGCTCCGGCGTGGCCTCATCCAGCAATATTTACAGTCAGCACAAATGCTCCAATGCCCAACATTTTTCGCGCTGATAACCACTGAGTTTCTGGTCTGCATTTGAACCCGGACAATAGCCATGGCGGTTGATTTGGGACCTCTGGGCCAACAGAGCCTGGCTTCTACAGCGTTGATAGGCGTGGGCGCCATCACCATTGCCTCAATTGCGTTCACAACATTCAGGGTGCTTCTAAGCACTTTTGTGCTCCCTGGTAAATCTGTATGTGTATTCCGAGGCTGTCACGCACGATCTACCCGACTAATGCTTACTCTATAGCTCTCGAAATATGGCCCCAAGGGCTCATGGGCTGTCGTTACGGGGAGCTCTGATGGCATCGGTCGAGAATATGCCCTACAGCTAGCTAAGAAGGGCTTCAACCTGATCCTGGTATCGAGAACCGCTTCCAAACTCGAGTCCCTCGCCTCCGAAATCAAGAACTTGTCAGCCAGTGCTGTGGTGGAAATCCTGGCCATGGACTTTTCACAAAACCGCGATGCGGACTACGCGGCTTTGGCTTCTTTGGTGCAAGGGAAAAAAGTAGCAATACTGATCAACAATGTCGGTCAAAGCCACAGCATACCTGTGCCCTTTACCGAAACGAGCTTATCTGAGATGTCAAATATTATCAACATCAATTGCATGGGAACACTACGGGTCACACAAACTGTCCTACCAAGCATACTGCCACAGAAGAAAGGCCTCATCTTGACCATGGGTTCGTTCGGTGGCCTGGCGCCGACTCCGTTGTTGGCTACGTATTCTGGTTCCAAAGCTTTCTTACAACAATGGTCAAATGCATTGGCTTCTGAGCTCTCGAGCAAAGGGATTGATGTGTTCATGGTGCATTCCTATCTTGTTACGTCGGCCATGTCTAAAATTCGCCGCGCGAACTGGCAAGTGCCTACAGCAAAAGCTTTTGTCAAATCAGTGCTGGCAAAGATTGGTCGCAGAGGTGGAAGCATTGGCTATGCGCACAGCGGCACTCCTTACTGGAGTCATGCCATAGTAGCAGCCCTTATCACCGGTGTATTGGGTCCTATGAACGGCTTGCTTCTCGAATTCAACAGGAAAATGCATGTTGATATCCGGAGAAGAGCCCTCAGGAAGGCAGAACGAGAGGCACAAAATGGCAAGAAGGAGACGTAGTGACGGAATAATGGAAGAATGTCCAGAGAGCGTGACTGGCCATTTGTTAGCGCAAGTCAGACGTTTCCGTGTGCCTTTTCACATTTCAGATACTGAGTACAAGTATTGATGGTGCGGATGTGAAGATCACCAACTGAGTACTATTGTAGTATGTAGTGTAGGCATGTGCACGCTTTGCTGATTGGCGGGCTCCAGCGGTTGCCCGATGCTCCCCGCAATTAAGTACAGGCGTCCCCAGGAACACATGCCTCATCTATTCACTGTCTGTTGTCATTGTTGCGCCGGACGCAAGCATTTTTCCTTCTGACCTCTCGTTGTTAGACATGTCTCTTCCCTGACTATGCAACCCTAAGAATGAGTCGAGTTGATCTCTCCATTCGCCAGGCCATCCTGTTAAATGACGTTGCTTTAGTTCGACGACTGCTAAAGCATCATCCCGAACATCTACACAATCCTGACTTTGCCGATAAGAGCAATACATCTTTGCATCTAGCCGCTCAACATGGCTTGACAGAGATAGCAGTGAGCGAGCTAACCGCGCAGAATTGCTTGAATATGACTGACTCGGTACACAGGAGCTGTTGGTCTCACTCGGCCATGACAGCACTCGAGAAGTCACAGACTGGATCTACTCCAACCAGGGTGACAATCTGGGAATCTCGGTCAACACTGACGGCAGAACCCCTCTTCATCTTGCTGCTGCCTCTTCTCAATCGCCTGTGGTCGAGCTTCTTTGCAAACACTTCCCTCAAACCGTCAACCGACCAGACTACCAAGGCCAAACGCCCCTCCATCTCGCATCCTGTTCTCAGGGTGCGGCGATTGTACCCAGCTACGCCGACCAGAATTCGAGACCTACCACACGTACGGGGGAAGACAATAACACTATAGACATTCTGATCGCATATGGAGCAGACGTGAATGCAAGAGATGATCAAGGAAATACATGTCTACACAATGCAACTGCATGGGGCAATCTCAAGGCCGTCCGGGCTTTGATGCAGGCTGGGGCTGATCCACTACGAAAGAACAAGGCTGGATGGACTCCTGAATATTACAGTATCACTGTACAAGCAGAAGTTTACTATCGAAACCTGGTTGCAGAGTGGGAGAAACGAAAGGCCAGTAAGGCTGGTGCCCCAGGAGCCTGAAAGCGATGATGATGATGAGTCGGCGGCCTCCCGGAGCCGCGCGAGCAGTGCAAGGTCTCAGCAGACGACAAGTAGTCATAGTGACGCCGGCTTGGGAATCACTGTTGGCAATGTGGATACGTGGAAGTGATTGTGTCGATGGAGTTCATACGGACTCCGGGGTATTTTGGATTTGGTGTCATGTCTACGGAGGAGGGAGTTCAACTTTACATACGGAGTAGGCAACATACCATCTGGCGTTCGTAGGTAAGGAGTACGGACTGAGCACAGGGCGATAAGGAATGGTGGAGTCTTTGCAGGAGAACAAGAACTGGATCAGCTGAATACGATACGATGAACCTGGACTCCGCACATGTGAGACGATCAATTGACCCCTTCGATCCCCCAGTCCAAGTCCAAGTGTCAGCCACCGACACAACCTGCGTGTTCCCAACATCTCCATCATGATCTACCTCGTTCTTCTGTCTATCTTACAATAGTTGTTCTCCGTAGCCGCACGCTCATTTTTCTCGTTCCCTACCTATGTACCGTTGAGTCTTATTGAGCTGTCTGTGCTCCTTGCTGTCCACAAAGGCATTCGCAACCTTGGGTAGCCACCCCTCTCTGATCTACCGTCTTGATCAGCCACCTCCGTAACAATCTACGAAGCTCCCTCGTCGGGTTCGATGGCAAGTCCTGCTCATTGCCTATTTTGCATTGAAGTCTTGTCCGCGAGTTTCGACCGGCGAGACCCTCCTACATTGCAGCAAGTGCTCGATTTGTACAAGGACTACAAATTAGACTGCGATCCCGATGAAGCGGCGGAACGCGAGGGTAAGCAAGATGCGGACGAAGACATAGATCTTGACGCAGAAGACGAGGAAGTTGCGGACGAAGAGGACGAGGAAGAGGGGTCCTCTCAACAACGCGAATATACTCGTCGCCCTCAGGTATCAAGCATATCTAGGCTGAAGGCATCCACATCCTCCTCCAGGTCTTCTTCAGCGTCCTCTCCCTCCACAAGATCAGGAACATCTTCCAATTCTCAGTTGACCACACATTCGAGTGCAACGTCCATCACTCCTTCGCAGCCGTCCTACGCTTCTCGACTCTCCGTCACCGATTCCTTCCCACTTTTCGTCACCTGGAACACCATTTCTAAATCAGGTCACAAATCCCTACGCGGCTGCATTGGTACCTTTGAGGCTCAACCGCTTGCGTCAGGTCTGTCAACATATGCACTTACGTCGGCCTTTGACGACACACGTTTTTCGCCTATTCCAGCCTCATTGCTGCCCACACTCTCCTGCTCGTTGACTTTGCTGGCCGATTTTGAGCCATGCAGTGACGCGCTTGACTGGACACTGGGGACTCATGGCCTACGAATCAGCTTCACACATCGTAGTCGCCGCCATGGAGCTACGTATCTGCCTGACGTGGCTGTCGAGCAGGGCTGGACTAAAGAAGAGACGGTAGAGAGTTTGATGAAGAAGGCCGGGTGGGATGGTGGCTATGGCCATGGCGTAGCCAAACGACTACTCAGAGGGTCCGCTAGAGCCAGCGACGGCCAAAACACGAAGCCATGGGACGACGTACAGGACTTCAGAGCCGTGCGATATACCGGGTTAAAGGCCAGTGCATCCTATAATGAATGGATGGACTGGAGGAATTGGGTAGAGAAACACGGGGAGACTTTGAGCTGATACATGAAGGAATGTGTTCTTCAAAGCCAGATGACGTGATTCTTATCAAGAGTGTTGGGAGTGAAGCTTCAACACCAGAACGACCTCAAGATGAAACGATAGACCTCAATGACTGGTGTGGTATCGTTCTTAGGCAGCCTGAATGGCTCCTGCGTGACTTGCTGCGGACCCTGGTTCACCCTGGGAGCAGAGACGGCTCAACGATATGACTACGATATTGCACAACATATATACCCATTTTGCTGCCATCATTGGTGAAGATAGATCTATCTTTCGATTGACATGCCTTGTGAATGTGGCCCTCGATCTTCAGTAACAGAAATACTCGTACCAATCTAGAGGGATCCAATGCTAATGATAATCCGAAGCTTGAATGTCAATTGTCGAATCGGAGTTGGACCCGCCGATTTCAAAGACCTCGACTTTCTTCTCGACCACCAAAAAGTTGCTGGCGCAGTTTTCGGCATCTTTCGCATTCGCTTTCTCAGAATACGACCACGAACAGCTACTCGTCTGCCTTTTCTCCAGGTTCTTTTGTATATTATTCTTTACCTGTATTTCTTCCATGGCTTTTTGACTGGCGTCTTGGTTGCTTCGTCTTTCACCATGCGAGTGCGCATACCTCCCAGCTCTTCTGCACTTTTGCAACCATCCGTTCCTGTCCGAGCATCGACAGCTTCAGTACCAGCTATTTGTCCATGGTGCTTGACCCGATCACATAGCTCTCGGGCTCGACAGTCAAAACGACACTTTTCATCGTCTCAACAAAATGCCTCGGCATGGGCAGCCGCAGTCTCGAAGATCCAAGCTACCGTCGCCGATGTCTTGCCCTCGTCCGGATCCTCGAACGCGACCAGTAATGTCACCATCGATCCTCTCAAGCTTGTGGCACAAGAACTCAAGTTCCTGAACAAGAACATCCGCCAGTTATTGGGTTCGGGCCATCCAGTCCTCGCCACAGTAGCAAAATATTACACCCAGAGCGAGGGCAAGCATGTGCGCCCGCTGCTGGTATTGCTCATGGCTCGAGCGACCGCCTTTGCCGCAAAACAACCACGCTACGAATCCCAAAGCCTCTCCCGGTCGAGCATTGACACGCCGATATCTTCACCTACAGTTTTGTATGACAACAACCCTGATCAGGCGTCGGTCTCTGAGCCTACCTCCCCACTCACATCCACATCCAACGAAACCTACGCCTTCCCGGACGACGCATCCATTCTTCCCTCGCAGCGTCGCCTGGCCGAAATAACAGAACTCATCCACACCGCCTCCCTACTACACGACGACGTAATTGACCATAGTACCACCCGCCGCTCCGCTCCTTCTGCCAACACCACCTTTGGGAACAAAATGGCCGTGTTGGCCGGTGATTTCATGCTTGGCCGGGCATCTGTGGCTCTGGCCCGTCTTCGAGATCCCGAAGTGGTTGAACTTCTCGCCACGGTGATTGCAAACCTCGTCGAGGGCGAATTCATGCAGCTCAAGAACACCGCCAGCGACGAGTCCAACCCCAAGTGGAATGAGCAGGCCATCACATACTACTTGCAAAAAACATATCTCAAATCAGCCAGTCTAATAAGCAAGAGTTGTAGGGCAGCTGCAATCCTGGGACAATGTGCGCCCAGTGTCGTTGAGGCCGCATACCAGTACGGCAAGAACCTCGGCCTGGCGTTCCAGCTTGTGGATGATATGCTTGATTATACGATCAGTGCTGGAGAGCTGGGCAAGCCGGCGGGAGCAGATCTGGAGCTAGGCCTTGCAACCGCACCACTCTTGTTCGCCTGGAAGGATCGACCGGAGCTAGGCTTGCTCGTGGGACGCAAGTTTGCCAAAGAGGGCGATGTGCAGAGGGTGAGTACTTTCCGGCCTCTAGGGTGATTGAATATTGTTTTACTAACTCGAATGTGATCAGGCACGAGAACTCGTCTTGCAATCTGATGGTCTTAAGCAAACCAGAGCCCTCGCCCAAGAATATGCGGACAAGGCTATAAGTAGTATTAGCTTCTTCCCACCTGGCGAGGCCAAAGACGGCCTTGAAGAGATGTGCGTCAAGGTGATGAAGAGGAGGAAATGAATGTACATTTCATGCATGGTGTACCTGCTTTGCCAAGGATTGTAGAATTGTATTAGACCAACTGATTCTCATAGAGCACAATAACATGTGCATTGGCGTGTGGATATTACTACAAATCATGTCGTATCTGGCAGAAGATGTAACGACTTGCCGGAATGAACCTCCTATATGCTACGTGGAGCGAATAAAAATAAACGACTTGCAAGCCACTGGGCATCCTGCACTATGTTGCCAAAGACCTCATCTTCGACACTCGGATCGAACGGTGGGCTGGGTCGTTGTTGTCTACACCCAGGGATTTGTATATTACTTTGACTGAGCGACTTGATACTACAATACAGATTAAAATTGAAACATCACTGGAAAAGACATCGTAATGAGAAAGGTGAGAGAAAGTAATGGGAGGTGATGTGAAAGCTGCGCCAATCAGGGGGAAATGTCCCAACTGCGGAATATTAATATATATCTGTCAACCTCTATCGAATCACGTTCTAGTCACCAACCGCGATGAGAGCTTGTCCCGTCCCTACGCCGGTTCGATGGTGATGGTGTTTCGCGACGAGAACTATTCAACCGTACCTAGGTAAGTCAAAAGACAGCAAGAACAATCCGTGACCGTCCCAATGGTACGTTTTTTTTGTTCACGATAGATGGCCTGGAAGGGACATGTATGGTTTGCTAGTGGCTGCTACAGAAACAGCGTGATCCCTCGGCCAGTTGTACAGAAGGGAGCTCTTTCCAACAACTTTCTTGAGAAAGTGATCAACTTGAACAAAATGACTCTGAACACATCCTAGGAAAAAAGGTAGGTAGCCTACGCTATAGGAGAAGGAAAACAAGCAGATACCTACTCATACCGCCACTATTTACTGAATACTACCTTAACGAATCCTCTAGGAATGACCTGTCCAAACCTTCATCCACCCATCAGTTTTCTATTTTCCCGGCAAAACATTGCTCTCGTCTCGCTCATTCAGCATAACATCGTGTCAACCGCTGGAGAGATATTGGAAGAGGAGACAGACTGTTGTCTTTAGGGAGAGATTTGTGGTCTCGAGGGAGCCGTTGTTGATCAGAAAGTTGCAAAAGCGGCGCCATCTGGGTGAAAATCGGGGCAATTGCTCGAAGGCGCCAAGAACGTATTCTGCTGTACATATCAAATTGACATCATTGGGGGAGAAACATCAACGCTGCAATCCGTTTTACTATAATTGATGTTCATATCGACTGCTTAAACCCGATCTGCTCACGGTGTTTGTGCGACTCATCTATATAACAACACCAAATATCTCATTCGCTGTCCACAAACTTATTCACGGTACCGTGGGCGTTGAACCGTAGCCATGGCGTCTGGTCCGCATACCTTTGTTACCGTAAGGATTACCTCGTTTTGTCTCTTCTGAAATTCAGTGATATGCAACAATGGATGACTGACTCTATGGACTTTTCAGTTGGTGGTGAGTCTAGTGAACATGCCTTGCATACGAGTTGCCCGCGGGAGACATACATGAGCACCTTATCACTCGTCTTCGTACGGTCATGCTCTTCGAGACCTGTAGTTCAAGGATGGATGAATTTGAACTTGTGTGCTCTCTTGTTGCCCCGCAATTCGCACCCTTCTCGTCCTGAATTGCATGAAAATTCCGAAGACGATGGAATTGACCAGCGTAGGTCTTCTCACCCGAGAAGTTTCAAGGAAACCCATTGGCGATCGTCTCCGTGCGAGGGAATGCCCTGAGCCAGAGTCGCAAATCCCTTATTGCCAAAGAATTCAAGTACTCAGAGACAGTCTTCCTCCATGATGCGCCTGGTCCGGGTCAACCGCGACTCTGTGAGATCTTCACCGAGACAGGTGAGGAGATACCATTTGCCGGGCATCCGGTAAGTCACTTCGAGTTTCATCTCATAACGAATGTCAACTGACTGGTGTAGATTATTGGTGTCGCACATTATGTGAGTGGACCGCGGTCAAAGTGTGATCACAAATTGACATCCTCTTCAGATCTTCAGCTTCTTGGAGAAGGTAAACTATGGAGGGCCCCAAGACCGGGATACCCAGCGTCAAACGGCAGTCCTTCAAACCAAAGCAGGAAAGATTCCCATCTTCTTCAATCCGTATCGACAAGTCGCAGCCTGCGCAGTGCCTTTCGATATCCATGAGCACTCTCGTCAAGTGCCTATGAACAGTATCATCGCGACGCAACCTCAAGTCCAGATTGTACCAACCATCGACAAAGTCAAGAACAAGTCGTTCCCCTTGGTATCGATAGTCAAGGGCATGACTTTTGTCCTCGTTGATTTGACCGATAGTCCTGAAGTCTTCGCGGCTCTCGAACCCGCAAAGTCGCCAGACGTCGAGCTAGACTCGGAGTGGTCTCCGAGCTTCGTTGGCTGCCTCTACTACAAAGTCTTGGCCAAATCAGAAAAGGAAGGGGAACCCACCATTCACAACATCCAAGCTCGAATGATCTCACACGGGATCGAAGACCCTGGCACTGGAAGCGCTTGTTGTACCTTGAGCTGTTACCTGGCATTGCATTCCTCAGACGGACCTGCCAAACCAGATACGTCAGAGCCGGAGGCAGAGCTGACAAAAAAGACAGAGGACCTGAAGTTGGCAGAAAAGACAGAAAGGAAAGTGTTTGGAATTCAGCAGGGCGTCGAGATGGGCCGGCTTTGCACCATCGCTGTAGAGGTTGACGTCAAGACGGACGAGCAGGGCAAGTCGAGTATTACAAATGTGATACTCAGTGGAAGGGCCAATGTCCATCTCAAAGGTGAGATCTTTGGCACGTAGTCATGGTCCCCTGAGGAGGAAAAGGCCAGAAACAAGCTTTTTCCGCACGGATAGACCGATACCGAAGCTTCATCTTGGCCGGAGGTAGCCAAATCCGAAAGCAACCAAACCCACCCCCTTATGTTGAATAATCATGGCCGCTATGGACTAGAGTCAATCGGCAAAGCCTAACTTTATCGTCAAACTTGCGCCAGACCTCGTGAGTGAATCAGGAAGAAAATACGCGAGGCCTGGTTGGTCCCCAAAACATTGCAGGGTAGAGAAAGGGGTGGTGACTTGAGCCGTCTTTCTGCCCTGAGCCCGACGTCTCCTGCTTCATGTTGAGTCCGGGCCAGGATGCAATCGGTTATCTGGCGGAGAAAAAGCTTGGTGAAGCTTGACTGCTACCAAGACACGGAGGCTCCCAGGGGGATCGTCGCACAAAGTATGCTAGAACGATTTCCAGGGGGGCCATCATTGTCTGGTCCATGTGGGAGCCACAAGGCCACCAGTGGTGATCGTTTATCTTTGGAATGTTGGCGACTGTGACGGTGAAGCAAGAGAGGGGCGATCGAGCTGGGGAAGGAGGGAGGGGGGTCCCGGCAGCCTTGCGAGAGGCTTTTTTGCTTTCTTCTCTTTGCTGGACAGAACTTTGCCGTGGTAACCGAAGGAGCAAATACAATCCTAGTATTCATGGGAGATTCGAGATGGAGATGCTTACATTGTCGAAGGAGGTGTCGAGTGACATCGATTAGGAGGTTGCCAGGAGTTGATGGAGATGAGGCTCCAACACCCACTAGAACGAGCTAATCCTCACTTAACCACCGTGCTAACCGCCATCCGGCTAGCTGCATCGACTTAACCGTGACCTGTAGGCCAATGGTCGACATTTCGCTACAGCCGCTCGTTTCAGACACACTGTTTCTCCTTCGCTCCTCCGACACGCTTCGAAACCGTCCGAGCCTCACCTTCGTCTCTTCCATCAATCTGCCTGTCTTGGATCTGGGCCCGAACTAGTTCTCCACGTCTAACATTGGCAATGCTTGTTTCCCTTCAAAGCTCGCGTTGCGGCAGCATGCTGCGACCAACCTGTAACCGGCGAAGCTGGTCGCCGCACGCTCGCGATCTGAAGCAGGCCGAGATCGTTGTGTCATCCCCCTCCATTGGAAACACTTTGAGCCTCAAGGAAATCACCATGGAACGAGCTTCGGCCCTGCGACACTTGTCAGGCACTGCCAAGGCAATCGCATAAGAGGTCTTCTCTTCTCTCTTGCAATGTTGGTATTTTTTTCCCTCTCGTCGTGGCAGTGCCTCTTCATTCCTTTTCGCATCCCAAATTTCCCAGATTTTTTCGACCTTTTTACATTCCTTAGGCTTGACCGCGTTGACCGCGAAGTCTCTCGTTCTTAGAAACAAAGATTTGATTTTTTTCCCTTTGATTTACACTCTATACAATTCAAAACTGACTCTGTTCAAATTTACCAACACCAAACTCTTTCTACACCAAACACAACCAAAATGAAGACCACTCAGATTATGATGTTGGCAGTCGCTGCCCTAGGTTTCAGCTCCGAAGTTTTCGCTCAGGGCAACAAATTCGGTGGCAATGGAGGAAACAAGGGTGGCAACACTGGCGGCAACACTGGTGGAAATACTGGTGGTAACACTGGTGGTAACAACGGCGGCAATACCGGTGGCAACAATGGAGGAAACACCGGTGGCAACAACGGCGGCAACAACGGCGGTAACAATGGGGGAAACAATGGAGGGAACACTGGAGGTAACAACCTCGCATTGAACCCCAACAACGTTCAGACTGGCAGTCAGTTCGTGGGAAACCTCAGCGAAGCTGGTACTGCACCATCGAAAACGTGAGTTATTCTTGTTAAGTCAATGTGGCTTCGTAAGCTGACCGTTCTCACCAGTGACCAAGCCAACTTCATCAACGTCTGTACTGGCAAGACATTAACCAACGGCAAACAAGTGACTGGTGGATCCTGTAACGGTGTCACCATGGGTGATATCCCCTCAAACCAGAACATGATCTCGGCTATTGTCCAATTCCCCGGTCCTGGACAGGACCTTCAAGCCAACTCGCCATTCACAGTCAAAGTGCAACTTCAAAACTTGGTGGCTGGATCTTTCACCGATGCTCAGGGCACATACTACTCTGCTCCTCAGGCTCTACAGGGAGGCAATGTTGTCGGCCACTGTCACGTCACCATTCAGGATCTCGGTGGTTCCCTGTCTCCTCAGCAACCGCCCGACCCGAAGACGTTCAACTTCTTCAAGGGCATCAATGATAACGGCAACGGTCAAGGTTTGCTCTCTGCTGCTGTCGCTTCTGGCCTGCCTGCAGGTTTCTATCGTGTTTGCACAATGAACAGTGCCTCCAACCACCAGCCTGTGCTGATGCCTGTAAGTTTGAACTCGACTCACATAAGGAAAAGGCCCAACTAACACTAGCTAGGTTGCTCAACGTGGTGCTCAAGATGATTGCCAGAAGTTCACTGTCGGCCAAGGCAACGGCGGCAACAACGGTAACAATGGCAACAACGGAGGCAACAACGGTGGTAACACTGGCAATGCCGGCAATAACAGCGGTAACGCTGGTGGAAACACTGGCAACAACGGCGGCAACGCTGGAGGCAACGGTGGTAACGCTGGTAACACTGGTGGAAACAATGGCAACAAGGGCGGCAATGCTGGAGGCAA